TGAAATTCGATCGTTTGTCTATTATCGCTCGTTAATTCAATCAGTTATATAGAAGGATAACTCGTGTTCGTCATGTTTGGCGTCTCTTCCCGTTTCTTGTTACACGTCTCCCGTAGCAATGATCTTTGTGTTAAAATTATATTTGGAATGTATTTAACCAGTTCTATCACATATGTAATAATAACTGACACCAATATTTTCCTTTAATATTTAAATCTGACCGTAATACCCAGGTTGTAGACCATTCAGCGGCTCGAATTTCTTTTATCCAAATTTGATGAAACTTAAAATATATATTTACATCCCAAAGATCTGGGTTCCTTTCGATATTGGCGCGTATTGGATCGTAACTTTCGGGATTATGACCCCCTGATTGTACGAAATATCACGTTTTTAGCATGTAGGCCCCCTAGAGATCACAATTTGTATCTTATTTTCAAAACTGTTCAAATATATTACCGTTACACCAAAATTATTTTCTCAAAATCGGACCAAAACTTCCCCGTCAAATAGCTATTCCCCTTTACGAAAATAGTATAAAAAGCATGTAATACACAGGTTGTGGACGATCTAAAGGTCACAATTATATACTCGATGTATATAGATGAAAGTTAAAACTTGTGGACCTTTCACGATGGAACTTAAACTATGTGTTCAGGATCAAAAGTTCTTGGATGAGTTCGACTTTGGTAGCATCAGACCTATAGTTGAAATATGTACGGATTTTATAGGCTTTCCAGGGGGGCTACCATTGTTGACCCATTCTGTTGAAACTTAAATATGTTAAGGATCAATAGATCTTAAAAGAGGGGATAAGCCCTATTCAGTTTACCTCTTCCCCATCCATTTCATGCAAAATGTTGGCATATCTTGCTTGGCAAACGCTTGTTTTAACTGGTCATAACTGATAGCAGTGAATTACTTGATGGAAAAGGGACACGAGGAAGGAATATAAATGAAACTCTATCCCGTCGTTTTTTCTAATTACCTAATCTGTCATAGATACAACGGACGTGGGCCGGGCTTGAAATAAAGATCGACTGTTCATTTATTTAATCGCGACCCTCGCAACCGTAGGTCTCTTAACCCAGAGATCAGTATAGAACATAGCAGGGTTTTTTTCTTCTGAAAGACTACGTTCTAGAAGTCTCACTTCTACTCAATTCTATGTTAAAATCAAGCCTCTTTGTTTTTATTGAATAGTTACTTGCGTGCAATAACCTGGAGAAAAGAGTACTTGCAGCAAAATTAGCCCCACCCCCAGGTCCGCCCACTCCACCGGGCCTGAGGATAAATAACTTAAACTTATTAGAGCATACAGAATACTGTGTCAATGAGAACTATATACATGTATGCCCCTTTTACAGCTTTTAATGGGTAAAGTGGATTCAGTGGGTGAAAACTTAATCGCTATGCATATCATCTGGTAATTGTATTTATTTGAGACCTTTGAATATTTAGGTTTGAAACACTTTGATAGAAATTTAGGACGTCATGCTTCATAATTAAAAGAAATGGGACTTAGCGTCTTACTTTTCTGCACCAACCGGGGCTACGGACCACGACATCGGTCGCTTGTTCATTACGCACATTGCAGTGGCCATCGCTTTAATATTTTATTAATATTAAATGACGCTTGTACTCTGCTGTTAATCTGATGGTATGGAAGTCCAGTGAAGCCACGATAGTTCAGTGATCGAGTATATCGGTGGCTCAATAACCAGGAGGTGCAGTGTTAGATTACGGCCTTAGCCAAGAAGACTCATAGGGATTTCGAGTCTTTTTTCTCCTTGTCAGTGGTTCAGGGCTTAGGGCAGTAGTGTCTAGTCATTCGGATGGTAGGTAAACGCGAGTTCCTGTATATACGCTGGTGTGCACTCTAAAGGGTCCTCCTTGACAGTTGAAATTCAATGGAATGACCAATGCATTGACCCGGCTGGTACAGGAAAGTATAAAGTTAAATAATTTCATTTCGCCCCCCCCCCCCGACACCTAAAGTACGTTTCTACTGACAGCTATATCCTTGAAATAGGGCTGTAATAAAAAAAAAAAACGGGTTCAAAGTCGCAAATATTTCAAGGACACTTCGCCTCCTAGGCCCGCTTAGGGGCTTACAACGCTTCTGAAAACCCAACTCGTTTATTTGCGATCTTCAGACGTACGTTCGTTTGTTTTGGCGCTTCGTGTTACAAAATATGCGCCCCACCCCCTTTGTGACGAGCACACCACCACGCCACTGCCTCGATCTGCACTGCCACGATCTGTTTAATTCGAAACTGACCAGCAGTGATTATTCGCATAAGGCTATCGCATTACAGCTATGAAACAGGATGGCTTATTTCAATAAAGGTAAACGACAACCTTTTGACCTGCCCTGTTGCTGACCACGCATGTGGATTACAACTATTTCAAGCTTCAAGGGCGATTAACAATTTAATCTACTTGACCTCTTTCCCACCATCAGCTTAAACTGAAAATTGTTTAAAAAAAACTGGTCAATCTTCAAACAGCTGATCGTCATGTACAATGCATTGAAAGCTAAAACTCCATGGAATGAAATGGAGTTTATCATACTGTTATGTATCGACTGGGCTAATGAAGACGGGTATACGCCATTGGCGTGCACGCAAAAGATCCCTTGACTGTTGGAATTCGATATAAGAGTAGGCCGTAGTGCCGCTTTCCGGGCCAAATTTCCCTCATAGCACACTGTATGGCGTATGCCCGTCTTCATTAGCCCAGTTCGGAGCAGAGCAGTAGTACGTTAAACCCCATTTCATTTCATTTCATTTCATTGTCATACAGTGTGCTTTGAGGGGAATTTAGACCTGACAGCGGGACCACGGTTTAGTATTATTTCGAATTCCAACTGTCAAGGGTTCTTTTACGTGCACGCCAATATGTACACGGGACCTTATTTTTTTTATCCCATCTATACGACTAGAAACTGTCCCATGCCAGGCCCTCTCTACTGCACCACTGACAAAAGGGAACCACGCCGGAAAATCCCTATGAAATTTCTCGGCCAACACCAGGCTACGGGGCTATAAATAACTGACAGTATAGATATAACAGGGGATGGGGGGGGGGGTGTCAAAGTATAATTATAATATACATTATGGTGAATATAGCTATTATTTAAATATTAATTATACAGTCAATAATTATGGAAATGAAAATATTGAAAATGCAAAATGAAAATATTGAAAATGCAAAATGAAAATATTGAAAATGCAAATGTAATTATGAAAATATTCAGGAAATGTAAATATGAACAATAAATATTTACATTGCAATGATTCTGAATCGCCGACGTGTGATACTTTTAATACAATCATTTTATTCAGATATATTATAATATTGTTTTCTAACCACCGTAATGGAGATCTTTAGCAAGCATTTCACAGATTTCACCGACAGAAACAATAACGCAAAATAAAAATAATTCCATGCGTGAATCTATAAGTTTCATAAGCAAATTTAAAAAAAAATTTGAAACACTGTAGACTATTTACAAGTTTTTGGCGACAAAGGGAATGAGTCTAAACAGCCGAGAGTAATTAATGGCGGTCTGAGCCCCATTCCATATTCTGAGTATACACTCAAAGAGGTAGAACACCCACTTAGTAAACAGCCGTTAAAGATGAGTATTATACTTCATTGCCATTTATATTTGCATGATGAACTAATTTCAATCCTAAATGACATGTTAATATTTCACACAATGATGATATGAAAACTATAAAAAAAATGATTGAAAACTTGAATACTTACAATCCGATCATCCGTTAAGCCTGGTTCACACTACGCGGCAACTTAAGCGACGAGTTTGACTACAAATATCCGTGCACCGAATACTTCAATTTAAACATGCATTATGCAAGAGCAAAATCTGCTTATTACAAGTCTTTCTTTAGGCCTGAAATGTTATCTAAATTATCAATTAGACATTAATTGACTTATCCAGACCATAATAAACTCTCGATCTCAAGGCTAGCCTTCGATGTTGGCTGGATTAGATTCCCATATGCCGCTAACGGCCATTGATAATTTAATCAAACAAAGTGGATAATCGAGACTATGCTGTTCATATTAATGATTTTAGTAATGATGACCGAGAATATGCAAAAATTTCACCCGCTTCTTTCTCGGCGCATAGTGGATCAATTTGACTGAAATTTTCAGCAAATTACCTTTACACTATCTAGTTTTTAACTATTATAGCGAGAACTGCCATCTCTTTATCTTATCTCCCATAATGTATCTTTAATTAGTCAGTTAGACCTAATTGGGAAGCCACAATGTATTATATCACATGGGAAAAATATCAAAAATGATTGGTTAAATAGGTGATTTGATTTCCTTGTTTGGTTGGTTGTCGCCCTATACGTGTCGCTGAGGTGATCACATTACACTCTTTGTTAGGGGGTTGGATGGCCTAATGGTTAGCGCGTGCGCGTTGTATTATAATGTCTGTCAATGAATCAACAGGCGTGCTTTCGATTCCTTGGTTGTACGTGAGAAGGAGTAGGGTCGCATGTCCAACCTCGTGGCTTTTCTGCGGGTGCTCCGGTTTGCGTCCCCCTGCTAAAGACCCCGACGTGCAAGCGAATTATTGATATAAAATTGAACCATATGTTAGTCCCGAAATGACCTAGTTTAAGCCGAATGGATGTTAAAGCCCATTTCTCTCTTTTTCTACACGATTTGTTGCAGACGGAGCCACGACTTGAGCGATCATATCAAACATGCCAGATGATCGTTGGTGACGAAAAATCGTTTGTGGCCGGATGCGCACACTAGACGATTTTTAGATTTTTCATTGTCTGCGACAGAATTCGCCTATGTCGTCGCGTAGTGTGGGCTAGGCTTTAATAATCCCAAACTTAGGCTGCCTGTCTACAACTAGCTCCGCCTATTTTCGAAGTATGACGTAGATGGATCGCTGCGTGCAGTATGGGCTTTAACATGAATATGCGGTCACGCGTGAAGAGGTACGGCCCACACTATCTGAACTCAATGCTGTTTTCGCACTTTCTTCTAAATCATTATTTCCAACCCTTATATGTAAGAAGAGAAAGGCGCTGTGTACAAAGTGATATTAGTAGCTTTTGAAAAGGTTTTCTTAAAAATCAACAACAACTACAGTCTGGGATAAGAAGATTCTAATTCAGTTTTGTGTTTAAATTTCAGGATATTGTCACAAGTTGAAGGATACTAACAATGACAGTAAGTAACAAAAATTATTCTGTGTTGTTATTGTGACAACCTGAATACCTGCCTGTATTTATGATATACTATTGACCTGTTTATAAAACGAACATTTTATCGACAATATTATTCGCCTGCATGGCAATATTGAAACAACGCTTTAAAACAAAGTGGATATAATTTATTTAAAACCTCACTTTTCAACAACTTTTATGACATTTAACTTAATCTTTATTACGACAGTATCGTAAGAATAACACATTATAATAATATAGTAGTATATAGTACATTTTTAACGCGCTAAACTCCATACACTAAGTATATTATGCTTACTGTTTAACGTCTTACTGTTCCGCTCCTGACCGGGTTATTGAAGACGGGCATACGCCATACAATGTACCATGAGGGGAATTTTGCCTGGATTGTGGCACCATGGCCTACTCTTATATCGAATTCCAACTGCCAAGGGATCCTTTACGTGCACGCCTCTCGGCACCTCGTTTTTCCGTCCTATCCGAACAACTATACGTTGTCCCTTGCCAGATCCTCTTTTCTGTACAATGCATGGATCGAAATCCGACCTCCAGGTTAGCGAGCCAACGTCTTACCTGCCTAGCCATTATGACATTATGGTTTATGTGCTAGTATAACAGTTTTTATGTCTCATAGGAGTCTTTAAACAGGTGTGTTTTTAATAAACTCTTGAATTGCAATAAGTTTCGTACATCTTTAACTTCCGATGGTAGTTTATTCCAAAATGTTATACTGGAAAGATCGCTGTCTAAATAATCTTAATTTAACTTTTGGGATACAAACTAAGTTTTGGTTATGCGATCGTAGCTTTCGGCTAGGAGGATATTTTGAAACAAGTTCCGATAGATAACTTGGTGGGGTTTGATGAAAACACTGATACGTGAGTGAGAGGATTTTAAATTTCACACGGGCTACCACTGGGAGCCAGTGAAGTTCTCTAAGTACTGGAGTTATATGCGCAAACTTTCTGTTATAGTTTTAATTCTCGCTGCCGTGTTCATAGTCCGTTGCAGTCTGTTGATTTGTTCTTTGGGCAGATTACCTTACAGACAGTGTAGAGGAGACATTTTACAGCTAAAACACTTTGAATTAGGTCAAAATGAAATGATGAATGAAATGGGGGTTAACGTCCAACGTTTCTGTACCGCATCATCCTTGGTATCCCACTCCACTATATCCCGGGTTCATCCATGAGGAAGACACGTATTCAAATCATTGGCCTTGGTGGTTGTGCTATTTTCATCGACCAATAACATGACACGCTTGATAGCATAACAACTTGCCACGGCCTGTTTTAACTGACATAAAACATCTGTCCCGTCTTTTTGTGTGCATGTCACTATTTCTTTTTATATTAAATTTCTTGCAAACATTCTCATAATTGAACTAACAAGCCGCCATATATTGTTGTGAACGTAGACAATGAGGCTAAGACTAGTTTGTAAACTGTGTTTTGATTGGTTCGTGAAATCAAGCTACGACCAAGGGCAGATAATTTGAGATACGTATATACCCCATGGATGAACCCAGGGTATGGTGGAGTAGAACGGAATGAGATCACTGGGGATACCGAGGATGGCACCGAATGGACACACGATGAAGACGGGTATACATCATGCAATGTGCGACTAGGGAATTTTTCCCGGACAGTGGCGTGCTCGCCTACTCGTCTAAACAATGTTTCTTATCAAGCCCTCAGTTCTGCACCACTGACACGGGGGAACAACCCCGACGAAACCCGGGGAACTTTCTGGGCCAAAAGAGCGAACCCGAGACCTCCTGGTTAGCGAGCCTGCGCCTTACTCACTGTGCTCCAACCCTAAGTCATAAACGTAATGTATGACCATCTTAAGTACTCATCACTGCCTATTGCAGGGGCGGATCCAGAGGGGGGGGGGTCGACCCCCCCCCCCCTGCTCAGCTACATAATTTTTTTTGTAAATCAACACTTTTTATGAGAAAAGTTTCTCGGCCGCGTGCTTTATCCTTTATCGTCAGATATGGGACAGGCAGGATAGGCACTCAAAGCACGAGATAATGATATAGACATTATGTGATATCACAATGAATGCTTTGCATCCTTGAAATTGAATCACAATGTCATTGTATTAATTCATAATAAAAATTTACGTAAAACGAGTTGTTGAATTTCTCTTTTAAAAAGCTCAATGTGTATGTATATACGCCAAAATGACGATAGAGACCATGCGGGAGGGGGGGGGATACATTGTCACAGGAAACTGGAAAACCCCCTCCTGCACAAATTCCAGGATCCGCCCCTGTATTGTCTTATAATCGTCAGTCAACGCATGTAGCAAAAATAGACTCATTCTGATCTCAGAGCCCCCCCCCCCCCACGTCAGCTATCATTTAATTTTCGACCAATAGTTGCGTTCCAATAGGCGTTTGTCCTAATGATCCCAGGTTAGGTCAGTTTCACGACAACCCGCAACTAAATTTGAGAAGGGAAGTATTTATCTGCTAATTTTAGCATAAATCTAAAATGTCCTGGTTTCTAATTGCCCAAAGTTCATAACATCGACCACGTCTAGCCTACGTTTTTTTCTTTTAATCATCTAACTATCCAAAGAGCACCTTTCGGTCCTTTTTTTGTTAAAATCTAAATAAGGAAAACAATTACTGACCTTTTGGAGCATTGTGGCTTCAAATTATCAGTTCAAGAAAGCCTAATTCAATGTATGTACTTTTCATTCAAAGCTAGCCATATCCATGCCATATCACCATTTTTTTGGCTCAATCTGCGACTGCAACCAACATGATGTAGGTAATTGAAAGACGATTCATCAAATAAATTTACCCGTTATTCATCCGAATTAAAGAAATCTTTACTTTTGTTATATCTACAGCACCATGGTCAACTAATTGTACCCCCCCCCCCACATACACACACAGACACACACACACACATCTCGCCATTTTCTCCAGGAAAATAAACGCGTTAATTATATAAAAATAAATGAAGATTTTTTTATTAGAAAAAAAAGGCGAAGGGAAATTACTTCACCTTCCCCTTGCCCAAAAATCAAGCTGAAGTCGTTCAATGGTCATAGAATTTTTAATTAAAAAGGCTTCTACGACATTTCTATAAAGATCCCTTGTGTTATTTCTCCAACCAATCAAACAGAACCGTCAATTACATCATTTTTACGATTGGGTATTATACAGAGCGTTATTTTGATATTTTGTTTTTGGTTCTTTTAAGCCAGGTGAAATATCTAAAACTATGTTCCATATTATATGTACTAATTTGTTATTAACAGGAAAAAAATATAGATCAGAAAGAAAAGAGGGATGATAAGAATAAGAGGGTACTATATTCTGTTAAGGACGTACCACCCTGGCATATAACTTTAATTCTTGGTTTTCAGGTAAGCTTGGTTTGTAATGATCTTAATCAGGCGAATTCTTTGTACGCCATTACAATCTATTCTACGATCAATGTGACTCTCGGGAATAACAATATTATTGTCATCTACATATTTAAAGTAATAATACTAACAAACCACTATCGATCTCTCGGAACGTGGGTCGATCTTTCGGATGGATTTACATACTCAAATCTTTTTGTAACGCTCCGCTCGACGAAGTCATTTACGCTTAGAACATAATCTATTAACTGCATCTACATTAGGTTTAAAAAAAAATTGAGGAGTCTGTTATAGTCTCTTTTTGATTTGATAGTTCACAAGAAATATGTAATTAACCTATTACCCAGTTTGAAATGGGTAAATGGTTATAACGGATTAAGTGTGAACAGGGCCTTGGGGTTCAGATGACCAAAGTTCTCTCTCGTGTAAATAGAAATGTAGTCACTGTTCTAAGAGCACCCTTTTTAGTTATCCCGATTGTTAATTTCGAATAATTGTCACCACTTTGAGTGTGTGTCATCAATAGTGAATGAGTATCATCAAAATGAGTGAGTGTCATTAAAATGAATGAGTATCATCAAAATGTGTGAGTGTCATCAAAACCGCCGTCTTTATCACGTTAACAATATCGGCAAACGCGAGGTCGACAGACCTTGCATATCGATAGGATTTGTCTTCTCAGGACCCCAATGCTTTGAAAAAGGCCCGTTACGAACTATATCCTCTATCGTGTTCACAAGGTTTTCGGAAAAGGGGCATAACTCTGGAACGGAATATCCACTCATCACCCCAAAGCTTCACACCCACAAAAACTGTAGCTTCTATCGTGTTCACAAGCCAGTTGTTGACGGACAGACCGAAATGTAGCCGTATAAAAATCACATATCACATTTTTTTTTATTAGAATAAAATATGGTTCCATAAATACGCAGCCAGATTTCATCAAATACAATTTGATAAGGAATAGTAAATAAGTAATCCAATTTTATTTCAGTCCTTTCTGACATGTCTCGGTGGAACATTCTCTTATCCACTGATCATACAGTCTTCATTGTGTTTGTCCACTGACGCTGTTGGTCTAGCTCAGATAATTGGTACAACAATATTTGTTTCTGGTTTATCTACATTGATACAAACTATTTTTGGTATTAGGTATGTTTACCTATACATAGAATATGGCTTACAATATATGTGATAACTCAATATCAGTTTTCATTATATGGGGAAATATGATTATGTATTGTCTAATTGACAGCCAAAATGAATAAAAGAAAATATACATTTTAGATTATGACGATTTTCATGATTGGGGGGGGGGGGCTCAGGGATCTGCAGTTTCCTCCCATGGCATATATATTTCCCAGAATATGTTAGTTTCGAAATAACCTATTTTTTAAGTTTTGTCATTTGTCTCTCTGCAACAATGTTGTATGTTGACTTTTCTAAGTATTGTCTTCAGTTTTGGATACAGCTTTAAAATAATACTTGGCTAGTATGTCTTAAAGGAGCTTTAAACTCTAACTCAATATTATCCATAATATCGGAAATTAAAGACACGAATTAGAATTTAATATTGGTCCATTTCAATCAATATAGATGTTATTACCTTACCGTTAAAATGTGTGATCCTAATATCCAATATTGAAGACACAATGTTTAAATCGTTACATGATTCGTCTTTTCTATAATGGTTTCGAGCGCCATGTTCAATGAACTCAGAACAGCATGTCCCAGGAGACAAAGCGGAAGTAATTAAAAACGACTGATTACCCCCCCCCCCCCCCCAAAAAAAAAAAAAACCAAAACAAAAACAAAACAAAACAAACCCGTTTTGTATGGACTAAGTAGGTGCAAATGTCTGCCGCTCAGCTTATCTCACTGAATACAATTGATTAGAAATTAAAATGAAAAATTTACAAATGGGATATGAATCACTGTATATACAATGTGTACTTTTACAATCATTTCCGGGGGGGGGGGGGCGAATGGTTAGCACATTCACCCTGTATCATACAGTCGGCCATTGAGTCAACTGGCGGGGTTTCGATTCTCCGATTGTACGTGTCAAGGAGTAGGGTCGTCTGTCCAACCTCGTGGGTTTTCTCCGGGTCCTCCCCCCTCACTGCTAAAGACCCCTACGCGCAAGCCAATTATTGAAAAAAAATTGAACCATGTGTTAGTACCGAAATGACCTAGTTTGTATCGAATGCACGTTAAACCCCATTTCTCTCACTATCCCTCTCTCTCTCACCCTCACTCTCTCTGCAATCATTTACGTCAATTTTAAGTTTCCTAAGAATAGAACTACCCGTCCTTTAATGTTGGACAATAACCGATTATTATCGATATTTGTATATGGAAATGTAGTTTAATATTGTCCCACTATTTTTCTAGGTTACCTATTGTACAGAGCTGTAGTTTTGCTTTTGTTACACCAGTTATATCCCTTCTAACTTTAAGCCGATGGTCAGATTGTCCTTTTAATAATGAATCATGTGAGTATTTCCAAATGGTATCTTACACAATTGATGTTCTAACGTATTCATATAATTTTCAAAAGACACTCAGATAACAATAGTAACATTTTAAACGGGATAATCTCTTTCAACAAATACAGTAAATTGAACAAGCAAGATACTTGAATTTTACTGGTGGAACGGGATATACTGAATGATATTCTAATACCACTCTCCCGATTAGATTTTATTACATACTTCCAGAAGGTATTTGTTGAGTAATAAAACCTTCTAGTAGTTTATCGAGGGCTGGCCGTCCTTACCGCACGGTACAAATAAAACTTTCTAGTAGTTTATCGAGGTTCGGGTGCTTCCGAAGTCCAAAATGGCCGCTTTATATAAATGAGAATTTTGGGGATAACTAACCCGAACCCTAACCCTTTTTAAAAGACTGAACTTGGGTCTAATTTAGTTTTTACTTCTCTTAAAAGGGTTAGGGTTAGGGTTCGGGTTAGTATTCCCCTAAATACTCATTTGTATAAAGCGGCCATTTTGGTATGAGTTCTGGCTTGTTCTGGAATTTGTTGCTTCTTGTGGTGATAATATTTGTACCGTGCGGTAAGGACGGCCAGCCCTCGATAAACTACTAGAAGGTTTTATTACTCAACAAATACCTTCTCGAAGTATGTAATAAAATCTAATCGGGTGTACCACTATAGGACATCTTCCACCACTATTCAATCTTACTCTTACCTTTTGATGCATTAGAAAAGTATATAACAAGTTTTGTGCATGAATAACTACTAAGAATGAGTCGGAGGACTAAATTCGGTTTGGTTTGGAGCACTTTTATTGTGCAGTGATGTGAAACCCGTCTAGTAAAACCTATTCTAATGTTTTAGTGAATCAGACTTTATTACCTGAAATTGGTGGCGCTGTTCATCGGGAACTATGGCAGGCCAGGGTCAGAGAAGTAAGTTTGGGTTTATTTATATCCTTATTGTTCTAAAAATGATTAAAAATTTGAGATATCTACTTGTAAAAAGTGTAATTGATCTATTACCCTTATATCCCTATGTTTTCCCTGTCTATCGACTCGGCCGTCTGTCGGTTACAATTTTTTTGATAATTAAATGAAATGGCGTTGTAATATATTCTATATCAAACGCATATCTTGTATTCACCCCTTTGTAGTCTGGAGAAAGGGTTGAAAAAAGATCTCGAACAGATTAGCTTTGCCTATACCCTATATATCTTGTTTTTAAAAGATTAAAAAAAACCCAAGAGACATTAAAGTTTGAAAAGCAAATGTGCGTTAGTCAAGCCAAACGGCGTAAACCTATGCTCTAACGGTAATACACAACACATGTCAATCAATTGTATTCATTCTTTTTGCTCATAAAGATAAATTGTTAACATTAACATGAGAGAGAGAGAGAGAGAGAGAGAGAGAGAGAGAGAGTGGGTTATTTCGGGAGTAACACATGGTTCAATTTTATTTCAGTGATTCGCTTGCGCGTAGGGGTCTTTAGCAGTGGGAGGAAACCGGAGGACCCGGAGAAACCCCACGAGGTTGGACAGGCGACCCTACTCCTTGCCACGTACAACCGTGGAATCGAAACCACGCCAGTTGACTCAATGATAGAGCTTATGATACAGCGCGCACATGCTAACCTTTCGGCCATCCAACCCCCGTTAACATTAATATGATGGCCAGTGAGGACATATTAAATCACATTTTACAGTATGATCATACTGCATCATTTTGACAGGTAAATGGGGCTATTATGCTGGCTTCAATATTTCAAGTTGTTATTGGATTAAGCGGGGTGCTGGGCTTAATGATGAATTTCATTGGTCCATTGACTGTTGCTCCTACCATTGCCATGATTGGTCTGTCGATTTTTGAAGTGGCCTATCATAAGAGTGAGAACCAGTGGTGGATTGCTGTCATGTAAGTACTATTTGCACAAAGTACTGAAGTACTACAGCTTGTAAAATATGATATACGACAGTCGGATCATTTTATTAGAGATACAATAAATCTGTGCCTGCTATCGTCCCAGATCTGTTTTCTCCACTTACTGCTCAATGTTTTCCTGTTCATTCATCTATGACTAACAACATGCATTTTATCGTTGTCATCAACAGGGCACATTCATTTACTACTTTGAAGAAGTTGTGCTATAGTATATGGTTTTGTTTGCATCATTATCTAATTCTAAAAAAGATAGTATCACGTTTAATGGAATTATTTAACGTACTCCACTATGAGGCACCCTTAATCACAATATCCCGACTGACTAGTAATTATTGTAATTATGATTTATCTTGATTTTACAGGACCGTGGCTTTAATAGTGATATTTTCTCAGTATTTAAGAAACATTTCTATACCATGTGTTGGATACACTAAAGGGTCTGGTTTCAGTAAAACAAAGATACCAATATTCAACTTATTTCCGGTAAGAAAATTATATGTCGTGGTGATTATTTTTTTACAAATTTGTAATCCTGTGTTAATCAACTTTCGATATCAATCCAGAACAGTTGGCATTATATTATATTTTCATGCAGGGTGATAACTTAGCTATCTAACCGACAGTAATCCTGAGCATACTGAGTATTGAAGAGTATGATGAAATCTCTCAAAATGTTTTAGCTCGCATCCACAGAATCCAATACCATTGTGGTTTCCGGTGTTCACTATCTCCATCTACTTAGTTGTTACACCATATAGTAGCTCATTAGTTTCCTGTTTTACATTATCCATCTACTAGTAGCCCCCCCCCAGTACCATTAGTTTCCTACCAGCTACTGTAGCTCCTCCCCTACCAGTTATCCAATTCTTTTTATCTCATACTTCTCCACCACCAATAGGGTACGCTTGTATCCAGCATCTAGTTTTCTAAGACCCAGTTCTCTTGCATCTAGTAGTTTCGTACCAGCCAGTTCCCCTGGATCTAGTATCATGAGTATAGATCTGCAAGTGTTCTCCCTGTCGGTTGTTATTGATAATATGTTAATTATTGTATATATTTAGGTATTGTTTGCTATAGTAACGGCATGGGTTATTTGTGTAATATTAACTGTTACTGGTGCTCTCTCTGATGACCCAAAAGGCTGGGGATATGCTGCTAGAACAGATACCAAACTGAGGGTTTTAGACGAAGCTGACTGGTTCCGATTTCCTTATCCAGGTTTGTATTTAGGAAGATCTTTAAAGAAAGGTAGACAGGGTCGTTAACATATATCTAAAAATGGCATGTTGTAAGGGAGTTAAACACATCGGAGTATTAAAACAAAAACCAGGAAGAATGAGCTACCTTTTCGTTGTACGAAATATTATTATTGCTGCCTGAGAATCATGAAGGTTGCGATGTGAAACCCATAGAAACCTATGTAACTTTAAATGGCCATAACCCAGGTTAGAATTGATGACCTTAATGATGTTTACAGTGACACCTTGCTCAACAACCACTTCAGTGTCACGGGCAGCTCACGTATGAGACCGTATTTTAAAACAATGTATAAAATCTACATCATGGGATTCCACTATTGGCACCAATATATTAGACCAGTACTCTGACATGGTCTTAAACCCCGTTATCTCTTATTGTTGTTTGGTTCTCAACTCTATACGTAATCGCTATTCTAGCATATTGGGATTTTAAACATTGTAATTTGTTTTAATGTATACGGTCCTCAACTCTATAAGTAGCCTTTATTATGGCATATTAGTGGTTGGAAATGACATCTATCTGCACGTGGATTTATAATTAAAATTTAAAAGTCTTTATTTTATAGGGCATTGTTAATTTGTCTCTTTCTTACCGCGCAGGGCAATGGGGCACACCAACTGTAAGTTTAGCTGGTGTTTTTGGTATGCTAGCTGGAGTGTTTGCGTCTATGATTGAATCCGTTGGAGATTATTACGCATGTGCACGGTTAGCTGGGGCACCTCCGCCACCAGGAAGTGCCATCAGTCGTGGTAAGTTTTACTAACGTTATGGAAGTAGAACATCTAAGAATTTACGTGAGTTATTTTAAGACTATATATTTACTTATGTGTTGTCTTGAGGATGTTTTGATTTATTAAAAAGCGATGCAAACTCTTGCTGTGTATTTAAAAATTACAAATGGAACACATTAGTGTAAAGCCACTGGTCGACAGTTGAGGGGTTTTAATCCACTGAAGCTACAATATTGTGGAATTTGAATTACATAAAAGAGAGAGAGAGAAATTGGGTTTAACGTCCATTCGACACAAACTAGGTCATTTCGGGACTAATATGTGGTTTTTATTTTTATTTCAATAATTCGCTTCCGCGAAGGGGGTCTTTAGCAGTGGGAGGAAACCGGAGGACCAGGAGAAAACTCACGAGGTTGGACAGGCGACCCTACTCCTTGTCACGTACAACCGGGGATTCGAAACCACGCCAGTTGACTCAATGACAGGTCGTATGATACAGCACGCACGTGCTAACCATTCGGCCATCCAACCCCCCCCCCCCGAATTACATAAAGGATTATCGATCGGAACAATGGTTCATTTACAAATATATGTTGGGCCACTTTTAACACGACTAAATCGTAGCCAGGAGATTATCTACCGTTGATATTTTGTTTTTCCTTTATTAATCAAATGTTAAATAAACAATGAGTACATCGAAGAGAGGATAACTGGTGAAAAAAACTTAAATCGAAAACTACATACTATGCTTAGTTTAGAATTGCATAGAAATTAAAGGCGGTTTTCCGCTGAATCAAACGCAGATAAATAAACACGGCACTGATTTGTTGAAAAAAAGAAAATTAACTTGATTACCGTGGTCAGGTTGTAAGATAATTTTTCAGGTATTGGTACGGAAGGACTGGCTTGCATAATTGGTGGTGCTATCGGTTCACCAGGCGGTACTACCTCTTACAGTGAAAATATTGGAGCCATTGGCATCACAAAAGTAAATGTGCTTATAATTCAATCTTTTACTGAATACACAGTAGGAACAGGTAGAGAGTTGAAAGAGACCGCAATAAGTTTTTTTGTGCTTTACATGTTTATAAAATGACCGTTTATCTATTGATGATAAATGTACCACTATCGATCATCAAAATCCTTGTCTTCACGTTGTGTTCTTTTAATACTGAAACTTAGGAAAACCGCGTTGTTCTAAATACGTGTTTATATAATAGTCATGTATTATAAATACAAGAGTTACAACAACTATGATATTACAAATATAAGCCGCAGGCTAAAGTTTCTAGGAAATGTAAATAATGTCTCCATTAACTGGGTCGGCTAATACGGGAGGTAACATCTGTTTTGCTGACAGATAATTTCTGAAAAATGGGTTGTCGACCAATTATAAATAAACTATATAGAATACCAGCGTGCTATTACTGTGATATTAATATTAGCCTGTGAAGCATCATGTTATGTTATCCCCCACCCCACCCAGTCCCACTCGACATAAGTTGTTTCAATGGCATTTAGTATTTGAACTTTAAATAAATAGGTTAGAATTCTATGGAATACAAGTACTGCTTATTACTGGGCTGCATTTCGACTAGGTTTCTCTATTCTTATCAACCTGTTTCAGGTTGGTAGTCGTGTTGTTATTCAAGTAGGAGCTGTTATAATGATAATACTTGGTTGTTTTACTAAATTTGGTGCACTGTTTGTTACATTACCTGATCCTATTGTAGGTGGCATGTTTATTGTTATGTTTGGTAAGTATAATACATATATTTATTATGTATATATATATTTAATAACAACTACTCACACCTTATTTTAAGATAAACATATTACAATTTTTATTTCTACCGATAGAGTAGAATGCATCATGTGAAGCATGGGGACGTCATATCGGACAATGGACGTAGAGCCGTAAGGGGAACCATGTAGAAATTCAGGACTGTACCCAAAAATCTAGAGTTCTTGATATTGATATTATGTTAAAAATTCGGTGGTTTTGTTCATTGCTATAAAGAAGAACACGATCTGATTTAAAGATTGGCAGAGTTCTTGGTACTGGATAAGAGAACTAGCACGGATGACTTTCCTGTTGGCGAATGTCAAGTTCTGACTGATTAGCCCGCGTATACTATTCTCAATATACTTCAGGTATGGTATTGCTCATTGCAATAAGGAAGACCAGATCGATTTTAAAGATTGGCAGAATTTTTGTTATTTCGTGACATTGATTTCAGACTAACAGGGACCATTTGCCTGTTAGAAGATGTAGATTCCTATCTGACAAACTAACGTATAATGTTTTCAATATACTTCAGGTATGGTAACGGGGGTAGGAATATCTAATTTACAATTTGTGGATTTGAATTCCTCAAGGAATTTATTAGTTGTGGGACTACCAATGGTGTTTTCTCTGTGCTTACCTAAATGGTTAGAAACTCATCAAACAGCCATTAACACAGGCGAGTATGAATTTACACTTAAATCAAGTGGACGGACCTGCAATGATAGTGCATTCATGTGTATGAAATATATGAAGAGCCCCGGGGAAGAACGATGTAAGTCACTTTTTCAAAGAACCCCAGTTAATGGCGCCAATTGTATAAGCTTTCTGTGGAACAATCTATTTCAGGTAAAAACGATCTGAGTCACATCGAACCAAGGCCCTTCTGAAATGGCCTCTCGGACAAATACAAGTCGATCGTACCCTTTTTTTAACCTTAATTTGCCTGAAAAGTTGAAATCAGTTGTACTAGTAATTATGATGTGACTTAGATCGTTCTTCCCCTGGACTCTTCATATGCCTTTTCTTTTTGAAATGTTTACTTTGTAAGAATTTTCAGAGATGACATTCAAAGTGAAAGGAACATTGCCAAATCTGAGAACCGTTTACAATATACGGCTGTTTTACACAGCCGACAAGTTGGAATGGTTTTGTCATTTATTATTGGGAATTTGGGTTGGGTTGGGTACGTAAGCTGTAAAATTGCTCTATTATAAACAAAATGATACAGTTGATACCTTTCTTGAAATCGCCTTCACAGCATTGACCACCAGTTAAACCACTCTTTTTTCATGTTCCGTGATCAGATATAATGCGTGTTTATAGAAAGTAAAATAGCAGATCAGATATTAAGTGTGTTTATAGGAAGAACAATAGGTGATCAGATATTAACAGTGTCCTTTGTATTATTGTAGGTAGTGAAATAGCTGATCAGATATTAACTGTTTTATTTGGAACCAGTATGTTTGTAGCTGGTGCTCTCGCATTTTTTCTAGATAACACAATCCCAGGTTAGTCTTCTAACTTTATTAAAAATAAATTGAATGCATTTTTATACGCTCATGTTTCATTTATGATTATGTTGCCTTCGCATGTCCATCTGAACACAATTCTCGTAAACAACTTTGATAGGATCGTTTTGCTGTTCATACAGAGGGATGCTGTCGAAATTTTGCATTCATTTTATGCGATGCTATTGCCCATCTCAGTGAAACCTATAAACGCTCTACAGATCAGAACGATCCGGGGTTCAGTTTCGCGCATCAATTATCTTGAGACACTGCTCATGCCACCTGCAGTTTAACGTGTTTAGATCTTTAAAGAGGCGGTCTAGGGTGTAGTGGTTTCAGTTTTCTACCTAATTTTCAGGGAACGATTTATAAACTTGAAAAATATCAACTATTTTTGTAATTTCAGGAACTTTAGAAGAAAGGGGAATTCTAAAATGGAAACAGAAAGTCGAAGGAGCAGACACAGATGATTCTTCAGATCTCACAATCTATGACATTCCTTTGATTCAGAAATACCTCAATTCAATGACATGGCCTAAATATGTTCCATTTCTGCCGAATTTTACGGGTGATAAGGTTGGCTCGGGAGGCGGATGTTGTGGTCGCAAAAAATCTGCGAATATAACCGATGCTGAAATTTACGTAAATAATGGATTTACAGACATTGAGGGTGGGCAGAAGGAGACGAATGACAAGTTAAATAAAAAACCAGAAACAATAATGTGAAGTAGAATTAGTAATTAGTATTAACATGGTTTTAGTTATGATGAAAAATACGGTGCTTTTTTGTTCTAACAATTCTGTATTTATTCTGCGTAACTTTTTTGCGCATTTCTTGCTTCGTGCAAAAATACCAAAACCTTAGCGAATCACGGTATACAGGGAGGGATTTTCGAGTTTAGGTTTTATATAAGCCAGCCTATACTTTTTTTCGTGTAAAGACTTTTATGATTAATACCTGGCTAATACAAAAGATTATTGTTACCTTGTTATCTAAGTCCCAAAACGATGGTGGTATAGAATCATTTGAGATTTAAAATATATCATTTATTAATACATGTATACTGGCGGATATGCTGTATTTTTTATGACCAGATTCATAAACATAAAAACACTAATCAAATATTCGGGTGATAATACAACAAGTTGGAGACATTTAGGTCTTTATAAATTTCATGCATGTAACTACAGAACCATTGTCATATCACTGTATTGTTACCATCTCACTGCATATTGTTGAACAGCTTTCATTAGTTATTTTTGTATGTTGGAATTTTTTTTCATTAACTTCCTTCGTCTAATTATCCTGATATTAAAACGACATGATATCCATTCCAGTGGACCATTTTTAACAGTCATTATATTATGCAAGAGCTAAATCTGCCTATTGTTGGTCTTTCTTTAGGCAATAGTATATAAACTATTAATTAGACATTCATTAACATGACAAGACCATAATCAACTCTCGATGCCATCTGAGGGGTCCGATTTATATCCGAGAACTGTCAGCTCTTTATCTAATCTCCCATAAGACCGCTTTAAGATATTAAAAAATCAGTTTAATATATAGGATCATCAGTTTAATGTATTGGATCATCAGCTTATTATATTGGATCATCGGTTTAATATATTGGATCACCGGTTTAATATATTGGATCACCGGTTTAATATATTGGCTCACCAGCTTAATATATTGGACCATTGGTTTAATATATTGAATCATCAGTTTAATATATTGGATCATCGGTTTAATATATTAGAAAAGTTTTGACATATTGGGTCACGAGTTTAATATATTAGAGCATTACCTTAATATATTGGATCATTTCATTTCGTAAAATTCGTTTTTAATTTTTAAAAAAATTAAATTTAACAAATAAATTTACATCAACTAAAACTGCTCATTGTTATATTTGTTCATCATTAGTCATTTCGTATGCAGGGTTTTAAGATTGTATAATTTCAACTTGTTTCAAAATATTCTTTTCACGACAGCATACAATTATTTCTGGCAAGGCTTTCCTGAACTCATTGCGGTTTTAAGGGGCTATAAGCGTTTTTATTCAAAATGAGTTTTTTCGATACAATCGAGAATAGGACTGTGATTCAGCAATTGATAAATCACCCACTCCATGGTAACAAAGTTGACAAACGACTAATAACCCACCCAAATTGCCACACGGATGCTTTAACAATTATCAAATAGAAATGACTCACCTGAAACCGAATCTCCATCTTCACCATACATACTGTAATTATAAAGCTAGACCAAGAGACCCACTCACTAAACAGCCACAGTGTTTATCAGATGTCATTCATCGGAGGATGTCTGTTATATGATCTAGTCAACACAAAATGCTTACATACTTTTGAAGCAATTAATCAGTTCATCACGACATAATACCAATAAGCCACCATACCTTCTGGGGTTTTTTTATACCGATATTTATAGTATATTTTTTTTTATAACGGCGGACTATTGAACCCGCCGATTAGTCCACCCGCGGACGAGTGAACCCCTTTCCCTGTTTATGTCATGTCGCATAAAGGCGAAGAATTTTAAACAGAATGACAAACAAAAAGTTCTAGACATCGACATCCCGCGGCCTTGGACATGTTTTGGCAATCTGTTTCATAGAGGTATTGCGAAGGCATTCTTCTTATATCTCTGTGTAAGATGACTGACCTTTATAGTGCAGTGTTTATATAACGTTCTGGTCCGGGCAGAATGGTGCCTTTTACCCATTTTATATACTCATTTTCGCTAAAAATAGGAAATATTTTTTATCCAGATATATACTCTTCACAAAAAGTAGGGGATATTCAGAAACACAAAGAGATACACTGTCAAAAGTGAAAATGGACGTTTTTGATTTTTGTCTTAATAATGAGTAATTGCACCACCAATCCTCAGTCATTCAGCAATTCGTTATGGCATGCTCCTAATCAACTGCTCGCTGTGTAGAACCCATTTGAAGCATGCCAATAGCATCTAGACATTTATCATGTTGAAGACGTCTCATTGCAAATTAAACGTAACACACTAAAGCAAAGATACGCTAAACAGTAACCCTTCCTTGAAGTGTCAAATTTTACAATGAACCCCTCCCACGTGTATGGCGGCTATTGCGTGTCGCATGTGCAGCTCAGTGGTTCTGTTGGGGCGATAACTTCAAAGCATGTCAAGTGTCCCTGACTATTTATCATATCACAACCTGCATAGGTATTTGCATTTCAATATCCCCTACTTGTTTTGAAGAGTATACTTCAAACACCTTTATTTATTTTTCTATTACTTAAAAAAAATTCTAGAATTTAATTTGCAAAAATGTTAATATTGCGAGCTCATTTACCTGCGCCGATTTTATCCCTCTCAGTGATATTAGCGGCCAAGCATATATGCACTAGGGATCATTGTGATGTTTTGGAAGGTACATGAATAGACAATCTCTGCATTATTAGTAAATTAAACGTGGGCAGTTAAAATATGAACGATGGAACACCTGGAGGTCAAAAATTATATAAAGTTAATAATTATTAAATAGTCCGATCATCCGTTACTGTGTATTCAACCAAGCGTGAATGGACGTATCTGTCCCTATCTATGTCAAGAGGTTATTGCGCACAGCCTTCTCAGCCGTTACTTTGGACCCCTATATATACAAGCAACTAAAGGGGCCGTGGGATTACCCTTTAAATTGTTTGCCATTTTGTGAGAAAAAATAAACCCACAACCAAACTAAGTTTTGATTAAGGAAATTTTGATTTAACTTTGTGTTTTAATTTGAAGATATTGTCACAAGGTGAAGGCTATTAATAATGACAGTGAGTAAAAAACTACTATATATCGTAATTTTGACAACCTGAATACCTGTTTAAGTAGTAGTCAAAATACCAACATACTACCTCGTAAATCGAAAACATCACGTGACTTCTACAATTATCCAGGCGTGGAAAACTTCACGCACAAATGTGATCATTTCACGCTCCTCAACGACCAAGTGCAACTGCCAACCCCAACCCATTATCTCACAGCCCTGTATTGTTCTCCCAGCCTAGTCTATATTGTTATAAATGTACATAGTTTTGATTTACTGACTTGTGGAAACATGTTCTAGTTGATAGACACTATTATGTAAACCCCTTGCCGACACAGTGACTAAGACGTTGGCTCGCTAACCTAGAGGTCCCTTGATCTATCGGGATTTTCCGTCGTGGTTGCCCCTTGTCAGTGGTGCACGACAGAGGGCATAGTAAGTCGTTTTGGTGGAACAATAGACAGATGTCCCGTGTGCACATTGACGTGTACGTCAAATAATCCTTGACCGTTGTCCAGGAAAAATTTCCCTCATAGCACATTGGATGACATGATTCTGCCCGCCTTCCTTTAGCCCAGTCGGTGTAGAATAGTAGGGCTATTCTTCCTTAATACCTTTCATCTAACTTTCATATCATTAAAGAACCAGGGCGTTTAAGTACTGAGCAATAAGGATATAGCGAAAACTTCCAGGCCCGTTTAACTGGGGGGGGGGGGGGGCAATGCAAAATGTACCCCCCCCCCCTGGGATAAAATTGTCGACCATAGATATACATTGTCCGTCAATTTTACAGCACCCCTGAGAACACTTCCCGCTCCCCTCGTTGCTCTGAGCTAGCTACGACCCTGAAGACATCAAATTATTCATAGTAAACTCAAACTAAAATACTTTTGCCTGCAGGTTCTACAAAATCGAATCGAATGTGGGGGCCATTCAAATATTTCGTGTTCGTATTTTAATCAAGCGAAATATACTAAAACGTATGTTTCATATTAACTATTGTATTCAGTGATGATATATTTGACAATTCTGTATACCTGTATTTATTTTATGATCAGTAGTGGAATACCGCGTTTTATCAGTGAAATAAAAGTGTTATTCCACTGGCTAGTTGTTTTTACCTAAAATGATTGTAAAATCATAAAATAAATAGAACATTTGTCGTTTTGTCGTGAATAACATATTTTATTTCATCTCTAAGCAAGAAAACGTTTATATAAAATATAAGTTTTCTTGCTTTTCGATGAAATAAATTATGTTATTCACTCTAAATCAACAAATATCCTCTATTTATTAATTGTTACTAATAGGAAAAAGGTATAGATCAGGAAGAAAAGAAGTATGATAAGAATAAAAGAGTACTATATTCTGTTAAAGAGATACCACCCTGGCATATAACTATTATTCTTGGTTTTCAGGTAAGCTTATATATAGAACATATAACATGACAATATTTCTGACGACCCCCCCCCCCCCCACGCCCTAGTTGAGCGAAAAAGTACTTTAAGATGTTATTAAACCAAAGTCAAATACAAGATAATCCTACAAAGTCAAATACAGTATAATTCTACAAAGTCAAATACAGTATAATTCTACAAAGTTAAATGCATTATAATACTATAAAATCAAGAAATATCAGCGCCAGATATCTTAAACTCTGAACTAATTTTGTCAAAAGGGTGGCTTTTACGGAATTGGTCGGTTTAAAAAAACGTTATTGGAAGCGTTATCGGGAAAGGAGAGGGTAAGGTGAGGTGGGGGAATCATGGGGGGTGGGGGAATCATGGGGGGGTGGGGGTTGTGAACAACTATGCCACTGATCGATTCTAAGTATGTAGAGATTTAACAAATTGTTATTGTACTTTATGTATTAACATTAATAACAAACATAGAACGGGTGAGTACATTTTACCTTCTTAACGTTTGCTATATAAATGAAAATTAGAAGAATTGAACCATTTAATTCAGTTAGCGAGCAGGTTTCTATGATGTATTGAGATAAAGTGAAACGATAAAAATTCTTTGTACAAAAACCCAGTCTTCAATTACAAAATCGCATATTTACAGAAAACACACATGCATAACAGACATGTTTGTCGTTTTGCATCAGTAAACAGTGAAACCATGGCCTAGTTTATTATAATCCTATATCTATTGCAAGCGTTAACAATATCTTATATACTATGCAGCAAAAGAAACGTCGGGTTGGTATGTTACTCTGAATAGACGCATTGCATAAAACTTGCTAAATGTTTTTATTGTATATTTGTGACCACATCTACAACTTTACCTGAGCAACAAGGCTCCTTCCCAAACACAGAATTGAACCCAGGAAATGTTCTCAAAAACACAACCTGTCTTCTGAGATGGTAATGTGTTCTCCCTGATTTTCATTAAACTCATGCTGCACGTGCTGTTCACCGGGACCAGCCCTATAAAAGGCACCCCCATACCTGGTTGAATCATTCACACTACAACGTCAGCAGCATGCCCCGACTCGCGACAGCTCAGAGGAACCAGGCGCTTGGAAGACTCGACGCTGGCCACACTGCCCAAGCCGTTGCCAATCACTTCCAGGTCAATGTTCGGACCATCTACAGGCTTCAGCAACGCTTTCGGGCCACCAACACCACGGATAATCGCCCCATAACTGGTAGACCAAGAGTTACCACAAGGCGACAAGACCGCCATGTTGTGCGACAGCAGGTGCAGAATCGCTTCACACAGGCATCTGAGACAGCACGCCAGAAAGTGGGAACACACGGAAGACCCATCAGTACCGATACAGTGTGCCAACGTCTCACCAGAGAGAACATCCATTGCCGTAGACCTTACCGTGGACCGATCCTCACCCCTCGCCATCGACGTGAACCTCTACAATTTGTCCAACAACACCAGAACTGGCGACACCGGCAATGGAGAACTGTTCTGTTCACAGATGAGAGTCGGTATTGCGTTTCAACTGCAGATGGCAGGACCAGAATATGGCGTCCACGTGGCCAGCGTTATTCTGCCCAATGTGTCATGGAACAAGACTCATGGGGAGGTCCAAGCATAATGGTTTGAGGTGGAATCGGTCTGAACCAGAGAGTGGGTCCTGTGGTGTTCCACAATCTTGGTCCAGGTAGAGGAGGCGGCATCACAGCAGTGCGCTACCAGACCCCACGTCATACCACATTTCGCACGTCATCGAAACAACGTTTTTCAGCATGACAATGCCCGTGCCCACGCCGCCAGAGCTACCCTGGACTTTCTACAGCAGAACGGTGTCAACGTTATGCACTGGCCAGCTCTTAGTCCGGACTTAAACCGATTAAACATCTTTGGGATGAAATTCAGAGAAGACTTAATAACATCGTACCGAGACCAAACACGGCCGATGGATTGCGCCAGGCTTTTCTGAGAGGGTGGTTCCAGGTGCCAATGGCGTTCATCAATCTTCTGGTCCGCTCCATGTACAGACACTGTGCTGCTCTTATTGACACTCGTGGTGGACACACCATAGACTGTGTACAGACTCTAAACCTTCTCGTAATGTCATGGAATTGTGATGAATTAATCACTAATGTGTCAATATACTGTTCACAAAAAATTGCTTTGATCCATTCAGTAAGTCGTTTTCTAGAATGATTTGATTAAAGTGCCTCTCTGATTTTGAAATCGTACTGACGGTTATTTTTTGCTGTTTAGTATATTTATCTAGATGAGTGTCAGGGTACGTGGGACACTCGGAAAGAGTCCCATTTCTTATGAACCTTCAGATTTGCACACAGATTACATCCCTTAAATACCATATTTTATATATGGATTAAAATGTGAAGCATTCACCTTTCCAAAGATGAAACTGACCAGTTTTACTACGTATTTCTTGAAAGATGTCGACAACCTAACAGATTGTGGCTTCTTCTCAAAAAAAAAAAATTATACTTAAATGCTTACTCCCAGGTTTTTGTATCATATTATCGTTTTTACCCTGTGCTTGATAACGACAAGGGGACACTTGTTGAAACGTTGCACTATTAAAGTTGCTAGAGATTGTTATCCATAAAGTTGGGTTGTGTTTTTTCAATGTTAGTCCTATCACTAAATGCCTTATAAACAATATAACCTAACAGATTTCAATGTATCATTATTTCGTCGACATGTGATATCAATAGTTTCTGTGGTTTTGGATAGCACTTTCAAAATATATGTATAGAAAGCCATAAATCGTCTAGAATCGGCCGTCATTTATGTCCTAATCACTGTTATAATCTGATGTTTTAACATGCAGTCAAAAATCTTCGAGCTGGCATTGGTCTAATAAAGAAACTTGTGTTAACTGTTCTATGAATTGGGTGGTATCAGCAGTCCGGTGGTCTAATATGTTACTTAGGAGACTTCTCCCCAAATCTTAATTGCAATGCCGACAGACCTCTCGTAATCAGGTCACAATTCATTGGAATGTCCATGTCGATCACCAAATAACACATTTTGTATTTTGACACCCCTCTCCTCTCAAGTACACCAGTTTTGTTGTTTATAATAATATATGTTACCATGGTTTCTAAAATGTTTTTGAAGGAATAGTTTTAGAGTAAATCCAATTTATTTCAGAATTTTCTGACATGTCTCGGTTCAACATTCGCTTATCCACTGATTATACAGTCTGCGTTGTGTTTGTCAACTGACGCTGTTGGTCTAGCTCAGATAATTGGTACAACAATATTTGTTTCTGGTGTATCTACGTTGATACAAACTACTTTTGGTGTTAGGTATGAATAACTATATAAATGTATATACTTTGAATATTGCCGTCAATAACAATACATATACTGTTAGAAGCTGAATAGTATTCTAACTACCTGAGGACATATGAAAATATAATTATTGTCTAATTGACATGTAAAATGAATAAAAGAAAACATAAATGTTATATAATTCAGCTTTTCAAAGAAGATTTTAAAGTCTAGCATTGCCTGATTAACCTCTTGCTTTTTTTTGTTCTCCGATTTCCTAAAATTTAATAAAAATTTCCCATAATTAAGTTGGTTGGGAAATGATAACGTTTGTGTTGAGTGGACGTTAAACACATGCATACGGTTATCTGGGTATTGACGTTTCTAGTTTATATTAGACAATAATCGATTATTATCGATATATCCATTATTTTAGGTTACCTATTCTACAAAGCTGTAGTTTTGCTTTTGTCACACCAGTTATATCTCTTCTGACTTTAAACCAGTGGGCGGATTGTCCCTTTAACGATAAATCGTGTAAGTATTTTCAAATGGTATCTTACACAATTGAGATACTAAAATATTCACATCATTTTCGAAATACTTTGAGGTTAAAAAGTAAAATTCAGTGTTATCGTAACAATAAGCATATATATATAATCAATGAATAATTTTGTTTAGAGTATATTCAATTTTAAAGGGTTTTGCCGATGGAACGTGATAAAAAGAAAGGTATTTCAATACGAAGGTAGAATCTGGGGCATGTTTCACGATATTTAAACTAAAGTTAAAATCCAAATTTTAGTAGATACTTCAATTTTGATTGGCTGAGCACTAAAATCAATCTAATATTATCTAATCAAATAACTAAAATTTGGATTTTATCTTAGTTAAAAGAACGGTGTTCCAATACGAAGGTATAATCTGATTTTCCCGAAGTTATTATTTTCTCACCACTATATGATTCACTCTTATCGGTTGGACAGTATCTGGGAAGTGTAAAGTCGGGGATTTCAACCTTATATTAAAATTTTTCAGTGAATCAGACCTTATTACCTGAAATTGGCGGCGCTATTCATCGGGAACTATGGCAGGCCAGAGTCAGAGAAGTAAGTATGGGTCAGTAAATATCATTATTGTACACAGGTCGAAAAATAATAATTACCTTTTTAATCTGTTATATGCTGTTTTACAAAACTGTTATTAAACTGGATAATGTATGGCTAAGTATAATGTCAAGTCGTATTTATTGTGTTATTTTGTCACTTGCGTATAACAATATTGTACTTTTTATTTCGTGGCAGAAACCACTAGCTGAAATCTACGACATGTTGAAATTCTTCGTAATTATGCTTGTTCAGAAAAAAATAGTTAAACAAGTCATATGGCTTGAAAAATTGAAAAAAAGTCCACTTTCAAGTATTTTATGAGAAAAAAGACTTATATGTGCTTTAAATCCGTGACTTGTCATTTCTACTGTCCCTCTTGTTGCTAGGTAAATGGAGCCATGATGCTGGCTGCATTATTTCAAGTCGTTATTGGATTAAGCGGGGTGATTGGTTTAATGATGAATTTCATAGGTCCATTGACCGTTACCCCTACCATTGCCATGATTGGTCTGTCGATTTTTGAAGTGGCCTATCAGAAGAGTGAGAACCAATGGTGGATTGCTATTATGTAAGTAATGTATACGCAAAACACGGATACGGCTCACAATTAGAAATATCGTTACTTTACAGCTCAAGCAAATCGGATCTGTAATATATTTTACTAGCAGGATATCCGGCTTCGCTCGGGGGGTCATAACTCCGAAACCAGAAGTGGTAGACTAACGCCACCTGGCCTATGTTACTCCCCGGTCCGAGCTACCCCTATACCCCAAATTTCAGACTCGGGCCACATGTAGCCGCCATCCCCGAACAGACTTTGCTCGGGAGTCATAACTCCGAAACCGGAAGTGGTAGACTAACGCCACCTGGCCTATGTTACTCCCCGATCCGAGCTACCCCTATACCCCAAATTTCAGACTCTGGGCAGACCTAGTGTAGCCGCAAACCCCGAACAGACCGGCTTCGCTCGGGGGTCATAACTCCGAAACCGGAAGGGGTAGACTAACGCCACCTGGTCTATGTTACTCCCCGGTCCGAGCTACCCTTACACCCCAAATTTCAGACACGGGGCAGACCTAGTGTAGCCGCCAACCCCGAACAGACAGACAGACAGACAAACGACAGTCACAAATATATATATAGATAGATAGATAATAGTAGAGAAAGGTAGACTAACTGCGGTCAATACGGAGAGAGAGAGAAATGGGGTTTAACGTCCACTCGACACAAACTATGTCATTTCGGGACTAACATGGTTGAATTTTATTTCAATAATTCGCTTGCGCTGAGGGGTCTTTAGCAGTGGGAGGAAACCGGAGGACCCGGAGAAAACTCACGAGGTTGGACAGGCGACCCTACTCCTTGTCACGTACAACCGGGGAATCGAGTGGTCAATAGGGAATTTAAGAATAGTATTATGTTTCCTGAAAAAGTAAGCATACCCCGCCTTACAGGGCCTCTTAAAACTATATCAATGCGAGCTACCGACCACCGTTACAATCTTTGGCGCCAAAACTTAAAACGTAATAAGATATCAATTATATAATATCTATTTGAGGTAAATATGATTTATCTTGATTTTTTTACAGGACGGTTGCTTTGATAGTGATATTTTCTCAGTATTTAAGAAACATCTCTGTACCATGTATTGGATACACTAAAGGTTCTGGTTTCAGTAAAACAAAGATACCAATCTTTACTTTATTTCCGGTAAGAAATAAAATAAAAGTGCTGGTGATTTCACATATTTGTTCACAAATTTGTAATTCTGCGTTAATTCAATAGCATAACAACGGGGTGATTCTATGGCTATGTAACCATCTCCATGTGGCTCCCATCACCCAGTTCTTTTCATTCTCAGTTCTCCGTCACAATATAGTTCCCAATCAAAGAGTTATCCTGCATTTAGTAGTCCCCACCATCTAGTTCTCCCCTACCCAGTTCACCTGCATCTAAAATAGTCCCCCACCGTCCAGTTCTCAAGTATCTAGTAGTTACCCACATCTAGTAGTTCCTGCCATCCAGCTATCTTTTATCTAGTGGTTCGCCACCACCCAGGTTTCATGCATCTATTAATTCTCCACCACCTAGTTCACCTAAATCTAATAGTTTTCCACCATCCAGTATTCCTGTACTACCAAGTTCTCCGGCATCTAGCAGTTCCCTATCATTGCGTTCCCTATCATCCAGTTCTCTCGCATCCAGTAGTTCCCGCCATCCAGTACCATTAATTTCTCATTCCTCTAATAGTTCCCCACCACCCTGTACTACTGCATCTAGTAATTTACTAACATTCAGTTCTCCCACATCACTCAGTTCTCTTGCATCAAACAGTTCCCTACCTTCCAATTCTCCCGCATTTAGTAGTTCCCCAGCAACTATTTCTCAAATTCCCGGTTGTTCATCATTAAGTTCGCAAAAATCTATCTTTGGTCTATATTTAGGTACTGTTTGCTATAGTAGCGGCATGGGTTGTTTGTGTAATATTAACTGTTACCGGTGCTCTCTCTGATGACCCAAAAGGTTGGGGATATGCTGCTAGAACAGATACCAAACTCAAGGTCTTAGATGAAGCTGACTGGTTCCGATTTCCTTATCCAGGTTTGTATTTAGGGCCACATTTTAAAGGCATGGTAGGCAGTCAAACATGTGTACTATTTAAGACATATTGTTATGCAGTTAAGCACACCCAAGTAAAAGGAAATGACGAAGAATGGGCTAGCATATCGTAATACAAACAATAGTAGAATAAATATTATTACTTTATTTGTTTAAGACATATCAAGATGGCGGTGTGAAATCAAAAGAAACCATAACTTAGCTTAAAATTGATCGATCTGATTGATGCTATTTTTTCTCTCGACTTCCTCGGCATTACGTTGCGACCGTATTTTAAAAGTATGTATCAAATCTGAATCAAATTTACTTCTAACAACAATTTATATCTATTCTGTCCCACAACTGGTCTTAATAATGGGATTTCACTGTAGCCCCCCGCTCTTATTTGTTTATGGTCTTAAACTCTATAAATATAACTTTTGTTCTGACATATTGGGATTTTAAACCGTGTGTGTTTATTGAAACCCATACTTATATCTAATGAGTGCAATGGAGTAGCTAGAAAAAATGGTGGTTGAAAATGACGTATTGCTACACATTTGTCATGAAATTTTTATATTGCACTGTTAATTTGTCTCTTTTCATCATGCAGGACAATGGGGCACACCAACAGTAAGTCTAGCTGGTGTTTTTGGTATGCTAGCTGGAATATTTGCATCCATGGTTGAATCCGTTGGAGACTATTACGCATGTGCACGGTTAGCTGGGGCACCTCCGCCACCCGGAAGTGCCATCAGTCGCGGTAAGTTTTTCTGTCTTTATAACCCTGTTTACATTACAAATTTTAAGCGTGTTGCCTGGCACAGCACGGTTAATTTTTTTGTAGTGTAAACAAGTCAATGTGGTGAGACTAGTTTACTTTTTCAGGTATTGGTATGGAAGGACTGGCTAGTTTAGTTGGTAGTGCTATTGGTTCACCGGGTGGTATTACATCTTACAGTCAAAATATTGGTGCCATTGGCATCACAAAAGTAAATATACTTGTGCTTTATACTGGAAGAGAGAGAGAGAGAGAGTGGGAGAGAGAGAGAGAGAGAGAGTTTTTAATTTCAATACTTCTCTTCTTGTACATATTTGATCCTTAGTAGTAGAAAGCAACCAGTGAATCGGAAGAGAACATGCAAGGTTGGAAAGGCGATCCTTGTCACGTACAGACTTAGATTCGAAACCATGCCACAACATTAATATACGGTTCTAAGATAAGCTGTTTACTGCATCAAAACGTGCATTATGGACAGCATGTTTTAGATTGGCAGTCGTGTTGTAATATGGTAAACAGCTGTTGTAACGTTAAACACATTATGCAAGAGCTAAATCTGCCAATTGCAGGTCTTTCTTTAGGTCTGAAATTATCTAAATTATTAATTAGAAATTAATTAACTAATCCAGACCATAGTCAACTCTCGATGGCATCGCTAGCCTGCGATATTTACTGGATTATGATCCAATTTGCTGCTCGACTTCCATTCATAATTTAATCATGAAATGGATGATCGAGACTATGTTTTTTATCGTACAGACTTTAGAAATGATGATCGAGGCTAGGCCGAAAATTTCAATCGCTTAAATCTCCGTTCATATTGGATTAATTTGACTGAAATTTTCAGCAAATTGCCTTTACATTATCTTTATCTTATCTCCCATAATGTATCTTTAATAATATAATGTTTCATTCAGATCGGTAATTGTGTTGTACAGTTGTTGTAATGGTAGTGTTGTTTATACTGTTAGAATCTGTTATAAAGTAATAAATACTATCTATGTTTCAGGTTGGTAGTCGTGTTGTTATTCAAGCAGGAGCTGTTATAATGATAATACTTGGTTGTTTTACTAAATTTGGTGCTTTGTTTATCACATTACCCGACCCTATTGTAGGTGGTATCTACATTGTTACGTTTGGTAAGTATATATATTTGGATCTCTGTTTTAACCAAGGTAACCATATACCCTATGTCGTGCACGACACCCGTCAATACTATTTAGATTCAGATCCTAATAATATCTAGTTGAAGGTCGGGGAATAGCTAGGAATGATGTCCAAACTTGTTCGACCAAAAATCACGGAGTTAATTAATTTGCTGTCCTTATGGTCCAAGTATAAAATGTTGTGAATGCAATACAGGACCGAGTTTTCGATGAGATCGTTTAAATTAAACGCGTTTTGTGGAGTTATCTTTTCATTCACATTTTGTCTGATAATGTTTGAAACTGGGCTGTGTTGACTTTACGCTTTTTTTTCAAAAATACAAAACATAACAAAACGAAACGAAACGAAACGAAATGAAACTTGACTGCCACCTTCCGTTTTCAATATACTTCAGGTATGGTAACTGGGGTAGGAATATCGAATTTACAATTTGTGGATTTAAATTCCTCCAGGAATTTATTGGTTGTAGGACTACCAATGGTGTTTGCTCTATGCTTACCTAAATGGATAGCAACACACCAATCAGCAATTAACACAGGCGAGTATGCTTTCATTTAATATGGCGTACAGATTATGCATATCTTTCCTTCTCGGTCATTTTTTGCAATACTATGGTTGCTCTTGACAAAAACCCGTTCTTGTCAGTGGCTAGTAGGACCCAACATTGCTGTTACCTAGAAAGTCTCAAATATTAGTGTATAATCATATACTTGTTTTAAATCGCCCTTGTAAGGACGAACTTTATGGAAAATTAATGAATTTCTGCAAAAATATAATATGTTATTCCAATAAACAATTAGAAAAATGATTATTATTTGATCAAGTTCGGAATATCGACGGTTATCATACGCAGCAATTTAACCCATAAATTGATTGGAGTAACGGTTGATGAGATATTTTAATATCTAGTTAAAACTAGTGTTTTTATATAGGAACTGGGCTAATGAAGATGTGGATACGCCATACATTGTGCTAACCCCTACTCTTATATCGAATTTCAACTGCCAAGGGATCTTTTATGTGCAGGCCAATTTGTACACGGGACCATGGTTTTTCATCTTATCCGAACGACTAAATAGCTGTCCTTGGCAGGCCTTCCGTCCTGCGCCACTGACAAGAGGAAACCACGCCGGAAATCCCGATGAACTTTCTCGGCCAACACCGAGAGCTAACAGCCACCTCTAGGCTAGCGAGCCAGCGTCTTACCCACATAGCAACTGTGGTTCCCCTATATAGGAAGTAAAATAGTTGATCAGATATTAACAATGTCTTTTGTAGGTAGTGAAATAGTTGATCAGATATTAACAATGTCTTTTGTAGGTAGTGAAATAGCTGATCAGATATTAACTGTATTATTTGGAACCAGTATGTTTGTAGCTGGTGCTCTCGCATTTTTTCTAGATAACACAATCCCAGGTTAGTTTTCTAACGGTTTTTTTTTTAAATTACATATATTTTTATTTTGGATTATATTGCTTTCACCCGTCCATCCGATCCCAGTTCTTGTATATATATAATTTAAAGAAAAAAAATAAAAGAAAATTTGTATGGCTATCCATACGGAGGAACGCTGTTGAAATACCGTATGCGTCAATCTTCCGAGATTTCAAGAAACCTTGAAATCACTCTATGAGTCAGGAGTTATTTTCAGCTAGTGTTACGAAAACCCCTGTCGAAATTCAAAGATATCTTGTTCAGAGATGTTAAAATCAGCGGGTTCTAAAATGAGCTACGCAGCTCAATCTAAATTAAAACAATCTGATTAAAAAAACGAAACGAAATAGGATCTGTGTTTTAATTAGATTGTAAAAATTTCACCTTCCTATATTATTTTCAGGAACCGTTTAAAAACGTAGAATAACGTATTGAATAAATATTTCATAATTTCAGGAACATTAGAAGAAAGGGGAATTCTAAAATGGAAACAGAAAGTCGAAGGAGCAGACACGGATGATTCTTCAGATCTCACAATCTATGACATTCCTTTGATTCAGAAATACCTCAATTCAATGACATGGCCTAAATATGTCCCATTTCTGCCGAATTTTACGGGTGATAAGGTTGGCTCGGGCAGCGGGTGTTGTGGTCGCAAAAAATCTGCGAATATAACCGATGCTGAAATTTACGTAAATAATGGATTTACAGACATTGAGGTCGGCCCGAAGGAGACCAGTGACAAGTTAAATAAAACCCCAGAAACAATAATGTGAAGTAGAATTAGTAATTAACATTGGTTTAGAAATGGTAAAAAAAGGTGCATTTTTGTGGGGGCTCTAAACAATTCTTAGTTTATTTCGCTCAACGGTTAGGTGTATTTCTTAGTGAGTTATGGCTGCCCCCTTAGGTTTTGTGGGAGCTCTAAACAATTCTTTGTTTATTTCGCTCAACGTTTAGGTGTATTTCTTAGTGAGTTATGGCTGCCCCCTTAGGTTTTGTGGGAGCTCTAAACAATTCTTTGTTTATTTCGCTCAACGTTTAGGTGTATTTCTTAGGGAGTTGTACGACCGCATCCCTTAGGGTAAACAAAAACACAAGCATACTTGAGAATTAAGCTTTACAGCATTGGTTAACAAATTTTGACACCCTCACCCCCAAACCACAAGCCAATCTCCATGTTTTATCACACACGTAAGGTTTATGACATATTTGTTATATATACAGAACTCAAAAAGGGCATGTGTGCTATTTTAAGGCGGACAGGAATACCTTTGATCATGGATCTTGTATTATAAGGTCCATGCTTTGATAAACTATACATATCTGTTATGAATAAAAATGATGTCGCGATATCACTTTATAAGTGGAAGCGGACGTTAAATAAAACTATAATATGTTATAAAACAAAGTGCCTTAATGTTTATTCGATTTTTTATATTTATTTATAAGGCTCAAAATTTGATTTTTTGAAAATACGCCCCTTGATATCTCATGACAGTGGCTTTCCCATACCCGCAAGTCTTCCCACAAAAGAAAACCACCAAAAGGCGCATCTGACAAGTAGTCTAGAAATACGTTCACAAATTTACCCATGTGATGTTTTTATTCTTTTTACAAGTGAGTCGTATTATTCGTTCTGGGGTCATTATGTAAATGCTAAATGTGACTATCGCAGGTCTTTATTTTGGCCTAAAATGCTGTATAAATTATTAATTAGATATTTATTCGCATGACAAGCCCATAATAAACTCACTGGACCATCGGGTGGTTGTGATTTTGAACGGATTGAAAAACGATAGATATTTAATAATTTAATTTAAACACGGATATTATCGTAATATCGGTAGCAATGAGAAGCGAGATTCTTCAATCATGTCTTCGCTTAGAATGAAATAATTTCACTTTCCATTATCTATTTTTAAACTATTATTGCGAGAACTGTCAGCCTTTTATCTAAATCTTACATAATGCATCTTTAAGTAATAGTGCCCTAAAGGTCCTTTCAACTATTATAGCTATAAGTCAGCTCTTTATTTAAATCTTACATCATGCATCTTTAAGTAAATGTTCAGTTCAATATATGGGCAACATTTTCGATACAAGAAACTATTAACAATTTTAGGTTAGAAATTGATTTAAATTCCTTAATCGCCATATCGATTACCTAACGTTTGGCATAAATATTCAGTTCGTGAAATTATCTTATTTAACCTTTGTAACTGTAATTAATTATAATAATATTATAGTATTAGAATATTAACAAACTTAACAATAAAATTTACATCAACTACAAGTGTTCATTCATGGCTGTATCTGTCCATCATCACATATATAGTATACACGAGATTTGGATTATTTGATTTCCACACATAATCAACTAACGTTGTCTGTTTACAATTAGCTCCACTTGAGAACAGACACTAAGCTGGATGACCGACATTTTAAGTACTAAATCCACGATTTTAGTCGAAAACACTAAGTAGGTATATATTTCGAGAATTTTTAGATGTATTTATTCCACTGATTAATATAATAATTGAAAAGGTTTATATTATAGTCTTTGTGTGTATGACAAATGTGAAACGGGGTAGGGCCGTATTACTAAATAGTGTACTTATTTTTGTATATGGCGTCCATTCAGGGCTGCGATCCATTCTCGAAGTAGATAGTTCTCTGTGTGCAGAATGATTCCCACGTTGTATAACGTTCTTGAAATAATTTTCACAGCAGCAACTTAGATTTGAGAAAAGAGATAATCTGGGACGGATCGACAGTTTTTTTAAACCGTTATTCCCACTAGCTTCAAGAAACAGCATATCTCCCTCCATCAACATAAATATATCAACACAAGGTACAATTTTATGGATACACAATTACTGAGTTTAATACTAAGCGACGTTTCGACGAGGATATTCTCGTCTTTATCAAGCAAATGATACAGGTATGTCAATAGTAGGCCAATATATACAGAATATGCAACAAAGATAAGAATCAAATACAGTTAAATCTTAACACCTTTGATTAGGGGGCCATTTACAACTAAACCTACACAACGGAAACTCTTACAGGGATTAAAAGGAGGGGAATCCTATTATTTCGGTTCTGTGACATTTCGGACTAACAACCTTTCGGACTCACAAAATATGACCTCTACGTTTCGGACTCGGGTTGGTGAGTGTGGTACACCAATCACATTTTCTCGCAGACATATTAAATTGATAGTCCAGTTATACAACAACTCTTTAAACCCTATCAAATGTTCCGTGGGGTCATTCGGGGTACACGTCAAAGTTATTTTTAGTCTCTCTGTCCTATTCACTTTTTCCCCATTTTGCGTGGCGATCTTTGTTGACTTTTTTGTGTAGAATCGAAGAAAGGGGTTTGAGTATACATTGTCTGCCAGGTTTTGATGAATATTCATGATTTTGAGGAGGAAGGATTCGAGAGTTAAAGGGACCATCCCGATTTTAACAGAGTCTCAGAAATAAAAGTCTGTGTACGTATGAAATATAGAGGAATGATGTAGTACCTTGTCTCAAAATTTCATCTCAAAATATTGAGTCGTTTGGACGTGAACGTCAAAACCGCTTGTCCATACAGGTAATCCTTTAAAGATTTCGCGTGATTTTATGGGCTTTTAACACAAAATTAAACACTTTTATTCTCCAATATATAATCCAGGTTGGCCCTTTAAGAGTTTGATAAGGTTGAAATGTAGGGCGGAAAATTGCACTTTTTTTTTCATCTCTACTTCCAGTTTGTATATCTCAAGTTTGAGCAAGAGTTTGCCACATGTTACTCCATCTGTACGGTAGAAAGCGTTCTATCCAACGAAAATGTGGAGAAAAGTTAGAGCCGGTCTAAGAGACGGGAATTAACATTAATTAAAGTCAATTGGGAAATTATTTGTTGATATTATTGTAGCCACAATTTCACAATGATTACAGTGCAGCCTACAGGGGAGTTAACTCTGTTTATAGTATTCCGATAGAGGGCGCTATTTTGAGAATGTTGACTGGAGATCAGGGTTGCGACATGACTGAACATTGACAATCTCAGTTATTGTATCTTTATTTTGTGGCACTTGAGGAATAATGGATAAAACTGTAGAAGAAGCATGGGCACAGTTGGTATGCACTACAGATGTAGATTGTCAGCCATTCCCAATTTACCAGGAAAAATTTACCATTGGTCGAGCTAAAGGTTGATTTCTCTACTTTCATTTTGTTTATCATTTCAAAAAATGTAATGAACGATACTTTATTATTAAAGTTCTATGATCTGCTTTAAGGATTTGCTGACTGTTGTCTTACTGTCAAATCAGATTGGAAAGTACAATTTGAGACCGATCTTCCAAACTGTTCAATATGTAGATATAATCATCATGGACCTAGACTCTATAACTCTATAGACTCTCTATTAATTTGTAGTTATGTTCAATTGTCCATGCAATAATCATTCGTTGTTCAGAAAGAAGAAAAATATAATACAGTTTTTGTTCAATCAATAAAAAGGCCATTGTGATTGTGATTCACTAAGGCTAATCCAGATATAACTGCTCAGTATACCCTCCCTTACCTTGAGACAAGGAATGTTGAGTGATGAGGTAACTCTTGTACCACAAATGTACAAGTTGAAGTTGTAGGTCAGTTCTTGTATTTTCGGGAATTAATAATATGATGTTATTACTTGCATTTTTTATTTCAATGTAATCAATGTTCTTATGTAACTTTAAAGAACTGAAAGCTTAGTTTCACAGAGCCATGGCTATGGGCCTTATAATAATAATGTCCTTGATAAAACTTGTACTGGTACCAACCAAAGAAAAGGCATAAGTGTATCAAGGTACATATGGTTCATATTCAACATGTATTTTGAAACAAACAAAAATGTACATGTAATCATGCAGAAATAAAACTTAAAGATTTGTTTGTGTAAACGTTATTAATGATTGATTTTAAATTTTCTTTGTAGCCTGTGACATTAGTTTAGGTGATAATAAATTGGTGTCTGGTACACATTGTTATATTCAGAGAAATAACAAGGGTGAAGCGTGGCTTCATGATTCAAGGTAACGATAATCTACTTTATAATTACTATATGTATCTTATTGACTCCTACAACGTAACTACATAATCCATCTAATGTATGGCACTTGATTGTCTTCACAGTAACAAATAGTTCTACACCTCAGAATGTTATTGCAGCCAAAATTTATGAAATGTTGCATGTATGTCACCAATTATGAAATTCAACCATTGATATTTTGTCAGTTTCTTGCCATATCTTAACAACATAGGTGCTTTTCAATGCCAGGCCTATGTTCTTAAGATATGGAAACTGAAGTCCTGCTATATCATTAGCAGCTCATTAAAGATCCACTGAGAGCTAAATTATTAAATTAAGAGTAGGCTGTAATGGCTCCTTGCACACTGCTTGGCAGAAGCATGTCTTTATTGCTCTTGTTGAGCGGGTTGGATGGCCAAATGGTTAGTGGTGCTCGTTGTATCAGAAGTTCTGTCATTGAGTCAACTTGTGTGGTTTCAATTCCCTGGTTGTATGTGACAAGGAGTAGGGTCGCCTGTCCAGACTCGCTTTGTTTTTCTCCGGGTCATCCGGTTTCCTCCCACTGCTAAAGATCCCTACGCGGAGGAGAATTATTGAAATATAAAAAAAAACTGAACCATATGTCAGTCCCAAAATGACCTAGTTTGTGTTGAGTGGACGGTAAACCCTCTTTCTCTCTCCTTCCCCTTTATTGTTCTTGTTGGTGGTGAAAGGTAAGATGTTATCCCAGTTTTGTTTTGTATGTCATCTGCATTATTATACATGATTTATTACCGTAGTCAAATTCACCTTTTTTTTTTTACAGTACAAATGGAACGTTACTGAATATGGTAACCAAATTAACTAAAGGAGAGGTAATTATTATCAGTATTAGTAGTGAATTAGGTTAACCCTTTAGCACTTGGTACATGTGTATATTGTCTATAGTAGTGAATTAGGTTAACCCTTTAGCACTTGGTACATAATACAGTATAATTAATTCTAAAGTGCATTCAAGTCCATTACACTTATTTATTATTACAGAGTAGATTATTGTCTCATGGAGATGAATTTTTTGTTGTCTACAAAAAGAACAATGAAGAACTCAGTAAGTAAATATAATTCTCCATGCATCATTTTAGCGTTATATGAATCCCTTGCAAACTACAATACATGATATACGAATCTCTACTAATAGGGATATTAGTCCAATAATGGGTCAATTCTGTTCATTATTTACAAAGATATGTTGAATTGAAATTTCATTGATGAATGCTTCTTGCTAGGTAATAAGCCGCCGCCATTTGGATGTTTACGAACACAATGAGGGGCCTGTTTCAAATCCCATGTCTGGATTAGATTATCTGCCGTTTGGATTAAGCTGTGAGAAATTTGATATTGTAGTGAAATATGCAAATGATGCAATGGGACTTTACAGAATATTTTCTTAATAAATGTAAATATATTCACATGGTGCTAGAGTTTTTCTACTAGTCTCATCTGAACAATGACATATTTCTGTCCTGCACCACTGACAAGAAGGGGATAAACCCCGGTCTATACTCACCATGTCACCATATCTCCCCTGAAAAGGAGAGTCTGAGGGGTTTTGTTAGAGGACATTCAACAGTAGCCACATATAGTTAAGATATTGCTTTTATAGAGATCAAAGTCCATTTTTTATATTTTATTTGTATAAAAAATTGAATAATAAATATAATGTTTTGCTACTTGGATTTTCTTCCATCTTTGATTGAAGTTGTGTTTATTGATTCATTTGATAGATATAGGATATGTTTATCAATATTTATTGATTTATTTGGTAGATATAGGATATGTTTATCAAGATATGAAAGAATTAGCTAAAGAAGAAGAATCAGATGAAGAAACTCAGGAGTATAATGTTGCTGATGCTACACTTGCAGGTGGGTAGTCTTATATACTCGCGGGGGGTTGGGTGGTCTAGTGGTTTCATGGGTGCGCGTGAAATCACAAGGTCTGTCATTGAGTTAAATTGTGTGGTTTCGATTCGCCGCTTGAACGTGACAAGGAGTAGGGTTGCCTGTCCAACGTCATGAGTTTTCTCGGGTTTCCTGTCACCTCTAAAGACCCCTACGTGCTAATAAAATTAAACAATATGTTAGTCCCAAAATGACCTAGTTTGTGTTGCCTGGACTTTAAACCCCATTTCTCTCTTTCTCTTATATTTACTGTCTTAAAGATGTTGAGAATTATGGACTGGCACTTCAAGGAAATAGTAACAATGAACTTATCTGACTAATGTTAGTAATATGGTTGATATAACAGCTTTTTGAATAGTGATGATCAAATTAATTGGTTTTCAATGTTTATCTCTTGTTGTCATGGTTTCAATAATTTTTTTCAGATGAAGAAATAAATTTGGTTCCATCACCTACTCAAGGCTTCAAAAGACCACAGGTACCCACCTACTATTGTTTATACAGGTCACAATTTTATGGAATACAATTACTGCTTATTACTGAGTGAACTTGACCACTTTCATAATTATAGTAGGTTAATTAAGTTAGGTTTCCTTCAAGGTAATTATAAGGGTGTCTCTGGTTGGTCAGCATTAATCAAGTTTTGTTTTTTACATGTATATATTGTCTCGTTATATTTTATATCATTGCCCCCCCTTGTCAGTGATGCAGGACGGAGGGCCTGACAAGGACAGCTGTCAAGCTTCAGATGATACTAAAAACAGAGGTCCCGTGTATACATTGGAATGCACGTAAAAGATCCCTTGGCAGTTGGAATTCGATATAAGAGTAGGCGATAGTGCCGCTGCCCGGGCAAAATTTCCCTCATAGCACACTGTATGGCGTATGCCCGTCTTCATTAGCCCAGTTTAGGAGCAGAACAGTAGAACGTAAAACCCCATTTCATTTTATATCATTGCTTGATAATGACTAGAGATGCCTAGTCGAAACGTCGCTCAGTAATAAGCAGTAATTGTATTCCATAGAATTGAGGCCTGTATATTCCAGTTCAATTAATAAATGCCATTGAAACAATTTACTATTGTCCAATTCTCATTTTACCAGAGTATAGGAAATTTTATTCTCATTTATCGTCCGTTTTACTTCCCTTCTTTTGGGTTAAAATTTGCTGCTATACCTACTGGATTTAGCTTGGAACTTCGTGCATGTGATAATAATATATGTGGTAATGTCATGATTCTCTAGTCTGTTCTAATAATGCCTGATTTTAGAGCGGCATTTCCCTAGAAACTAGGAAATGAAATAGAGGTTTAACATCCTCCTTTTCTACACCAACTGGACTAATAAAGACAGGACCTGGAAACTAACTGATGGTACTGAGGTCTTCCATCAACAGCTTCAGCTTTGATGTTTTGTAAAGGTTGACACTACTATTGACATCTCTGTGGATTTACAAGCCAAGGTGTATATTGTCATGAGCTGGTCATGTGCATGCACATAAAGCTTTATGAATAAAGTTTAGTGAATTTTAGATTTTATTTTATAGACCTCAAGAGATGAGGATCCACCATCCAAACGTTCCAAACCAGATGAATCGTCATCTAAAGAGAAATTGCCAGTAGAAACGAATGATGATAAAAAACAACAAACAGATGATAAGACAGAAATTAAAATGAAAGTAGATGAAAGTGGTGACAAGCAAAGTGACGTGCAAAGCAGTGCAAGTAACAGTAAGGATATAGCTACAAAACCACCAGAAAAAGATGATGCTCTAGCAGAAAGTCTACTATGTATTATTTGTCAAGAAATATTACATGATTGTATAAGGTATCAGCATCATTGAATATTATGTTGATTATAGTAATTGTGGAAATTTCTCATTTTCCTTGTTTCTATTAGCAACCAATCACTAAAAAACGATTCTTAAGATTTGTTTCCCTTTGATCGTGTATTCCTTTTCAGCTGTTATATTATTCGTCTCCTTCATGAAGTGGGGGGGGGGGGAGGTTGGATGTCCGAATGGTTAGCGTGCACGCCCTGTATCATAAGGTCTGTCAATGAGATCCACTGTCGTGGTTTCGATTCCCTGCTTGTACGTGATAAGGAGTAGGGTGGCCTGTCCAACCTTGTGGGTTTTCTCCGGGTCCTCAGGTTTCCTCCTACTGCTAAAGACCCCCTACAGACAAACAAATTATTGAAATAAAATTGAACCATATGTTAGTCCCCAAATTACCTAGTTTGTGTTGAGTTTACGTTAAACCCCCATTTTTCTCTCTCTGTCACTTCATAAAAGAGCTAACATCAGATTCTTGTAAACTTATTTTTTGTCCACAAATTTGAGATATTCAAATTTTTGTTGTTTTTTTCTCCAGTCTTCAGCCTTGTATGCATTCCTTTTGTGCTGGTTGTTACTCTGATTGGATGGAAAGATCTAGTGAATGCCCTTCTGTAAGTATAGTACATGTATTACATGCACTGTCGGATTCAAATAAATAGAGGCCCTAGGCTATTCCACCTATGACGCCCCTCCCTATTCTATACCGACTAGAGGAAGATGAAAGTGTGTTTTCAATACAACTGAGCAAGCCAAGGATTGTGACGGATGGTAAAGACTATAGTAAGAAAGGCTGATGGGAGTGTCCAAAAAATGATACTCCTGTGGCTAAGTGGGTAAGACACTGGCTTGCGACTCTGGAGGTCGCAGGTTCGCTCCCGGTATTGGTCAAGAAAGTTCATCAGGATTTCCGGCATGGTTTCCCCTGACAAGGACAGCTGTCTAGTTGTTAGGATGGGACAAAAAACCAAGGTCTGGTGTACACATTGGCATGTTCGTAAAATATCCCTTGGCAGTTGGAATTCAATATAAGCGATCCAGGCCGTAGCGCTGCTGTCCAGGCACACTGTATGGTGTATGCTTATCTTCATTAGCCCAGTAGGACCAAAACAGTATTTCATATAAAGTTAGGTGGATTGAAAGATATATATATGTGTCAAACCGCCATCCATAATTCTTATCGAATCTGTCATTACAAGAGTAAACTAAGCTGTGAATTACATTTACATTAGGGAGCCGTGATGGCTCAGTGAATAATGTGCTGGCTCGCTAATCTAGTGGTCCGGGGTGCCATCCTGGTGTAGGTCAAGAAAGTTCCTAGAGATTTTCCAGCATGGTTTCCCCTTGTCATTGGTGCAGGACGGAGTGCCTGACAAGGACAATGTCTAGTCGTTTGAATGGGATGGAAACTGAGCTGTCGTGTACCCACTGGCATGCACATAAAATAACCCTTGACATTTGGAAGTTGATATAAGAGCGCAAAATTTCCCTCATAGCACACTATAGGTGTATGCCCATCTTCATTGGCCCATTGCAAGTCGGTGCAGAACAATAATAATAATTCTATATTTTTTTTTTTTCTAAACAATATTTATTCACAGAAACTGGATTGGAGAACAGGCAGAAGCCTATAGACCCCCTCTCTGAATAATAAGACGCCTCACTTATTATATATTTCAGTGTAGATTAAAAGCTGAACGAATTAACAAGAATCATATTGTTAATAATCTAGTAGAAGCTTATTTAAAAGAACATCCGGGTAAAAGTTTGATTATATTCATTAACCTTTAAACTACTATATATCAGGAATGCTATTTCAAAATTTTGCTCGTCTGACACTTTTAGTTGGGGTTAATAGAGGCCAGAATTAGGACACCAGAAGTCGTTTGTCAGCTTCAGGTAATAGGATCAATAAGCTTCCATTTCATTTAATAGACTTCAACTACAAATATTTTTATGTTATGTAGCAGATCGTGAACATCACTATGTTTATAGCCTAAGGAATATTTTCTTGTCCATTCCATGGAAAATGATTAAAATATTGTGTGATGACAAATGGGGTGCCAGATGGGAACATGTGGTTAATTCTTACGCATGGCAATGATTATTGAAGCATATAAAAATACAATACAAAATTTAATATTTATTGTTGATGAAAAATATTATTATGATACTTTTTTCTTGTTAGATAAAAAAAGGCCAGAGGAAGAAATTAAAGAACTTGATAGTAGAAACAAAATAACTAGAGACATGGTATGTAATGTAATATATTTAAATTATATCATTGTCACAATTAAATTATCCCTGACGTCAATCAGTATTACGTATAAACAAATTTTCTTTGGGTTGTTACTCTTGTTCAGGTTTTAGTATCTTGTAAATGCTCCTATTAGCTACAAAAAAAATAAATTTGCTGCAAGTCATTTATGCTTGGGCAATTTGACTGCTCAGTTGACTTTGATGCATCTGGCTTATGTTTTGTTGTCTGGCAAAATGTCTTTGGAATGAATGAGTGAAGTCAGGCCAAGTCAGTTTATGAATATAATACATTCTGAATTTAAAGGAATTATGAATCTTCTATTGTCATTCACAGCTATATCCTGTAAAACCAAAAAAAGATGGTTATTCGTTTGGTGAAGAAAGTGATGATTATGAAGATTCGGTAGAAGAACCTGATTCTGATGATGATGATGTTGTTCCACCACCGTAAGATATCATTCACCCTTTAGAACTGTTAAATGTAGAACAAGAAATTAATGCTAGCCAGAAATTAATACAAGCAAAAAATTAATACAAACAAGAAAAATAATACAAACAAGAATTTAATTCGAAAAGGAAATTAATACCAGCAAAAAATTAATACAAGCAAAAAATTAATACAAACATGAAGGGAAAAAATCATTTATTAAATTATATGAAAGATACATAATGTAAGATTTAGATTAAGAGCTTACCTTTTTTGCTATAATAGTTCAAAAATAGACACCGGTAATGCAAAATGAATATATTGAAAATTTTGACAAGATGTGCCAATTGATTGCTTATTATCATAACCACAGTACTGGTATATTCAAGTCTTAGCCTCGCTTTACCATTTTTAAATTAAATCATTAAAATGGTCGAACCATTCATACTAGTTAAAATCTTGAGTATCTGATGGTATTGAGAGTTGATTATGGCTTTGTCATTTTAATAAATTAATAATTATTATTTTTAAGGCCTAAAGAAAGACCTGCAATAGGCAGATTTAGCTCTTACATAATGCATGTTTAATATATAAACATTGTCTTTTCTTTTTCTTTTAGTCCCTATGTGACATTACCAAGGCAAGTTTATATTTTGATTTTATTAAACTTACCATATTCTATTCCATTTTTCAGACAATCTCTAAAATATACTTAAAATATGAGTATTTAACATTTAATTGAGACAGATGGTAGCTTATCTCCCAGCTTTGTTAAATTTATGTCTGGTCGTAACAACGTTCAAGCTGATGTTAACTTATTGTTTGCTATATTTTTTTAATACACATTTTATATGGGTTTGCCATGTATTTGATGGTTTTATATAAAAATATGATATGTTCATTACAAAACATCTTTTGTATAGATATTATTTTTGTTTCTTTTTTTTATTACAGACCTGCAGCAACTGGTCATTTATTTGGTTTACCATTTGGTGTTATTCCGTAAGTTGAAATTATAAATATCAGTATTATTATTATAAGCACACAAATTATAAATATCAATATTATTATAACCACACAAATTATTAATATCAATATTATTATAAGCACACAACTTATAAATATCAATATTTTTAAAACCACACAAATTATAAATATCAATATTATTATAAGCACTCAAATTATAAATAACAATATTATTATATAAGCACACAAATTATAAATATCAATATTATTATAACCACACAAATTATAAATATTTTTAAAACCACAAATTATAAATAACAATATTATTATTATAACCACACAATTATAAATATCAATATTATAATAACTGCACAAATTATAAATATCAATATTATTATAACCACACAAATTATTATAACCCTATAAATTACATGCTTGTAAAATGTAACAATTCATTTTCTATAGAAATTAAAGTTTTTTAATTAACTCTACTGATCTTCATTTGAGTGATTTTTAAATGCTTGAAAATTACAGCATTGTAAATGTTGAATTGCTTTAGAAATATTTGACCAATAATAGTTAATTGATTAAGTACTTATGAAAATTAATATGATGCATTGAAAATTTTGTAACATCGTCATTCTCTGCTGGTGACATAAGAAAGCTAGTGCCTTGTGTTATGCCACAGTGACACATGCACGACTTTTGTCACCTCAGTGCCGCACAATGCATTGTTGCAAGGTGTGCCGTTTAGGTGAAGCTGTCTACACAATGTGTGGCCATAAATTGGCAGCATAGGTAAGCATTGAGATGCAATGGCACTACTTGTGCACGTGTAGGCATTGTTCTCCAGTGTCATGCACAGCACACATAACATAATGTTTATGCATGGTTCATGTAAATGACAGGCACATGGCACGTGCCAAATTTTTGAAAATTTCAAAATTCTCTCTATGACATGACACGCAAGTCTGCACCTTTCACACACTCCTCACACTTGTTCCCAGAGACTTTAATCATTGAAGTGACGAATTGCGCCCATTGTGGGAACGAAAATCATGCAAGTGTCAGGGTGGCAATGGTCTTGGGTAAAATCAATTGAAAGGCTTCTATAATTTGTCTTCTAATTAAAAATTCAAATTGAGTACATTTATAGCATTGATTGAACCTTGGAATTTTAGATATTGTTAAAATATTGCACAGTTTTTTATCAGCAACTTTAGGACTATTGTTACTTTAGTTTTACAATGTCGAACTTGCTTGAATAGGCTGATATTTCTGGCGGGTAGCAGCTAAAATAGATGTGTGCTATTAAAAGAATATATGATTTTATTTTAGGCCACCCAAAACTGTGTGTCGTCAGTGTCCTGAATATAAAGAGCCAGTCCCTACAGGTGAGATTCAGTTTGTCAACTGTTCTGTTACCATTGTCAAAATACTAACTGTTGTGTTATGAATGTCAAAATTTTTAGTACTGCCAACTGTTGTGTTATCAATGTCAAAATTTTTAGTAATGCCAACTGTTATCAATGTCAGAATATTTTAGATTTTAATCATCCACATTACCCAATATGTGTCATAAAAATAATGCAAGTCTTCAAAGACCAAAATTCCACTTATCAACTGTTTCAAATTCATTTTAAAGATAAATAATAACTAGATAATACATATTTACATATTTTATATTTGTTGGGCAAGATCTCACCCCCATCCCATTCCTCCTGCATAAAAATGAAAATTACCATATATTAGTCTCAAAATAATCAAGAATTTAAATGTCGTTACCCTTGTGTCATATGACGAATGGTCTGGCAAGGGACATTGTTGTTGGGATGGAACAAAACACCAAGGTCCCGTGTACACATTGGCGTGCACGTTAAAGAGTCTTTTACCTGTTAGAAATCGACCTAAGAATCCTTGACAGTTGGAATTTGACATAAGGGTAGGCCATAACATGGCGTATGCCTGTCTTCATTAGCCCAGTCGGAGCAGAACAATAGGAAGTTAAACCCCATTTCATTTCCATTTATTTCAGCATGTGTTACAGATGTAGGAAAAGATAAATCTGAATTGGCTGATAACTGTGATGGTATTATACATGATTTAAATTAATTATATTGAAGTTAATCTCTTTAAAATTAAACACGTTAAACATCTGTTATAATTGTTTGATTCGCTGGATGAAGTCAGATAGAGGAAACCAAATAAGTTAAAGAAACTGTTTCACAGTCAGGTTACTTACAATTGTGGGAATTAAACTTGCAGCTTGTGAAAACCGAACCTTATTAACCACAGAGTGTTGCATTTGTTTACTCCTCCACCCATTCTCAGTATTCCCAGTGATATGTTCCATTCTACTCCACTTACCTCTGCGTGCATCCGGGGGGAAAAGGTGGCTAAGTGGATAAGACGCTGGCTCGCTAGCCTGGAGGTCTGGTGTTCGATCCCTGCATTGGCCGAGAAAGTTCATCCAGATTTTCCGGCGTGGTTCCTCCTTGTCAGTGATGCAGGACGGAGGGCCTGACAAGGACAGCTGTCTAGTCCTTTGGATGAGACGAAAAACCGAGGTCCCGTGTATACATTGGAATGCACGTAAAAGATCCCTTGGCAGTTGGAATTCGATATAAGAGTAGGCGATAGTGCCGCTGCCAGGGCAAAATTTCCCTCATAGCACACTGCATGGCGCATGCCCGTCTTCATTTGCCCAGCATAGGAGCAGAACAGTAGGACGTTAAACCCCATTTCATTTCATGTCTGCGCGCATCCACGGGGGAGACACATAGTGAAATTATCTGCCCTTGATACTTCTACTATTTTTATCGACCAATCGAGTGGACAAAGGGAAGTAAGTCACATTTTATTGCAACTAAGATTATTTTGGTGAACGTAATCAATGACGCTAAGACTGGTATATAAGCTGTTTTTTGATTGATTTGTAGAATCAAGCTATGACCGAGGGAAGATGATTTGAATTTTTGAAAATCCCGTGGATGGATCCAGCTGTTAGTGGAGTAGAACGGAACAATACCACAAGGGATAATGAGAATATCTTCTGCCACTCCCCTTCTATAATAAATAGGTCCCCATTGTAATAATCATAATATGTATCTGTAAATTTAATTAAGTTATGCCAAACAAAATATGAGAAAACTTTCTATAAATAAATGTTAATTTGGGCAGAATAATACCACATTGTAACATTTCAGACTAATGTCTGCTCTCATTGTGTAGTGTGGGAGCTATAATAAAAACTTCTAATGCTGGAATCTTTTCTTGAAAAGGTATATCTTTGCAAGTTTTGAAGTTGATTGAGGCAGTAGCATTATAAGCAAAGGATCACATGCCAGAGTTTACATGAGGAATTCCAGATGATTTTTATGCCGACTTACATTTGACTCACTTTTAATTCTTGCAGGTGCTGGTCCATCAACTGATCTGGGTGAAGGTTGTTCCAATCCTGATGCTAAAATTATGCCAAGTCCACCTCCCAAATTTGTATGTGGTCCAATGCAGAATCATTATTTATGTAATTGTTGTTTAGAACCTATGCCGGACAGACGTCTGGAAAGACCTGGTAACCCATTGATACGACCTCAGCAATGTAAGTATGTTTACTTGTTGTCATGGTAAATTGTATAATGTAAAATGAATGGAAGGAAATGAACACAATACTTTAATCATTTTGAGACTAACATGTCCTACTATTTTGCTCGATCTAATGAAGATGGGCATACACCATGAAGTGAGTCATGGGAAATTTTGCCCGGAAAGCGGCGTTACGAGCTACTCTTATTTCAAATTCCAATTGTCAAGGGTTCTTTTACTTGCACGCCAATGTGTACATTGGACCTAGATTTTTTTGTTCTATCCAAAAAACTATACATTGCCCCTTGTGAGGCCCTCCATCCTCCACCACTGACAAAGGGGAACCACCCTGGAAAATTCAGATCAACCTCATGAGGCAATATTACTAGTAACACAAGTAATAGGAAAGGAGGAATTTTGACTGGACAGCATTGTTTCTCATACTCTTCTTCATATACTGACTGACAAGGGTTCTTTTACATGCAAGCTTGTGTGAACAACAGGTGGACATTGTCTAAATAACTAGGCACACTAAGCTCCACCCCTGACATGTGATAGCCAGCCAGACTTGAAGACTCCATATTGCCCTAATTACCCAACTCCCATGAATCCTCATGTACGAAACAAGTACTTGTCTTTACTACACTAGGATCTGGAAGAGTTGTTATCATTGACATGTTCTGAATGATGTGAGGGAATAGCCAATGAAACGGTCTGTTACGGCGAGCTTTAGGCCTATTTTGCACGGAACTGTGGGTAATCCACTAGTAACATCAATGCTGATTGGTTAATCAAATGTCTGACGTCATAAGGTCAAAAGCCACTCGTATGACCTCTGACGCGACCTATCGCTACAACCGGTCAGATCTTCATGTAGTGTAGGCCATCGAAAGTATAAAAAAACAAAATGAAATATAGATCTGTATTGTAATCTGATTGATGCCAAGTTTCATGTCGATGGTACTTGAATTGAAGAGCATCGTGTCAAAAGCAAGAAGAAGATGATTACTCTGTGTATGCTATCAGTTCCTGGTTCAAAAATGCAACCTGAAATTTATAGTCAGTCTGAATAATTACATTTTGAATTTGATGTGATTGAAAGTGGGACTTTTTCCTTGATATAACATTTAAACATTTTGTTATTATAGGTTCATTGTGTCAAAATGGATTTTGTCATCTATACTGGGGCTGTAGAAGAGTCAACTGTGAGGGTTGTTTAGGGAAATTTAATGGTAAATAATACTTTGTCTTAAATTAGTTGAAAAATCAGAGAATCTGTGCACAATTGTCTAAGGAACAAGCTTGAATTGACAGAGCCATAGAACCAGTTGCTGGTCCACAAATGAATGAGATTACATATTTTAATTTAGATTCTCTTCCGTTTCATTTTTTTATAGTTCAAAATTTTGTTTACTTGCCTTTACTACGCTAGGATCTTGGCGTGCAGTGCATGGAACTGTGGGTAGACATTCACAGCAAAGACAAAGCAAAAGTTGCTTGTATGACCCTAGACATGACATCCTACTACAACTGGTCAGATCATGTAGTGGAGGCAATCGAAAGTATAAAAAAACAAAACGAAATTTAGATCTGTATTTTAAACAATTTAGTCATAATATAACATATTCATGAAATCAGTTTGAGACTAACATATGATATTTGTCATTTCAATGGTTACATGTGCAATTTTGAGGTGGAATAATTTTATTCCAAAAGCAACAATTCCACCAATCCTTCATCGGATTTAACTGCCAAGGGTTCTTTTACATTTATGCCAATGTGTACACCATTGGATCTCAGATTTTTCTTCCTATCTAAATGACTAGACACTTTTGTTGTTTATCCCTGACAAGTGAGAACCGATCTTGAAAAACCCCATCTGAACTATGGTATTTAATGGAGAGTCCAAAGGCCCCTTCCCATCAACCAACACAGATCCAAATATATTGAAAATTATAAAACCTATTATGATGGGGGTTTCCCTTCTATAATTAGGGGGTTGCACATGCGCGCTGTATCATGAGGACTGTCATTGAGTCAGCTGGCGTGGTTTCGATTCCCCGTTTGTAAGTGACAAGGAGTAGGGTCACCTGTCCAGCCTCGTGGGTTTTTTCTTAGTTCTCCGGTTTCCTCCCACTGCTAAAGACCCCAATGAAATAAAATTGAACGATGTGTTAGTCCCGAAATGACCTAGTTGTGTTGAGTGGACATTAAACCCCATTTCTCTCTTGCTCTCTCCTTGTATAATTATGTGGGGGTTGGATGGCTGAATGGTTAGTACGTGCGTGCTGCATCATAAGGTCAGTCATTGAGTCAGCTGGCATGGTTTCGATTCCCCGATTGTACGTGACAAGGAGTTGGGTCGCCTGTTCAACCTTGTAGGTTTTCTCCATGTCCTCCGGTTTCCTCCCACTTCTAAAAGACCCCTATGTGCAAGCGAATTATTGAAATAAAATTGAACCATATGTTAGTCCCAAAATGACCTAGTTGTGTCAAGTGGACGTTAAACCCCATTTCTCTCTCACTCGCTATAATTATGGTGTTGTTGATTATTTGATACCATTACAAAGTCCAAACGTTAAATGAAGTAGATTTTTTTTTATTGATTTATTTTTTTAGATTTTAACTTTGGTAAAAAGTGTTTAGTATCACTGGTTTTAGATAACGCTCATGAATCTGAAATACTGAAGGTAAGTTTAAACAAGTCATGGATATAAATACCAAAACTTATATCTATTACTTCAGATGAAATTCTGCTATTATAAAAGACAGGAGAAAAAAACTGATATGGTCAAACCAATTCAAGTTTTATGTTCTTCAGGGTACTGATCAATAAATTACCCAGTCAATTCTTGTGTGCGATGTTATTTTTTTATACTTTCAAATCCTATTTATTTGCAATTAAAGCTCTTCAGAAGAGCAACCAAGTACTTTTGTTTTAAAATTTTGTTTCCTGAAGAAATTGGAGGCAAAAGTTTTAATTTGTGTTCCCGAAGAACAGAAATTCAAATTAGTATGGCCTCATTACCTGTGACCTTTGAATTTGATATTAAATCTACCTTTTGAAGTGATGTAACTGTGAATTCAGTTGTCATTCCGATGAGTTTGGTATAATTGTAGTTTTTATATGCCCACATTGAAATGTGGTCGTATATTGTTGTTGCCCCCGTCCGTCCGGCGTCCACAATTGCTTGTGGATGCTCTATAGGTTAAAGTTAATATCCGATTGACTTTAAATTTATACACAGTGTTAAGGGTCATGAGACGAAGAAGCCTATTGATTTTCAGTGATTTTCGATAATTACTGTTGGAGTTATGGCCCTTGATCACTTCAAAAAATCTTGTGGACGCTCTAGAGGTCAAAGTTAATATTCGATTAACTTTAAATTTATGCACAGTGTTTAAGGTTATGAGACAAAGAAGCCTATTGATTTTCAACGATTTTCGATAATTACTGCCAGAGTTATGGCCCTTGATCACTTCAAAAAATCTTGTGGACGCTCTAGAGGTCAAAGTTAATATCCGATTGACTTTAAATTTATACACAGTGTATAAGGTCATGAGACGAAGAATCCTATTGATTTTCAGCGATTTCTGATAATTTTTGCCAGAGTTATGGCCCTTGATCACTTTGAAAAATCTTGTGGATGCTCTAGAGGCTAAAGTTAATATCTGATTGACTTTAAATGTATACACAGTGTTTAAGGTCATGAGACGAAGAAGCCTATTGATTTTCAGCGATAATTACTGCCAGAGTTATGGCCCTTGATCACTTTGAAAAATCTTGTGGACACTCTAAGAGGCTAAAGTTAATGTCTGATTGGCTTTAAATTGATACACAGTGTTTAAGGTCATGAGACAAAGAAGCCTATTGATTTTCAGCGATTTCTGATAATTTTTGCCAGAGTTATGGCCCTTGATCACTTTGAAAATTCTTGTGGACGCTCTAGAGGCTAAATATAATATCCAATTGACTTTAAATTTATATACTGTGTTGAAGACCATGAGACAAAGAAGCCTAGTAATTTTCAGCGATTTCCGGTAATTTTTGCCAGAGTTATGGCCCTTGATCACTTTGAAAAATCTTGTGGACGCTCTAGAGGCTAAAGTTAATATCCGATTGACTTTAAATTTATACACAGTGTTTAAGATCTTGAGACGAACAAGTATATTGATTTTCAAGAATCTTTATGACTTGAACAGCTAAATCTATGATGTTAAAAGTTTTGTATACTAAACGTTAGCATGGGGCAGAACTTTATAAAAACCAAACAAATTCTAATTGTTTTCTCATAATTACTTTTAATCAGATTTTAATGTATTATAAATGTTTCATTACCGAAAAAAGTAAAAATATGTGACAACTCTTGTTGACTGCCCGGACGATATAGCTGCTGTGGGCGTATGTTTCGTTGCCTGGCAACCTATCTTTAACACTTTTCAGATCTTTGTTAGCTGCAGTAATATTTTTCAGGTCCTTGTTTTTGTTAACTTACAAATGTTTATTATACTTTTAACAGAATTATCTAGAATCAAAAAATATGTCTGTAAAAGATTTACTGAAAGTTTGTATAGAGAAAAAAGATTCCGGTGAATATACATGTACTGGAACCGCAGGTAAATTGACAATTATTTATTTATTATCCAATCTCATGGGTTTTCTCTGGTTTCCTCCCCTAGCTAAAGATAGATTATAAAAATAAAATTGAACCATATGTTTGTCCAAAAATTACCTAGTCTGTATCAAGTGGATGTTAAACTCTCTCTCTCTCTCTCTCTCCCTCTCCCTCTCTCTGTTTGATTAATACAATAGACATTTGGGGACAGTCTGTTTCAGAGAGATCTGGATTTTAGCTTATGTGGTATTTTCAAATGATGCTGTTTATTCCTATCTTCATTAGCCTAATTTGGTGCAGAGATGTTAAACCCATTTTGTTTCATTTCCCATTTACAGCTGGTTGTTGGGGAATACATAGATTATATATTTTATTGAAGAACACCCAGATCCAGACATAAATTTTCACTTGTGTTTATAAATCCAACTGATACCTACATGTAAATATTAACTACACCTGGGCCCTTATTCACGAAAACTTAAACTAAGATACAATCGAAATTTTAAGAAATACTGCAATTCGATTGGCTGACCAGTAAAATCAATTTGCATATATCCAATGAAGTTGCAGTATTTCTTAAAATTTCGGTTGTAACTTAGTTTAAGTTTTCGTGACTAAGGGCCCAGTTCTTTATGTTGAAGTAGATATTTCTGTAAAACATGACAAACTGTGTGAGAAGAGTATCAATAATTAATCTTTATTTTACAGGAAATTATAATATGCATTTTGGTCGAAAGCTTGAGTCTGATGCTATCATATGTTATGCCTGCGCATTAAGATATTTTAAAGAACTAGCGTATCAGTATCGCCGTGATATACCAAATACAGATTTACCAGGTAAATATACAATATTTATTGATTAAACCTTGTTCAGTATTGATCTCTTAAATCTTTAGGGTGGCTGAATGATCTCATGTGTGCACTTTAGATCACAAGGTGTGTCATTGAATCGGGGGTCACGATGGCAAAGTGGGTAAGATGCTGGCTCGCTAGCCTGGAGGTCAGGTGTTTGATCCCTGCATTGACTGAGAAAGTTCATCCAGATTTCCCGGCATGGTTTTCCATCTTCAGTGATGCAGGACAGAGGGCCTGACAAGGCCAGCTGTGTAGTTGTTCGAATTGGACAAAAAACCCTAGAGGTCCTGTGTACACATTGGTGTGCACGTAAAAGATCCCTTGACAGTTGGAATTTTAGCCCAGCTCAGAGCAGAACAGAAGGACGTTAAACCCCATTTCATTTCATTTCTTTTTCTGTCATTGAGACAAGTGGTGTTGTTTCGATTCCCCACCTGTATTTGGCAAGGAGTAGGATCGCCTTCCAACCTCGTGGGTTTGCTTCAGCAGGTCCTCAGGTTTCCTGCCACTGCTAAAGACCCTATGCACAGGTGAATTATCGAAATAAAATTAAACCATATTTTAGTCCCAAAATGACCTAGTTTCTATTGAGTGGATGTTAAGCCCCATTTCACTCTCTCATGGTAAGTCTCTACTTCTGGCATATTAGTAACTAATAAAACTAATTTATTTTGTCGTTAGTCTTAACAACCCACAATGCGGACTAACCTGGTTTTCAAGATTAGACATCAATATTTTGTAAAGTTATACAAAAAAACTACAGTTTCAGTTGAGTTTCTGTAGTTTTACGAATAATTTAGGTCAGGTTTGTTTGAGTGTCAGGACCCGAGTTCAGCGTGAATTTGGGCGTATGTCTATAATATGCATAAAGTCAGTGGACCACCTCGACTATAAAGAAGATCTCATGTAATATAACTGTATTGAATATCCACTTCTATTTTCAGAGGCAGTTACAAAGCGACCAGACTGTTACTGGGGCAAAAACTGTAGAACACAGAGAAATAAACCAGCACATGCATTGTAAGTATACTGCCCCTATACCTGCACATATAAATCAGGTCTGTGTTATACTATATGACTCTGAAGAAGATGACTTTAACTCTGTATTGATACTGGGCTTGAATATGGCAAACACTGCTTGAAAAGCTCTGATTCGCCTCAATCAATGCTCGATATATTTCATGACTGCAATATATAGGTTGTGGGCAATATTCTGTGATAATTGGCAAATTACCAGACAAATCACACTCTGTGGTCATGGTTCAAGCATGTTCTTAAAGCAGCAGTTATGACCTTCACCTTTAGTGCTAAATGATAAGGCCACCTCAATTTTTCGTCATAGGTCACGAGATGTAAACAAGGCTAGCGCTAATCCCAACTCTAACCCTGGACCTAGCCCCAATGCTTAACCTAACCCTTATCTACAATCTCGCCAAAAGTCACGTGCCCTAACCTTATTTAAATATCAGCGATCTTGACAAAAATCAAGCTGACGTAAACAAATATATTTAGCCCTTGGGTTATGTAGAAACAATATTATTTATTAGGAACCTTAATGTGGCTTATTTAGTTTCAAGTTTTATGCCTTGCTCCATTCTGTCAAATATATTCCCAGTTTCATCCAAGGATTTCACCATACTCAGAAATGAATGACATTAGTAATAATACAAATTGTCTTTTAGACAAATTTTAAATGTAACCAATTTTATTTTTTCTCAATTTCAGAACTTTTAATCATATTTGTGAACAAACCAGAACAGCTTGAAAGTGATATTTATTGTTTTAACATGTCTTTATGTACCAGATGATTTGTTATGTTTATGGATATAATCGCACAGTTTGAATACAAAGGATTTTATTTCTAATGTGAACTCAGAGAATTGGTAACCACAATGTGCCTGATGTAAAAAGACACAGTAACAACTGGTGGTTTGAACTCCTATCTACAAGAACTAGTTTATTTTGGGACTAAATTTGTATACATTATTCAACAATTACCTTGCTCGTACACCCAACAGACTTTATAACCTACTTGTCCGGAGGTCCATGGATTCAATCCTGGTGTTGGCCAAGAAAGTTTCCTGGAAATTTCAAGGGTGATTTCCCCTTGTCAGTGGTGCAGGACAAAAGGCCTGACAAGGAATAGGGTCTAGTCATTCGGATGGGACCAAAAACCAAGACCCTGTGTACGTAAAAGAATCCATGACAGTTGGAACTCGAAATAAAAGTAGGACATACCACAGCTGTCTAGACAAAACTTCCCTCAGCACACTGCATGGCATATGCACATGGCATTAGCCCACTCGGTGCAGAGTAGTAAATCAAACCCCATTTAATTTTCATTTCTACTTGATCAATTCCCGTTCCACTGACAAGTGTACAACACACAGAGACAGTATAATAATTAATAAATAGACATTCAAGACAATACAAAATTTTCCACTGAATCTAAATATTAGAATTGCATTCAGTTCTATTATTTATAAAAGTAATGAAATATGCAACTTACATTGAGCCATGTTTTTTCAAAAGACGTTTTATCAGCCAACAAATTCATTGCTCAATATTTTTATTTCATGCATATTAAAGTATTTTATATTTAAAAAAACCTCTGATCATATGCTTTTACTGCTGTACCAATTTTATTTGTAAATATGAAAGGCGACAATTAAAGATGCATTATGGAAGGGCTAAATCTGTCTATTGCAGGTCTTTTTTCTAGCTTCAAATGTTTTAAAATATTATTTAGACAAGCCCAGAATCAACTTTCCAGGCCATCGGATGGTTTAGATATCTAATTGATTAGAACCCTCTCACCATTTAAAATTAAACATTAAAATGGATTATTGAGTCAACTGGCATGGGTTCGAATCCCCGGTTGTACGTGTTCAACTTCGTGGGTTTTCTCCGGGTCCTCAGGTTTCCTCCCACTACTAAAGACCCCTACCGCAAGCAAATTATTGAAATAAAATTAAACCATATGTTAGTCCCGAAATGACCTAGTTTGTGTCGAGTGGACGTTAAACCCCATTTCTCTCTCTCTCTCTGTACGATAAAAAACATAGTCTTGATTATCCATTTAATGATTAAATTATGAATGGAAGTCGAACAGGAAATCAGAACCTAATCCAATAAACGGCTAGCGATGCCATCGAGAGTTGATTATGTTCTGGATAAGTTAATTAATTTCTAATTAATAATTTAGATAACATTTCAGGACTAAAGAAGACCTGCAATAGTCAGACTTAGCTCTTGCATAATGTATGTTTAGGTTGCCGAATGCCGATCCTGATCCAACTGCCAAGGGATATTTTATGTAGACTGCTTATTTGTAAACAGAACCTCTTTTGTAAACAGCATAATCATGTGCATGATTGTCTTTTGTTTATGTTCTAATCAAATACTATTTTGAATTATTTTATCTATAGATGGATTCAGTTATATATTCAGCACAAATTAAGAAATATTTCTTTATGGTATATATACAAAGTTGTTTGAAGTTGATAAAAAAATTGTTAGATATTCTAAATTTATTAAAATAAAGTTTTTATATATTATTATTTCGTTGTGATTTTGATATGATCTCTTTAGATAGAATGATGAAATCCTTATACCGCATTTAGTAATTGAACATATAATATAAAAACACAAATTTATATGGAAAACAATCACTGATTTTATTTCATTACTTACTTGAGAACGACAAGAGGAACTTGTTTGAACATAGTGTGAAATAAAATCTGTGATTGTTTTCCATATAAATTTGTGTTTTTATATTAGATAGAATGATGAAAATGATTATTATGTGATTTTGTCAGGGATTTCATTTGAAAAGATTTGATGTATTTTAGTTACTTCTGTTTCAGTAAGTTGGTTTTTTTTACAAAGAATATGACAATTTTTAGCATCAACCCAAATTTTACACATTAAGAAAATAAATTTAACTGTATTTTAAGGTTAATTCCTTGAAATTCTAATTTTATGGCAGGTAAAAATAGACTGACAGGTAAGTTCTCCATTTTCACTCCCCAGTTAAGATGGGCAAATCTGACTGAATTAAGAATCCTGGTATATGCAGGGGGGGGGGGGGGGGGTTGGATGGCTGAATGGTTAGCACGTGCGTGCTGTATCATAAAGTCAGTCATTGAGTCAACTGGCGTGGTTTTCGATTCCCCGGTTGTCCAACCTCGTGGGTTTTCTCCAGGTCGTCTGGTTTCCTCCCACTGCTAAAGACCCCTACTCGCAAGCGAATTATGCAAATAAAATTGAACCATATGTTAGTCCTGAAATGACCTAGTTTGTGTTGAGTGGACGTTAAACCCCATTTCTTTCTCTCTCTGGTATATGCAGTCCAACAACTTTGCTAAAACTTCATGGAGAACATGAACCATTGCCAAATTTTTAAAATATTTAATCCATTATCTAGTACTAAACTAATTTCAATATGCAAAACCTAAAAGTACTAATAATTTCGCCATTAATTAACACACTGACAGTTACCGACTGTGATGTTCGTCAATCTGTGTGAATAAAGCAGCATGCACTGTAATAAATAGGTCTTGAACTCTGTAAACAGAAATTGAATGAAATAGGAATTAATATCCTACTTTTCTGCTCCGACTGGGGTAATGAAGCTGGGACAGTTATTGGAAATGAAATGGGGAATTAGTTTAACGTCCTACTTTTCAGCTCCGACTGAGCTAATGAAGACAGAGGACTGCAGTAGGTGAATACACATTAAGATATGGGTGATATACCATTTTATCACCCAATAATACATTCTACAGTAGATATCGCTTGTGTGATATATTTCATAATCTACTGCGATATTTACTTAGAAGATATTGCTTTACATGAATTTGATTGGTCAGTTGAAAAGGAACTACTTTTTTTATTTTTAAAGAACAGTTCATTTCTTATTAAAAGTAACTTTTTTTTATATTAAAAATGAACTATTGTTGTTTAATTAACCTTGATGGAAACACTGGGTCAATATAAAGGATTTTGCAATGGTTGAATTGCTGTCAAAAAATGATTTATCACTACGCTGTAATGTAATCAGGTTCAGTAAAAGTGATATCTACAGCAAAGAATTATATTTATTTATTTGTGCATGTAGGAAAGGATTGGGTGATAAATAAAATCTCCAGAGCCGAGTTTTTTTTACTTTATCAACGAGTGTTGATATTTTTTGATATCAAAAAAGACTCATAGGAAATTCTCTATATAACACAAATACATAATTTATTGATAGTTTATTTATATCACAGATTTATATCTGGTAATAAATACCAACATACATCATATCTCTACATACATACACACTATAAAACATTATACAGTTTCTTAATAACTCATGGTCTATCAACTCATTGTAGATCTCAACTCGGAAAGAGCCCCATCTTTTGCAAAGATTTCTTGATAAATATTGCTTGAAAACCTCTTATGTACATGTAGCTATTTCAAAGTATAAAATATTAGTTTATCAACTGAGTTACTGTTCACAGTTTTGAAACTTGAAATAATGAAAGTTTTCTATTTGCAATCAACTATTATTTACAATAACTATTACTTACATTTCTATATACAACAATTATCATTTTACTTATTTAACATCAGATTTTATGTCATCCGCAGTTTTCGACACAAATCGTCATTCAAGTAAATGATATACAGTACACCTAGTGTGAAGGAAATAACTTGTATTTTTGATCTTCATCCCAGGTGTATGTAACAATAACAATATCATTATAATGTTTATGAAAGCTGTATTTACAGTCAATATAATGAGTCACAATATGCTACAGTATAACGCTGATGTTTGAGTCCCCTATATTGGGTGTTGTCGAACATCCATATTATATGATGTAAAATGTGAATGATATAGGTACAATACTTTTTAAATTATTCTGCTTTAAATAGTGTACTCGTTTTTTGTGGACCACCCGATATAGAAAAGGGGTTCACTATCCCTCGAGCGAGCCTTATACAACTTCAGATATATGCCGCATAACTTTCAACAGTAATCTTTGAGAGGCATTTAGTAATTGGATAGAGCAATAAACTGTAACAGCTACTTATTTATTTGGGCGACGTTTTGAAGATTTTTCTCTCAACGTTATCAAGCTAATACAAAAACTATGAGGCTAATTTATACAGAAAAACTATAACAACAATTCCTCGAAACATCACCCAAATAAATAAGTAGCTGTTTTTCCATAAGTATGTGTTATAACTTTCAACAGATTAAATTAAAAAAAAAAGTTAACAATAGATAGATAGAAATATTATGGCTTAGTCTATAACCTGGCCAGTGTATCCCAACATCAATCATGTGGTGAAGAAACATAGCTGATATCATATAGTGACACAACATACATTGTAACAAAACAGTTCATAAAAATTATAACCATATATAATAATTGGTCAAGTGGATTATCATCCCTGTCATCCATATCAACTGTCAGATCATTAATTGTGAAACACCAATTTCCTTTAGCTATAGACAGTTGTATGGTATCAAAAACCCAACAAAATATCAAATCATTTTATATAATTATTATGTATTTAGGCAGATTTGTTAGTCCAAAATGCAGGGCCACATTCTACATGTCCCATGTGCTGTAGTATATGGTCATACTGTTTACCTAAATTGAAAATGACTTGGTGTTTTACAAAGGTGTCTAATGTCAAGCTCGTCTTTTCAGTCATATCCAGGTGGATCAAACTAGTATCTTGTTTAATTCTATTGATCAATTTCTTAAAAGATAAATTCATATTGTATCTCTATACGAGATATTGCTTTGATGTTTGTGTTTTCATATATAATAGTGTACATGCTTGACATGATCAGAAGACTGGACAGACAGAGATGAAATTAACCTCAGCAACCAGTAACAGTAGGATCTAGTCCAGATCGCTTAGTAATATTTAATTTAACAATTTCCTCGGCACAGGTAGGATGAATTCCGACAGTACTAATAATGTCTTCATAGGTTACTCCACTTCTGAAATAAAAATATAAAACAATGTATTAACAAAAAACAATGTAGGCAGACAATGTTACAAGTATTAACTGTGGACAACAGACAATGTAGGCAGACAATGTTACAAGTATTAACTGTGGACAACAGACAATGTAGGCAGACAATGTTACAAGTATTAACTGTGGACAACAGACAATGAGTATTGTGGGCAACGAACAATGTGGGCAGAGAATGTTAAGGGTATTGTGAACAATAGACAATGCAGGCAGACAATATTACACGTATTGTGGACAATAAGCAATACAGGCAGACAATTTTACAAGTATTGTGGACAACAGAAAATACGGACAGACTATGTTAAGAGTATTGTGGGCAACAAACAATGCAGGCAGACCATTTGAGTGGACAACAAACCATGCGGGGGAACAATGTTACAAGTATTGTAAATAATATTTACCGTATAGCTACAGAAAAACCTTGAATTATTTCTCCAGCATTAGGACCTAAGATATGTAGACCTAGAACTGTATGAGGTACATTGTGTTTACATATTAACTGAAATAAACAAAAACACCCAAATAACGAAATGAAATAAAATAAAATGAAATGGGATTTAACAGGCTAATGAAGATCTGTAACGAAAATTTATTTTGATTCCAACTGTCAGAGACTGATTCATGCTAACGATGTCATCACACGACACAGACACACCTTCTTGATCGTCTTCTACTGACAACTAATGTCATTTCAAAGCAGTCAAAAGGTGTCTGGAAACTTTTTAATAAAGAAAGTCAATTCGAAAAGTGACTGAAATTTTTATAACAATCACATTTATTTAATATAAAGAACGGCAAAATCATAAATTGTAAAATATATCTTCAAAAATTATATATACCATGGCAAAATCATAAATTGTAAAATACATCTTCAAAAATTATATATTCCATGGCATAACTTACTTTTATATAACATTGTGCTACATCTCGTTCTGGTACAGTAAACTCTAATGGTTTATAGAAAGCATGATATATCTGAAAAAAGAGAGAGAAATGGGGATGGTTAAATTTTTATTTCAGGACCCAGAGAAAAACCCATGAGGTTGGATAGACAACCATGAATACTTCTTGTCACGTACAAGCGGCAAATTGAAATACTGCCATATGACTCAACGACAGACATTATGATCTAAAGTGCATGTGTTAAACCATTCGCACCCCCCCCCCCATCTCAAATCAGAAATAATATAATCAGCACTTGGTTATTTTAAGATTCAACAGATTATGAATCGGCAATATTCCAATGAGAGTAACAAAGAATGGATTTTTGTAACAGTTCTCTCAAACCGATCCCTGTAATAGGGTTGTTATTAAAAATAGCATGCTTGAGCTGTCTTAACCCTTAACCGGTCGACGTCATTTTGACGTTATGACGTCAAGTGGTCAGGCTAAATAAAGGCTGACGTGAAATATTTTGTATGCCTATTTCAATCGACTACTGCCGAATAATTATAAGTGGTAGACTCTTGACACCAATAAAAAAGTTGAAGGGGATAAGTTGATCTATAATTTGCAAATCATTCTAAATCCTTTTCATCAGAAATATCGTCTTCAGAATCGGTGTCGTCGATATAATCCGATTCGGAATAATTCATAAGTATTTCAACCACGTCTTTAACGTTCCCGACATCGTTAAATTACGTTTTTCGTCAAAAGATGTTGAACAAAGACATGTTTTTCTCAATTCCCTTGACAAGACAAATTCCTGTCTGACACGCTTGCGTGGCCATATCAATTAAATACGAAACTAAATACTCAAATGCGGCTTATAAAAAAGGTTCTTGCTGTGGTCGACTTTAGTCGACCGTGACCACTTAGCTGTATAACGTTGTGGTGACTATAGTCGACAATGACTGGTTAAGGGTTAAATGGTGGAGATATTTTCCTTTTCAGTTGCAATCAAGTCATTTTTTGATTTTAACTCACTAATAACATATGAAGCACTGAGAAAATTTCTTGAAGGTCTAAATATACCAGAGAATATATCCACGCTAGCATATATATATATGTAAATCTAAACCAAACATGTACCTCAATATCATCTTCTCCAAATTGTTCCACAGCCATTTCTTCTGACATACCAACACAACCATATTCAATAGGTGTAAATACTGTCGTGGCTATCTAATAGAAATATTTTATTCATGCTATCACGAAAATATATCATACAGTATATGAATTTGAAGAAATTTTTTTATCAATATTTTATGAACATAAAATTTCCAGAGACAGATATGGGGTTTAACGTCCACTTGACACAAACTAGGCCATTTCAGGACTAACACACTGTTCAATTTTACTTCATAATACACATGCACGTAGGGGTCTTTAGCAGTGGGAGCATACTTGAGGACACAGAGAAAATCTACAAGGTTGGGCAGGCGACCCTACTCCTTGTCATGTACAAGCTGGGAATTGAAACCATGTCCCTTTGCTCAATGACAGACATTATGATCTAAAGTGCATGTTAGACCATTCAGCCAACCAACCCCTTTAAAATGTACAACATTAAAATCTCACTAAATAGATTTCCCTCTAAACACAGCTAACTAGAATTATCTACTAAGACACAGACTTTTGTATTAAAGTTATTAAAATTTAAAATATAAGATTCCAATTGATATGGTATTTAATACTGTACCTTGTCGTAGTCCATTTGTATTTGACTGTTATCATATAAACGATGAGCTAATAATCTACCTGCTTTAATAGCTACTGGTGTTAACTCAGGTCTACCCTAGTAAAATATAAACAATACAGATTTAATAGCTACTGGTGTTAACTCAGATCTACCCTAGTAAAATATAAACAATATAGATTTAATAGCTACTGGTGTTAACTCAGGTCTACTGTAGTAAAATATAAACAATACAGTTTTAATAGCTACTGGTGTTAACTCAGGTCCACCCTAGTAAAATATAAACAATATAGATTTAATAGCTACTGGTGTTAACTCAGGTCTACCCTAGTAAAATATAAACAATATAGATTTAATAGCTACTGGTGTTAACTTTGGTCTACCCTAGTTAAACATACATTATGCAAGAGCTAAATCTGCCTATTTCAGATCTTTCTTTAGGCCTGAAATTGTTACCTAAATCATTAATTAAACATTAATTAACTTATCCAGACCATAATCAACTCTCGATGTCATCGCTAGCCTGCGATATTTACTGGATAAGGATCCGATCTGCTGCTCAACTTTCATTCATGATTTAATCATGAAATGGATAATCGAGACTATGTTTTTTATCGTACCAACTTTGGTAATGATGATCGAGGCTAGGCCGAAAATTCAATCGCTAAATTCTCGTTTCAGAATTCCCTTTACATTATCTAGTTTTTAACTATTATAGTTCGGATGGGATGAAAAACCGAGGTCCCGTGTATACATTGGAATGCACGTAAAAGATCCCTTGACAGTTGGAATTTGATATAAGAGTAGGCCGTAGTGCCGCTGTCCGGGCAAAATTTCCCTCATAGCACACTGTATGGCGTATGCCAATCTTCATTAGCCCAGTTCGGAGCAGAACAGTAGGACGTTAAACCCCATTTCATTTTATTTCATTTCATTTCACTTATATCTTGTAACAGTTTGGATTTCTCTAAGTTTGTACCTACATGTAGAACATCTCCAATAGCATATATATTAGATATAGAACTCTTTTCACTATCGCCATGGTAACCACCTATAACTTTATGACTAGATTCATCCAGGTTAACACCTATATTTTCTAGATTTAATCCACCTGTTTCAGCATTTCTACCTACAAAATAAAACAGGTAATATACTAGAATTATCTTTTGTCGATTCAAATCAAAACCAATAGTCTATGATAAGATTTTTCACTGGAATCCTAGCTGATCAGACACCAGTTCAAGAAATTGTTTTTGTCAATACAATTTGTTGAATATGTATACTAATTTAGAAATTAATTACAGTTTAAGCTCTGGTACTTGCTGTATTCTTCAGTAATGTCCATTGTTTATCTTGATAACCTCACTTACCGTAAACAAACAGGAGCCACCTAAGTGAGTAAGACTCTAGCCTGTTCTTTCACATGCACGCCAATGTGTACATGGGATATAATCCCATCTGAATGACCATTCCTTGCCACGTCTTTCGTCCTGCACCATAGACAAGTCAGAACCATGTCACAAAATAAAGATGAATTTCTCGGGTAACACCAGGATCGAACATGGGACGTCTCAGTCAGTGAGCCCACGGCTCCCACACGATTTAAAGATGTATTCCTTTTAATCAACTATTTAACTATATCTGAGACTGAAAACAACATGGAAATCTTTCCTATTTCAGATTGTATTTAAATCGGGAAAATTTTACGCAAGTCCAGCATAAGCAGCAAAGATCATATGGATATATTCATTTATATTACATAGGTCTTAATGGAAAATAAGACCTGCAACAAACGGTCACATCTATTTACGAAGGCCACCTGCACATTTCCTAAAGGTCACGAGATGTAAACAGGGTTAGGACACGTGATTGATGACGAGGATTGTGGGTTAGGGTTAGGGTAAGCCTTAGGCTAGATCTTGGGTTAGGGTTAGCGCTAGGAAATCTGCAGGTGGCCTTTATAAATAGATCTAACCTGTAACAAACCTACCAGTGGCCATTAAAACTGTATCAAATGTCTCTTGTTGTAATTGTTGATTTTTATCATAATAACTAACTAGATATTGACCATTGTTTGTTTTATCAATCTTCTGAGGTACACACTCTCGTAAAAATCTTGTACCATTATTTGTCATATAATCACCAATGTGGTTTGCCATTTGCTGAAGAAAAAAGGAAGGTTGGTCGAAAACTAAAACCACACACATTTACAGTGAGAAAATTCATTAATCTTATCCTAGACCCATGATAATAGGTATTAAAGTGGGAAATACATAAATTTATTAATGTATTTATTATCTTTCAAATACATGACTTTTTCAAAACTAATCAATAAATATATCAACCCAGGGGTGGATTGGGTAGCTCTGGGCCTTTGAACCAACTGCTTTCCTTGGGCCCCCATTGTGGTGAAAAATATGTGACAAGAAAAACGAAAAAATCTTGATTCACCTGCACCCTAATCACAGGTAAGTTTTCTTCTCGTCCCAGACCGCCCCTGTATCAACCAATATACATACCTGATCAAAGCCTCGAAGAAGAATTGATCTGACCATTATAGTTGTCTCAAAACCTAAACCTGATAAAAACCCTCCACATTCTAGAGCAATATCTGACTTTTTATTAAAGGAAACTAAAATATGCAATACGATATCTTCACATCTAAATAATCACAGGGAGCGATGTATGTTCGGCAATTTCTGACATTTCTTGTGAAAATAAAATTTGCAATTGGGGAGAGCGATTACGGAGGACAGCAATAACATATGCACCTAGTGTGCGAAGAAGTATATTATATCTTCTAAATGTGTTTTCTTTTCAGGTTGGAGTGGATTTATTCTTAAAGATGCTGAATGTCATTTGCAATATTTTAGACCAATATCTAATTTTTCATGGCTTAATCAATGCTAAAATGGAAACAAATTAATTATCTACTTTTGAGAGAGAGAGAGAGAAATGACACAAACTAGGTCATTTCAGGACTAACATATGGTTCAATTTTATTTCTATATATCGCTTGTGCGTAGGGGTCTTTAGCAGTGGGAGGAAACCAGAGAAAACCCAAGAGGTTGGACAGGCACCACTACTCCTTGTCATGTACAACCGGGGAATCAAAACCACGCCTGTTCACTCAATGACAGACCTTGTGATACAGCAAACATGCGCTAACCATTCGGCCATCCCCCCTCCCTATTTAGTTTTGAATTAAGAAAACAAAACCATAATATCAGCGGTAGATCTGCTTGGATTCAATCATACTAAAAAGATTTTACCAAACACTTATTACTTGCGTTTGCTTTTTTTTATATTATCTGCATGGGACTTTTTCAATTCGGTATTCAACTTCCACAACATTGTAGCTTGCAAGTGAAAATCCCTCAAAATGACAATCAATGACTTTTTTGGATTTACCATGTCATTGTTTTTACTATGAAGACAGGCATATGCCATAGTGGGCTATGAGGGACATTTTGCCATGACAGCCGCGATATGCCCTACGCTTATTTTGAGTTCCAACTGTCATGGGTTCTTTTACGTACACAGGATCAAATGGTTTTTGGTCCCATCCATATGACTAGACCCTGTTCCTAGTCAGGCTTCCGTCCTGCACCAGTAACAAGGGGAAATTCACAGCGGTGTTACGGGGCACTCTTATTTCAATTCAAACTATCAAGGGTTCTTTTACGTGCATGCCAATACAGGACCTCAGGTTTTCATCCCATCCAAATAACTAGACACTGTCCTTACCAGACCCTGCACCACTGACAGGAGGAAACTGTGTCGAAAAACCCTGAGGAACTTTCTCCGACAACAGGAGAGAACCCTAAACCTCCTTACTCAAAGAAACAAAGAAAGGGCTCCCTATAGCATACTAAGGTTGTTCATTAAAAGTATTAGAAGGATACAACTAGCACCAACAACTAATCTGAAAAAAAGAAGCATGATAATTATTACTATACAGCTGAGTTTAATCATATGTTGGTAGATCTAATTTCAAGAATATTGTATTATTAAATTCAAACAAATATATTCTTACGTTTTACCGGGAGGCTTTGTCATCCAGAAGATATCATCACTAGTTATAGCATATTCTCTTCCTCCTGGTATCTAAAGTAAAACAGTTTATTAAACATGTTTTTTTTACATTAATTACAATACAGATGTGTCGTATGTTGGTGTACCATTATTTCAAATAATGCTCCGGACAAGTGCCAATAAAGCATTATTTATACTAGATGAAATAGTGGACTCATGGAATGATTTCATTGGAATGCATGTGAAAGATATTGTCTGTATTTTATGTTTAATGGTATTGAGGGGGGTTGGATGGCTAAATTGTTAGCATGTGCGCGCTGTATCATAAAGTCTGTCATTGAGTCAACTGGCATGGTTTCGATTCCCCAGTTGTAGTTGACAGAGTAGGGTCGCCTGTCCAACCTCGTGGGTTTTCTCCGGGACCTCCGGTTGCCTCCCACTGCTAAAGACCCCTACATGCAAGCAAATTATGGAAATAAAATTGAACCATATGTTAGTTCCGAAATGACCTAGTTTGTGTCGAGTGGACGTTAAACCCCATTTCTCTCTCTCTTTCTCTTAATGGTATCGAGCAAGACATTTCATCTGAACAGTTGCATTATTTCACTCTCTACTTCAATCTCACTACAAAACTCAGTAATGTTTAGTATTAAATAAATCCAAGACTGTGACGAATGGAGAGAAGAATTCCTGCAGGGAAGATCAGATCTCAGTGATAATGTTGGGAACCATAAGTATAGGTAAAATTCCCAAAGACTATTGAAAAAAAAATTTAACCTATGTTATATAGTCTCAAAAATGAACTAAGTAGTCTAGGAAATTTGAGTTTTCTATTATATTGTTTTAATCTGATTTAACATTGACAAATTATAATTGTATAAATACACTCACCTCTGGTATTCTAGGTCGACCACCAACAGCTATAACTATATTATCAGTTGATAATATTCTCTATAAATAATACAAGATACATTATATACACAAGTCTTCTTATTTTTAATGATATTGATAAATATTATCAAAATGTTTTTAAAGCTAATGACACCTGGCCAAATAATGAAAACTGAATGATTCCTCTTAATTCAATGAAATGAAATGGGGTATAACATCCTACTGTCCTGCTCCAAACTGGGCTAATGAAGACAGGCATAGGCCACGAGGGAAATTTTTTTTCCGGACAGCGGTACTACAGCCGACTCTTGTTTCGAATTCCAAATGTCAAGGGATCTTTTAAGTGCAGGCCAATGTGTACACGGGACCACAGTTTTTCGTACCCATCCGAACGACTAGACAGCTGTCTTTGTCGGGCATTCCATCCTGCATCACTTTCAAGGGAGAACCATGCCGGAAAATCTGGATGAACTTTCTCGGCCAATGCAGGGATCGAACACCTGACCTCCAGGCCAGTGAGCCAGCGTCTTACCCACTTAGCCTCCGTGACCCCCTTAATACAATGAAGGAAAACAAATAAAACAACTATACAAACCTCTTCACCTTTTTTATCAACAGCTTTGATTGTATTCTGATCCACTAATGTACCCAATGCATTAAGATATTCAACATTTCTATAATCATAAAAAAAACACCACATAATATTATAATAATGTATTAATATATCATTAAACAATATGGTATAATAGCGTACACAAATATTTTACTGTGTCAAGGGAGATAATTCTACTATTATGTCTCACCATTTCAATATCTCAGTTGTCGTTTATATACATGTTAATGAGTTAAAATTGTTAGTAATCAGGCAGTAGTCATTAAGTAGGTGTTATGTCACTAAAGTGTTAAAACTGTGAGTAATGAATGATATACACCACTATTGGTTAGGTTTGTGTATTCAATAGTGATTGGTATTATAAAAAGTCACGCTTTTACACCACAAGTGACATCTTTTACAACTAGTTACACACCTGCTAATTATAATTGTATAATATATATACTGTATAATTTCTATAAATACTAAACGTTGTGTTTAAGAGTAATAATCACTTGTAGGATTTGATGACAAAACTATTCATTAGTAAAATTCCAAGGTTCAAAAGTCAATGGTATCAGTTTAACAGTGTTAGTTGCTAATGATACTTGGTGGCCATTTTGTATAATGTTCAATGTTACAAATCAATACAATACTAACTTGTCTTTTAGTTGAACTCTATGACCCCAATTCAAAGATCTCACATAATTTTGAACATTTTCACTCATTTTTTCCCTGAAATGATTTTAATTGTAGGATTAACAAGTCTAAACACATACTAAAATAAAGAGTGAAATTAAATTGTCCGTTTTTCAGGTTGAATCTAGTGCAAACCAAGAATAATCTATCAACAATAGTCCAACTGTTTGACTATAGTGTTACAGTAAAATGTTTTCTAGCGGGATGCTCGATTCTGATATTTGTAGTCATGTGAGATTCTGAAATGAAATATGACAGAAATATTCTTTTATTACCAAGTGAGAAATTCAAGAAAGTTTTAAAAAAAAGCCATCTAACCTCTATAGTATTTGTATTGTTTTGACTACAGCCTCGGAATGTGACAATATTTCTGAACCACCCATAACTAGTCTACCATTCCGTGATAGACCTTATGATCTAAAATGCATTTGTTAAACCATTTGCCCCACCCCCCTCTCCCAGAGCATTTGGAGAGAAGGTGATAATAATACACTGTCAAATGAAATGTGGTTTTATACAAAATATTTTACCATGAGTGTGTAATATCTGGTGGTACATTCCAACCAAATGATCTGGAATCTTGAATAGCATGACCTAATAATGCTGCTTGATGTATCAATTTCTTTGGTATACAACCTACGTTGACACATGTACCCCCCAAACCCCATCTTGTTCCTGAAAATAAAAATAATAATCAATGCTTGTAACCCAGGGGTGAACAACCTTTTACGGTTCAAGTGCCAAATATTATCGATACAACTTGAGATTTGCCATATAAAGATGTGATCAGATATAAAAAAACATCATAGCTGAAATGTTGGTCTATGAAAAACTTGGAGATACTACTTTCTTTGATAGGGAAAATTACAATCTTTTTTTTATATTAGATCATTCATGAGGTGCAATGTTGATTTAACATATCACATTGTATTAGAGTCTTCAGCATATATTTAGGCCAAAGCAGTTTCATTTTCTGTTCTTCAGGGTCTTGATAAATAAATAGCCACTTGAATCACGTGAAAGATGTTTTGTTTAAAATTTCAAAACTTAAAAATTTTGGAACTTAAAAGTTTTTGAACAGTGCAATCAAGTACTTTTGGTTTTTAAGTTAGTCTTTTTCCGGAAGAAATAACAAGAATTTTACCAGGTTTTCCTGAAGTAAAGGACACATTTCCAAAAGCTTAAACCAAAGCTTCAAGTGCAAAAATAATTTATATTTTACCCTGAGTTGATGGTTTGACAAAATCTAATACTGCAACTTTTCTTCCTAGTTGAGAAGCTGAAATAAAAGAAACTTTAATGATTCGACAAAAATACATGATATCAAGCTATGATATTTATGATTATTCCTGTCAAATAGGCCTGATTCTTTGCATTAGTCCAAAAAAAAAAAAAAAATATTTTAATGAATTGAAAAATAAAATATTCAAAAAATGCCATAATTTGTTGTCTGGGAAAAAGAATTGGAATGGTGAATGAATGAAGCAAATTGTTTCAATGACATTTATTAATTGAACTATGGAATACAATTACTGCTTCTTAATCAGTGACGTTTTGACTAGGCATCTCTGCAGGATTATATTCCATAGAATTGTGACCTGTGAATGAAAAAAGCATGGAGCAAGTAATATTCTAAAATTTGTGCCATCTGCAAATGTCTTTCAACAGATGAGATCACCCGTACACCTGGTAGTGTGCCCCGATTCAGAACAATGGGTAAAGTATTAATCTATGAGGTTTAAATTACCTTCTTTAGCACAAGCTAGTCCCCCTGATCCACCTCCAATAACAACCAGGTCATAACGGCTACTGCTTTCCTTACCTGGAAAAAACAATAAAATACTGCATATGATATAGAATAATAAAAATAAAGGTGAAGAAATTATTTTTTTTTAAATACGGTAATTAAAATTATGAATGTTATATACATAGGCTTAACCGGTTTCCCAATTTTAATTCAGATATCTAATGAACAAAAATATTTTTTAAAAAAGAAAATTAAAGAAAGAGAAAGTTGAAATGATGCTTGATCCAAGGTCGAATGCATGAGTCAGATTTAATGCCATTTTATAATTTTTGTTACGGTTTTGCTGCGTGCAATAGTACTTCACATGGTTGTTAAGCAATAACTATTTATCTTCGAGAACTTTTACTTTTACTTGTAAAACTATTCTCCAAGTGCCCGCCTCCAGTATTAATGGCTACACTTTTAGTTTAGACTTGATGAATCATCAAGGGTCTGTAAAAAAATCTATGGAACATGGGAAGTAATAGCTGTATGAAACTGCAGTGGAAAAGTACAGTCGGAAAGTCCAGTATATACCATAAAAATTTCTGAACTGAATTTATGGGTGGTTGTTTCTCGGGATGGTTGGCTGCGGCCGATTCAAGTGGAAGTGATTATTATATAATCTGATTCGGTTGACAACCGAGATACTTTCCTTAATTTTTAAAAAGACAGCTTTGATAAGACCCGTTGACAGTTATCTTAACACTAAGGATAAGTTTTACCTGACGTCAGGAACCTACATAATAGTACACTGTTGTTTTTGATCCGTGTATTAAAGGTGAGACATTTAAATTTAGACCGAACTCGTTTTATCAACATGGGCGCAGCCATTTTGAAGTCTGCTTTAGGGACCAGTAATTAATATTTGCTTATATATAATCTTGCAAATCTGTTTTTTTTTATAAAAAAAAGCTACTAGAAACACAAAATTTTACTGTTTATTACAATTATACTAAAATAGCTATGTACAAGATGAGCGGCTTGTACACACGAAAAGGAGATATATATTATGAGGACATTAATAATAAACTATCCCTACAATAATTATTTTGCTTGTCCAGGGGAATTAACTCTAATTTGGATTCCTGTTTTACAGAATTCAGCCCACTCAATAGATTTCAATGACAGCCATACAGGTTGCTTCATCTTTATTTGTTATTACGGGCGCACATCCTTAGTTACACACCTGTTATTCTGATGTAAGGAGGGTGGGACCGATCGGGTAGGTGTGGGTATTTTTTTTCTAAATGTACACAACGACCATTGAACCTCTTCCACGCATACTATGATATTTTTACTGGAGCTGTTTCAAATCATTTAATATATACATGTATATAAAAAAAAACTAAGCCTGGTGTCGTGTACTTTAAGCCAAGATTTGAAAAGTTGATTTGCTGGATATTAAAGACGTGCGTAGAGATGGTTTTAAAGGCACAACAAACCATTCAGACAGTTCAAATACACTTCTCGTCGACAACGCTGACCTTTGATCGATGAGGCCGATGTTTGGTAAAAACAAAGGTTGATATCTGATCTAAGAAGAACAGGTTTTATTGAAACAGTAGACTTTTTGTCAAAGACGCTGATCTTTAATCGACAAGTTAATATTCGACCCAAATATTGTATCTTGATCGATAAAGTTGGTCTTTAGTTCAAGAAGTTGCCCGTTTGTCCTACTTTCTTTTATCAAATAAACTAAAAATCTATATTGTCTGTGGTTAAAGCCCCCATTGATGTCATTCTTTAACTGGCGTGTTAATCTTCATTGACTGTGCTTCCAGTCTAGATCGTTTGTGGTCAATATCACGATCGTGCCTTATTTAAGTCTTGCTTTTTCCCACAATTTTGTATTTTTCGAGGATGGCTTCTATATAGTTATAGAAAGGCGTTTGTTAGATTCTTATCCGGAATCAAAGATGGATTATGAAACAAAGATTATGACAGTATTCAGCAGCCTACATACTAGGGCTGGCTGAAAAGTTCTAAGCCTGAAAAGGATAGATCAAATGGGTTGAAACAAACCTTTGCCACCAACAAGTGCAGTCATTGAATATATCATAGACATAAGAGCCGTAACTGTAGTCTTATCATTGTCTTCGCACAAGACAATCTTGTAAACTTACCCATTGAAATCACCAAAAATGGACAAAACTGGCAATAGGGCAGTCATCGATCAAGTACTAACCCTAACACAGATACATGGCCTCCACTTAAGGGGATGACGCCCTTCCTTTTCCACAGTAAAGAAGTCGGTTGCGGAATTTAAGCGTGCCAGAGAGTGCCTTGACGATGACCCGCGTCCTTGAAGGCCATCAACATGCAGCAACCATCCAAGAAAACATTTCCAGGGTGCTTGGCCGGCATAGTGATGGCTGACCACTCGACATATTGCCAATGTTGTGGGCATCTCTCATGCAAGGCTTGAGCACATCATCGCCAACGAGTTAGGAGTGACAAATGTTTCTGCAAAATGGGTGTCAAAACTCGATCTTGACTGCAGACCAGAACCGTGAAAATCTGTGCCATTTTGAAGCAGATCCTGATTAGTTTTTGCACAGATTTGTAACCATGGATGAGACCTGTTTCCCAGAATGAAAAGGGAACTAGTCGATCGTCATTTTCCTAGTAATGATGACGCCGTGTCAGCTATGAACGACATTTTTAGGGTGGTTGATTTACCGCTTCAAGCGCATTAAAACGAACATACTAGTGTTTATAAAATGACGTCAGCTACAGTCACTATTAATAGTAACTGCAGGAGAACCGCAGCATTTACAAGATATGAACACAGACTGAAAACACGCGGACATTTTAAATTATCAGAGTATTATTTGATATTTTTAGAAACAATAAACTATGATAAAACTGAACTGGGGTTTAACGTCCTACTTCTCTGCACCAGAAGGGGGTAATGAAAACGGGCATATGTCATGCAGTGTGCTATGAGGGGAATTTGGCCCGGACAGCGGCTTTTCTCCCTACTCTTCGTCGAATTCTAACTCTGAACTGTCTTCTACGTACACGACTACGTGTACTCGGGACCTCGGTGCCTCTTCCCGTCAGAATAACTAGAAGTTATGTCTTGTCAGGCCCGCCGTTCTTCACCAGTAGCAATGGAAAACAACAGCATTCAAAACAAAACAAACAAGAGCATCGCTAATGCTGCAATATACGTCCACATTCCAGCTTTGATTGATATGGTACTTTTTAAAATGATGAGAATGAAATATGAAATGGCTGTAATATGATCAGAGGCAAAGAAGGCGGTATGTAGATGACAAACAATAAATACAAGAAATGGGCGTGGCTCTGCCCCTGGGGGTCGGGCATGCACCAAAAACAATAGGGATCTTCCTTGGGGTATAAGGAATAAGTATACCAAGTTTGAAGAAAATCCAGTAAGAATTGCGCCCTGTAGGCGACACAAAGACACACGAAAAGAAAATGGGAAATGGGCGTGGCTCTGCCCCTGGGGGTTGGGCATGTACCCCAAACGATAGGGATGTTCCTTAGGGTACAAAGAATGTGTATGCAAGATTATAAGTTAAGAAATGTGGCCTGTAGACGACAAACAAACAAATACTAGAAATGGGCGTGGCTCTGCCCCTGGGGGTCGGGCATGCACCAAAAACAATAGGGATCTTCCTTGGGGTATAAGGAATAAGTATACCAAGTTTGAAGAAAATCCAGTAAGAATTGCGCCCTGTAGGCGACACAAAGACACACGAAAAGAAAATGGGCGTGGCTCTGCCCCTGGGGGTTGGGCATGCACCCCAAACGATAGGGATGTTCCTTAGGGTACAAAGAATGTGTATGCAAAGTTTCAAGATTATTAGTTAAGAAATGTGGCCTGTAGACGACAAACAAACAAATACTAGAAATGGGCGTGGCTCTGCCCCGGGGGGTCGGGCATGCACCAAAAACAATAGGGATCTTCCTTGGGGTATAAGGAATAAGTATACCAAGTTTGAAGAAAATCCATGAAGAATTGCGCCCTGTAGGCGAACCACAGACACACACACACACACACACACACACACACACACACACACATACATACATACACACACACACACACACAGACAGGGGCGACGGCATAATACGTTCACATTATGAATGTGGACGTATAAAAATATTTCAATTATTCCATGTATTTGTAAACAATTACAGGCATGTTAATTAACCGTTATATTTAATGAACAGTTGTTGATATTTGTAGATCCAGAAAATTGTAACATAACCACAGTATAGGTTAACAAAATTCCAATAACCTGAAATAAACAAAAATACACTTAAATGTACATTAATAAGCTGACGACGGTTCAGATCTTAACTCAACTGTATTGGTCGGCCTTACCATCGTGAAAACAATTAAAAAGGTATCCTATTTATTTAATATTTCATACATGTGAACATTTCAATATAAAACCTATCACTGAAATCTTGTCAGTGATATTGCTACATATACAGTATGCCGTTTCCTGACAATTCTGTTCGCATGGGCGTCACACATGGGGGCCTAACTCCTATTTATTTACAACAATTATTAGGATTAGTTAAGATTCTATCTGTATAAAACCTGTACATATCCCAATATGGTTTACATTCCTAAAATAAAACACAGAGAGAATCATCCTGGAAACATGTGTAAAGTGAAACGTAACTGTGTTCCATAAAATTGTGTCTAGTTAGCCTGTCAGTAATATTCAGAGTGAATCGCATGTAGGTACCCCAAAAATTACCGCCTAAACCAAATATTTATCGCCCGCTCAGCCAGCAACGTAACCATAATGCTTTTGCACGCGGTGTCTTGGTAGACAGCATGGCCACATGGTGTTTGTTTATATTTTTTAGGGGTTTTAAAAAATGTGTTAGGGTTAGGGTTAGGGGTTAGGGTTGCGGACCCCCCCCCCCACCCCAATATATATTTCACGGCTACGCCTCTGTCTGTTCGTTCTATAAAATTTCACTAATTTCGCGTAGTTTTCAATGCCCAGGTCGGGGTCATTATCGACATCCATATTCACCGAGTAAAATCCACAGATATTGTAGGTAAGTACAATGATTGGGATTCATATGACGCCGAATATATACGACACGACGATGTGGCGAATAACTCTTCACATGGGGTTTTGGCGTCCTGTTATTCAGCACCGTCCGCGCGAACGAAGAAAGACACTCGCCATGCATTGGCCTATATTCTTCATTGAATTCCAACTGTTCAGGATTCTTTTACTTGCAGGAGCCACGATGGCTAAGTGGGTAAGACGCTGGCTCGCTAGCCTGGTCGTCGCGGGTTCGCTTCCGGTGTTGGCCGAGAAAGTTCAGTCGGGCTTTCCGGGTGGTTTCCCCTTGTCAGTGGTGCAGGACCGAGGGTCTGACAGGGACAACTGTCTAGTCCTTCAGATGGAACAAAAGACCGAGGTCCCATTTGACCTGCACGTAAAAGATCCCTTGGGAGTTGTATTAGAGTAGGTCGTAGCGCCGCTGTCGGGGCAATATTTTTCTTACGGCACACTGTATGGCGTATGTCCGTCTTTATAAGCCCAGTCGGAGCAGAATAGTAGGACGTTAAACCCCCAAAGAAAACCCAGGACCTCTGTTTTTCGTCCCACTCGAACGACTAGACAGACTTTCCTTGACATATTTGAACCATCGTGCACAGTTAGTCCCCCACCTATACTGTTATACCCCTTAAGCCTTATTTAACACCAAACCCAACACTTTATACTTACTGCCAATATAGTATTTGCATCCAAGGTAAACAATTCATACACACGATATCCTATTGTTGGTCCGGTTAATCTAGACACAAACAAATTTACCTGTAAAAACAAAAAATATAACATAGAAGACAAAATTCTTGTTTCTCGATTAATCAATAGGGATATAAAGGCAACAAATGGACATCTTGAATTACCATTGTTCATCGTGGGACCTGCTGACTGCAAACCTGCAATACAATTTCGTTTTAACGCGAACTCCCCAAATGAGAGGTGGCACAAGTGGCATGACGACATATGCCCCCTCTCCTACAGAACTGTACATTATATTTGATTTTATTTTCAGCCATATTTATTGATTTGGTTCCTTATGAAACTTTCCATAAATCGTCATGGAGAAATCGAAATTAAGCCAGTTGTAGAGCAAAATACGTTCAAAACTGCAAAATTTTACCTGGGTTTTAGCTACCAAAACGACGAAGAAAACTTCTACTGACAGCTAAAGAAAGAAATGTACACGATTTCAACAGCAATACAGGTTTATATTCACAACGCTTACAGGTACCCAAGCTGGAGTATTCTCGACATTCCGACCTATGGTGGTTGGGTTTAGGACTATCTGGGGCATATACTAAACGCCACTGAGGTGCAGTTACAAAATCTTGCGCCCCTTACTGCTACAGTACCACTACCTCACCGGGCGATACCATGTGTGTTCTACACACAACCTGCTCCGTGTTATGAATTTCCAAAAATTGGTATAGCTTGTTTCTAACTTACGGAATGGACAGTTTTATCCGTTACAGACAATAGATCTATCTTCATCAAAGCATCTAAAGGTTCATGAGCCTGAAATGAAGCCAACAAAAATGTAAGCAAAAGCTATAAAGTATGCAAAGTCTTTTGTCTTTATTAACTCTTTAATATTGAAACAGAAATATCGAATTCCTTATTTTGCAATTGTGCTGTATGTATTGGAACAATTATTCATCTGTAATTCACTATCTCGAATTGCGTTAATTCATAAGCTACAATATTCTCATGTCACAGAAGTAGCTCGTCCTGGTTTTGATATTAGCCTCGAACATTCCAGTAGACAGTTTACACTAGATATCAAAAACAAAATCACTCACCTTAATGCTCAATATTGCCCCCATACCAGTGAACATTATAATTACAGCCAGGTTAGCAACAGAAAGAGAAGCAATATACATTGTTTCACCAGTTGTTAACACATCTCTTGTGAATCCATATAACATAAAACAAAATCCAGGAATAACCACAGCATAGCATCCAAATAAATAATGACACAAAATTTTATTTGAATGTTCGAAACATTCAATTAAACTCATATACTGTTGTCGCAGAGTTTCAATCGAAGATTCAAATTTCATGTAATTTTTCACTTCAGTTTTAGCATAATTTGTAATGCAACATTGAACATTTTTTGTCTGTTCAACAAACTCGGAAATGAATAAAACTGAACATTCATAGAACAGTACTTCCAATAAATAAGTATGATTCACGATAACGAATTCGTTCAGAGCTGTCATAATGGCAGCATACGCCATGTTCTGAAAGTTTGAAAAATCGAAGGGATACGCTACTTTGCTCATATCGTCTTTCCAATATAAGACTAAAGATGTTAAGAAAACGGACGCAAATAATGCAGTACTTATTGCCAAGTATGGTATTAGTCTGTCATTTCTTTGAATATAAGATGTTTTCTTCAAGATTCCAAATCTCTCTTGATGAACATCTAGAATTTTACAGAAATCCTCAAAGTGCTTCGTTAAAGCGAAATAAACAGTCGAAGACGTGTAGGCGAATCCCAGGAAACAAGTTATAATGGCAAGGAGAGGAATTATTTGCTCCGAGTTGCCACCTTCATTGAACAAAACTATGGTAAACTTGATCGGATGAAGCCATATGATTCCATGGATAATCAGAAACCAGACATAACTTAAGAACAGTTTTAGAGTTCCCCATTTATCAGCACTTTGAATAGTAGGCCTACAGAGCCCCAACCACTTAGCAAACTGACTATATCGCCGAAAAATAAGTCTGAACTCCATTTGTAGCTGTTTCTGAGCAGACAGAGTGCAAGCGGAGAAACTCTCCCGCTAAATACTTCACAACTTCACAAGTTTATTTTCCGAGCAGATGAACTTTATGCAGACTGACACTTAAGAATGTTATTTTCAAAGCATACACCACGTTTGCCTATTCTCCATGGAAGTTCAAAAACATATCTCCGTTAGTGGACCTGAAAACTTCTCCCCTTCTGTTAATATAGCCAAAAGCTATAGAAGCAATGTGGATTCTAATTTCAAAGCAACAATATATATCTTTTTTTGTCCGTTTTTCAAAAGGAGAACCCTATCACAAACAACAGTTAACTCAATAAACTCGATTAAAAATTTGTTTTATAATTACCAACACTATCCGTTTTGTTATCTTTATGTCTAATAGTATAATTGAAGGCTAAAGCAAATACATTATTGATTTTATACATTTAATAAATAATGAAATTAGTACAAACATAGACACATTAACAAACTCACTGTACAATCAGATCGTCGTAAACAATTAGGAATAATGATTTATTCTATTGTGTATTAGTAACTGAATGCCAACATTCCCAAATTACATTAAAAAACCCCCATTAAACACACGGCTGCTTCATCAATTGACAGATCGTAATGTAATGGAATTAAAAATCAGCTTTTAATTCTGTTTAATATTATCGTGACGTTAACTATGGTTGCTGATTGATGTGATGTCGTGATGTCGACCTTCATAAGGCGACAATCCGACATCACAAAAATTTAAACCCGACATCACGACAACCCGATATCATGACATTTTAACCCGGCAACGAAATTTTTACCCGACAACACAATCTGATTAAAATACAGATCTATATTTCGTTTCGTTTTTATACTTTCTATGGCCTACACTAGATGCAGATCTGACCGGATGTAGCGATAGGTCGTGTCAGAGGTCATACGAACGGCTTTTGACCTGGTGACGTCAGACATTTAATTAACCGATCAGCATTGATATTACTAGTGGATTACCCACAGTTCCGTGCAAAACACACATAAAGCTCGCCGTAACAGACCGTTTCATTGGCTAATTCCTCACACCATTCAGAACACGTCAATGATAACAACTCCTCCAGATCCTAGTGTAGTAAAGACAAGAAAAACGAAATTTTGAACTATAAAAACGAAACGAAATAGGATCTGTGTTTTAATCAGATTGTCGTAATGTCACCTAAAAATGTCGAGTTGTGATGTCGGGTTAAAATGTCGTGATATCGGGTTGTCGTGATATCGGGTTGTCGCCTTATAAGGTCAGCGTTATGTCGCGTTGTCGCCTTTACTGCACCAATCTGACTATTGAAGATAGGCATACGCTATAATGCAGTGTATGACGGAAATTTTCCCTGGACAGTGGATATCTTGTAAATAGATACGTTACGTTTCGTTACCTGTGTGCATAATTTGTTAAATCATCTTCCTTAGCAGATATAAAGCGATTTTTTAAAGCCGCACCTCCTATCACATAGAATACATGCACCTGGTGGTTCACAAAAGTAAGACACTAAACCCCATTACATTTTCGTCCATTGCAGAAAGAGATTTCAGCATTGGGGTGTGCGAAACTCAAGGTACTCTAAAATAATCAAAATTAGGATTTGTTTTATTAATTCATGTTATGTTCTTATTTCGTTGGCCGGGTGTTAAGCCGTTATCTATCTATGCAATTCACCCCACGTTGTAATAGACAGGAGAGTTGAATCTCCTGATTAACATCATTGGATTGTTCCGGATACACTGATTTCATACCAATTCTGTTGTTTGAAATATAAATGTAAGTCGCGATATGACCTAACTGTAGATCAGGTTAGACCAATTTCGTAAAAAATAAATGGAAGAAGAATGAGATATATTTAAGACTATTATCTTCCGTTTAAATACAGCATATGGAATTAATACTCCCTTTTTTACCGTATCGTTTCCTTAATCGAACAAAACCTAACTGTAGATCAGGTTAGACCAATTTCGTAAAAAATAAATGGAAGAAGAATGAGATATATTTAAGACTATTATCTTCCGTTTAAATACAGCATATGGAATTAATACTCCCTTTGTTACCGTATTGTTTCCTTAATTGAACAAAACCTTATATCCTACACAATAATACATGGACAACTCACGTTGCACTATCAATATAAAAAGAGATTGAAATTAAGTAAGAGTTATATTTGACGGACATGCATAGTTCTTTGTAGAATCCGAATCAGAGAACTGTACCATCACCACAGCATACGTCAATAAAGTTCCTAGGACCTGAAAAGTTAAATACACGTATATGTCTTTGGGTTAAAGATTTCATTTTATACAAAAGTGACACTTAAAGGACAATATTGGTGTCAGTCATTATCACATATGTGATAGAACTAATTAAACACGTTCCAAATATAATTTTAGCACAGAGATTATTGCTACGATAGCTGAGTAATACAGGTTTCCTGAATCGGAAGTGACGAACGCCAAAGGAAAACACGAGTCATGCCTCTATAGAACTAACTGATGTGACGAGTGATAACAGATACACGGCCGAATTTCTGCTCACTAATAATTCCTTCCAAGACCAAAAGTTGTTGTGTGAGACTGTGAGAGGATATCTGACAATTCATAAAAAGAATTGACTGCCACTAGATAAGAGAACACGAAAGAAAAGCAGAAAAAGTCCGTGCATTACCAAGTTTTTATAATGTATATAGAATGAATATAAACAAGGGAATGTACGGACTATTTCTATTTTTCTCGTATTCTCTTATCTAATGACATTTAATTACTTTATTGAATTGTCAGGTATCCTTTTACAGTCCCATATAACAATTTTTGGTCTTCGAAGGAATTATTAGTGAGCAGAAATTCGGCTGTGAATCTGTTATCACTCGTCACATCAGTCAGTTATATAGAGGTATGACTCGTGTTTTCCTTTGGCGTTCGTCACTTCCGATTCGGGAAACCTGTATTACTCAGCTATCAAAGCAATTGATCTAGGTGTTAAAATTATATTTGAAATGTATTTACCAGCTCTATCAAATATGTGATAATGACTGACACCAATATTGTCCTTTAAGATCAATAAATCATAATGGCGGGAATTTGATGTTTCATCGAAAAAATGAATATAGGTAAGGATCTTTGGATCTCATGGAGATATAGCATTTCCGTATCGTATTACTTATTACTGAGATCTCCATGTATCCTCAAGATTTAAAAATCCTGGAATATCGAGATATTAAAATAACTCAAAACGATTCGGCCATGATATCCAGACGTCCGAAGTATCCGTCCACAACCCTTATTCGTAAGTGTCTAAACGTCCTTAGACGCTACCAAAAACACTACTATGTTTAGACTTTCTTGAAAATATATTTGCGCTAAGTTTGGAATACTTACGGCTAGTATCATATTTGTATCCAAGGTAAATAATTCATACACCCTAAATCCTATTGTTGGTCCTGTTAATCTAGACACGAATAAAATTACCTATAAATCAAAAGATGTATAAAGGTTAATGAACAACAGATAAAATATAATTACTCTGACATAGAGATGGGGTTTAACTAGGTCATTTCGAGACTAACACATGGTTCAATTTTATTTCAATAACTTGTTTACGCTTAGGGGTCTTTAGCAGTAGGAGGAAACCGGAGGACCCGGAGAAACCCACAAGGATAGATAGGCGGTCCAACTCCATGTCACGTTCAAGTGGGGAGTGAAAACCACGCGAATGAAAGACCTTGTGATTTCACGCGCACTAGAACCCCCCCCCCCCCGCCCCCAAAGCCCCGAGTTCCGAGCTCCAAGCCGCGGTTAAGGCGGTACTGACAATAGTTCTATCTTTATCCTAACATTCTGAGATGATGCTGAGAATAGATCGATGTTCATACTGACAAGTTGAGATGATACTGACAATAGATCTGTTCATACTGACAAGTTGAAATGGTACTGACAATAGATCTGTTCATACTGACAGGGTGAGATGATACTGACAATAGATAGATCTGTTCATACTGGCAAGTTGAGATGATACTGACAATAGATCTGTTCATACTGACAAGTTGAGATGGTACTGACAATAGATCTGTTCATACTGACAGGTTGAGATAATACTGACAATAGATAGATCTGTTCATACTGACAGGTTGAGATAATACTGACAATAGATCTGTGAACACACAGGTTAAGATGGTACTGACAATAGATCCATTAACAATGCAGTTATAACCAGAACTACAGATACCCTTTTGTATAGTACAAACTTTATACTTACAGACTGCGAAGTTTTATCTGTTACTGACAGTACATTTATCTTCATCAATTCATCCAAAGGTTCCTGGGCCTAATTGAAACAAAATATAACAATGAGACGTGGAGAGCGGAAAACATCTAACACCGGTCGCCACATCCGGCGTATAACCCATGCATCGTTTCTTACTACATATTCTGGAACAGAGCTTGATCGTCTAGTATTGTCTCTGGTTATATTTGTTTCTTATTCTCTTCTTAGGACTCCACTTTAAATATTGTGTATTTATTCTTCCACTTATTCAGTTTATGGTTACACACAGGAACAACGTACAATACCACATTTCTTTTCTACATTTTATATTAAGCACTGCTACATATAGGTTACATAGTTACAAGCATAAATTATAACAAAGTCATTTCTCCACTCTCTCGACCCCAATATTCCGTAGAACGAGTTTACTGACGGATCCCAATATATCATATGGTACCAGATGGTGCCCCTTGAACCCCAATGGTCTCTCCTCTCTAAGAATCTGCCTGGTGTCTAACGTAAAACGCACATTATATTAATTATATATTCTCAGATTCACAGCCATTAATTATTCTATTGGCTAATTATGATGTAACTAATCATGTGATTGGTCACTCATGCCAAATATGAAATGGTAACTTTCCGATCACGTGCTTTTAGACATAGAATCTATCCTTGAACTTGGGCCCCCTTTCCTCTTATTCTCACAATATTTCATAAACAATTTAATTTGCATTTTAAATAAACTCATACCATAGCTAATATACTGACAATCGAGAATACAAATAAAACATATGTATTTATCAAATTACAACTCATGTTCTCTTGTGCACTTATATTATTCGTCTAATACAATTTCGCATAAATTATCAAATAGTATTACAAATTGTCGTAAAATATTACTAAATGCAAATAACTATCACATTTCAAAATCCTTAAATGATTTTTTTCACAGGAAAATTCGATCATTTCTGAGAATAATAAATCAAATCGATTAAATAATAAAACTCCCTACCTTGACGCTTAGTATCGCCCCTGTAACTGTAAACATGACAATGAACATGAGTATCGACCCCGATAACAGTAGGAGATATACAGATTCGGCCGTTGTTAAGGAACCTCTTGTAAAACCATACAGCATGAAACAAAATGTAGGAATAAATACTGCAAAGCATCCGAATAAAAAATGACGTACAAGTGAAATTGAAGATTCGAAGCATTCAATTAAACTGATGAATTCCTGGCGTAACTTCTCAATCTTGTTTTCTAACGCCTCCGTGTTTTGATTTTCTTTCTTGTTAAATATGCTTATGCTGTCTCGAATTTGTTTGCTCAGATTCTTAAATTCTGAGATAAATAAAATCGAAATCTCCATGAAGATTGTTTCTAAAATAATTGCATGAGAAGCAACAATAAATTCATAGAGTATTGCTATAAATAACACCAAGGTAGTGGATGTTAAACTGTTAAAATTAAAAGGATACACATATTTTTCCATTTCTTCTTTCCATATTATAATAATACTGCTAATCCCGGCAGAAATGAATACGGCTTCAAAGACAATGATATAGGGTACAATTGTGTTCGCCTTTTGCATAAAAGGCATTTTGATCATGGTTCCAAATCGGCGCTGGTGGTAATTCAAAGCTTCACAGAATTTCGAAAAATTCTTTGTTAGAGCAAAATACGACAATGATGAAATGTAGGCAAAACCAAGGAAACAGATAATAGCAGCTAAAATAGGAATTATTTTGGGTTCTGCTTCTTCAGTGAAAATGACAGCTATAAGTTTTGCCGGAAAAAAACAAAGGAGTCCGTGGATAAGCAAAAACCAAAACCAACACATTAATTTCTTCAGAATCGGCCTTTTTTCATAGCTATGAACATTGGGTCTATAAAGTGCTACCAATTTGGCACACTTAATTAATCTGCTGAAACACTGAACTGCATCCATTTTCAATCAAAGATGACGTTCTAATTGTGTCTTGAACAGTTGGTATCTAAAAGGATGCCGTACGAGTTACCAGATCATTCGGACCATCAGGACCGGAAGCATATAGACTATCCAGTATTTTTCTAATTTCTATTCCTATTCATTTGGCGTGGCCTAATGCACAAGACCTATCCCAAATAATCCAATCCAATTAATTTATAACGGAAACGTTTCGTCATAATTATGAAACGGTGATCGATTAATATGTAACTAAAATCGTACGTAAAGACACGATAAAGAATCCATTAGTCAGGAATAAACCAATTTGTTTAATATAAAACATTAATGTAACATTATTCACTTGTATTAAATAAATTACATCCAACAATAGTAAACAGAACACATCACATTTTTATCAACGTTTCTATTACAACAATAGGTCTATAACCAAACAAACCAGAGTGCACGACAAATAAACTTAATTACTACAGAATAAATCGGAGAGACCCTTTTAGACATTGTGACAGGTGTTTAAAGATACATTCCCATGAAAGTATAGAATAGTTATTTCCCATAAATGTATATGACATTTTTGGTACATATGGAAAGTGGAGACACCCACTCTAAAATAGAAAAATACCGGATTCCACAAAAAACCCCAACAAACCCATGGCGCACACAAGAAAAATGTAAGGATGTCACAAACTGACAGACTGTCGGTTTGTTGTCTTCGGAAGTGACGGAGGGAGCGCTTGTTATGTGTTGATCGAATGGCTAGCGGTTTTGAGAACAGTGAGATACACGGCGGTTAAACTGCGGGGTAATCCAAGACTTTACTTAGGCATCTTTGTTTATGGTAAATGAACAGTGAGTAACGTCAATACAAGCTTGACAAATGAGCTACTAAAATATATTTGTGCGGCTTGTTTTCAGAGGGATTTTAAGCAAACTTTTGACAGATAAATGAGGATGAATATCATTTTGATACAAAAAAATGATCAAATCAGACATAGGAAACCATCTTTATTATTATCAGTACCCAAAACATTTTGTAATCTAAAATGTTAATTATTGTGTGTAATGATTCATAAATCAACTCTACTATGAATATTTATTGTACTTTTGTGTTCCGAGTTACCGATTAGCTACACTGCACATTAAAATAGTCGTCTGGGTATAAACTGATTATGAATAAACATTCATTTTTTTTTTCATTTTTTTATTTGCAAGGATTTCGAAGTAATGTCATAGTATATGCTCTATAAAAGTTTATTCCGAAAGCTTATGTCGATTTGTCACACAATCGATTATATCTCAGCAATTGCTTGGCAGACCAGCTGTGTCATTCAAATAGTCATACGGGACAAGTCGAGTCAATAAATAACAGTCATTATCCTTTAAAAAATTCAACTAGTAAATGGATAAACTTTATTGGCGAAGTGTTACAGGTTTCAGATTCTGACTGACTGGGTGATTAACTAGGAATTGATTGTCAACAAAATATTTTAACACAACAGATGAATGGTTTTATTTCGAACAGAACTACAAAATATCAACAAAACATGCAAATAGAAAAAAAACATTGATAAAATGCGCGGAATCGCAAAATACAAATATTATAAATGCATAATAATATTCACAATTTCGATTTTCCTTGTCTTCAATTTAGCCAAAGTTAGTAAAATATAAAAAACCCTATTTAAACCAGCTAAATCTCTTTGGTATCTAATGGATACAAATGGGTCGCAACGCATACAATAATGTAACATGAATGTATATAAACGATTTATATTCAATCGTTTCTGTTTATTTACTGCAATTTCTAATCAGTTATGTTGGCCGAAATACGCGAAGTTTCCAAATTGAATGGCACCCCTTGGCGTCTGGTTATTCCAGTCTATACCAGTAGTATTCTCCTGTGAGATATGTTTAGCCTTGTTCACCGACCAATATGCCGAAGACTGTAGATGGTATTGAGTTACAAGAATAAAGATAACGCCAAAACAACGTTCGTTAAGTCAGGCGTTGACCGATCTTGCGCCTGGGTACTAGTTGGAAGCATTGGTTGCAAGTGCAAGTAATTGTGAAAGACTGGATGCTACTATTGCGACATCAAACTCTCGGTCTAAACGCTCTATGACCAATTGAAACTAATTATTTACTTGTCTGCCAGTGAATGCAACCAGTTGTTGTCAATGACAATATGCGTAGCAGTTGCGTCGGATATGGTCGTATTCGCTCAGCTGCAAAATCGGTCAAAGATTATTTTGTAAAGATTCATGTGACTGGTTACTGGGTAACTGTGAAAATATCCATACACGTACAGTATTCAAACGGTAAATACTAAGACGTTAACGAATTGTTGCTGTTGCAAACACTGTTTCCAGAAGAACCAGATTCAGAAAATTGGAGCATCACAATTCCATAAGTCAACAAGGTCCCAGTTAACTGAAATATTATAATAAACAATAAACTGAAAGATTATAATAAACAATAAACTAAAAGATTATAATAAATAATAAACTGAAAGATAAACAAGTTCTATTTTATTCAATATACTAATTACAACAAAATGAACGAGTGTGCGTGGACTATGTTTCGTAGCCTATTTGGATTTATGTCTTAGTTAGCCTACTCAGTTGTAATAGGCTAACTGATTACTCGATCCGAGTGGCCTATGTTATTATATAGTTAGATCAAGTTATCTTGAACTATGTCTACTATGAGGATTGATTTCCCAGTTATTCAACAGTACGCAAGTTTTAATGTAATGATCTTTTGTCCAGTCCTGGATATGTTACTGTAAGGGCGGTAACTCACAAACACGCCAAGTGAAATACAACTGACATTTGACATTTCCTGGCCAAGAGCATGTTTATTATGATCTTAATCTTAGACCACGGAGAGTCACCATGTCACAATCAACATAACCGAAATGTCACTGTCTGGCATTATATTAATTTAATGATAAGAAATGATGTTCAATAAAATTGTTATCTACATTAAAGTACTAAAAAACATATGACTCTCACCGCTAACGCAGTATGTGTATCCAAGGTAAATAAATTATATACATGATATCCAACTGTTGGTCCGTTTAATCGGGATACGAACAGTGAAAGCTGTGAAGAAAAAATATAAAACCAATGAAATAGATGTATTGTCGAAAACACAAATGGTTAGGTTGGATGGAAGGAAGTAGGTGTCATTTATATCAATACAGATCACTACTAAATATTTTGAACTACGACCGGTTTACACTAAGAATTTTTTACGGCAATATGCGTTTACACTAGAGAAAAATACGCGTATATACCAAGAGATATGATAATGAATAAGCGGGCGCTCGATTTGTGCCTCATATAATATAAGGAATGGATCCGACCAAATATTTCATCTGTATATATAATATTTAATTAATTCTCTGCGATACGTTAAATAAAGCTATTTCACCACCCGCCCCCGCCTCCATTAATTATTATCAATTGGTTACCTCCTATCCTTCTACATTTGTCTAACGACTTGCATTGATGTTTTGTGAAAGAATCGAAGAAAACGGTTTGAATTTACAGGGGTTGTATTCAACAACATAGTGACAACACTGTTGGCATGCATTACAGTGTGTATAGATATGTAGTTGTGTATATCTTCATATATAATTTGCATACGTATTTAATTAATAAGATTTAAATTGCGTATTTTATTTTAAAACTAAAGTAACATTTCCTTGTCGCTGATAGATAAGTTTCTTTATACAAAAACGAATTAATACTTGTTTATATTTAGATTTCGATGATTTAATAATGTATTGCTTTAAAGGGACTATCCCGATTTCAAGAGAATCTCAAAAATAAAAGTCGGAGTACGTATGAAATTTAAGCGCCAAAATATAGAGGAATTGTGTATTTACTGTCTCTCACAATTCCAGCTCAAAATATTGAGCCGTTTGGACTTGAACGTCAAAACTGCTTATCCGGACACGTAACCCTTTTAAGATTTCGGGGCAGTTTTTTCGTTGGGTGACCTGATAATTGATTCCCGTTCCGTGAGAGGTCTATATAGTGAATGACCCATGTGCTCTACTTGATAACGAAAGGCAAATTTCACCTTGGGACACCGGTCTCCATTTCCATATGAAGACTGACGGGTTTAATTTGTTTGAAAACTTATCACAAATATTGAGTTAGTTGCTTGGCCCTTAGCTAGATGATTTTAAGGGATTTTAACAAAAAACCAAGCAGTTTTATTCTCCAATAAATATCGGGATTAGCCCTTTAAGTATAAATTAGTAAATGGAAAAGTACGATTTTATTATAATCGATTATACTTGTTTTACTTTAATTTTTAGTTAACATTTAAAAGATTTTAGACATCAGATATCTCTCACAAATCGAGTTATATTTAGTTTATATTTTCATATTTACACCAGCCATAATTGATTATATTTGTTTATTTACACCATCCACAATTGTTTATATATTCGTATTTTTATTTCATATATTTTGATATAGACTTGAATAAATTATACCTTTAACTACAATATTGGAACTCTGATTTCTATTCAAAGGGACGGAATCGCACGTTTATAGATACATCAGTAATACTGATATTTATTACAATTGCAGTAATATCGAGATGTATTAGTATCACAGTTTTTCTAGATAAGGATTGAGATGCAGAGATATTGACATGCATTGGAATTACAGTGTTTACAGATAAATCAGTAATATTGATTTCTAGATAGTGTTTCTAAATACATTAGTGATATTGGCATGTATTAGAAGTATTAGTATTACGGGGTCATTACACTTTTTTCTAGATACGATAATATACTTACGCTATGGACTGCCTTGTCGGTAATAGACTGTATATCAACTTTCATCAAAACGTTCAAAGGACTGTGGGCCTAATGAAAACAAATAAATTTATTAGATAGTGTGTTATCATGCATATTACTCAGATTAAAGATGTCATCGATTTGTTGATCTCCGTCTTATCAACATCGATATACTTATCTTTGTGTTTATTTATGTACTGTTTTGGGGATTCTGGATTTCGACAGGGTTTTGAATTTCGCTAGAGCGCTTCCAAATCTCCCCTGTCAAATTTTTAAAGGGGTCCACAGGTGACAGTATACATCCACTATAAATCTTTCCTGATTTTAAATTATAAAGAAGTCAACGGACGACAGTATACATTCACTATAAATTGTCCCGTACAGAAATTGAAATTTTATTTCTTACCATAATATTAAAAACTGCACCAATTATAGTGAGGACCAGCACAAAGAAGACAACGAACATCGCTAGAACACTCATGGCCAATGATTCACCTCCCGTAAGTTTTCCTCTTAGCAAACCATATAACAGAAAACATACTATCGGTATACACATAGCATATAAAGCAAATAAATAATGATGAATTACAGAATTAGTTATTTCAAAACTGGCTAGAAGACTTGAATATTCCTGCCTTATTGTTTCAATGGTTTTTTCTTGTAGAGACGGTGATAATTTTTCTGCCAAACTTTTTTCCAGTCTTTCATTCAAATGTGAAAATTGCCTCAGAAATAATGTGAAAGTTAGGATAAGAAACATAACCAGGATAACTTGGTGCGCTGTTAGAAAGAATGTGTTACTTAATACGTACGATAGCGTCAATACAGTATTAAGTATACCTTTGAAAGACAATGGACGAAAAACATCACTCAAGTCATCTTGAAAATGAAAAGTAATAAAGCTATAAAGTACTGTTGGAATAACTGTTACGACCACAACAATCCAGTTCGCCCATTTACACACAATCTTAATATACAGATTAATTTGAATATTTCCATATAGCCGTTGATGTTCATTTAAACTTTCACAGAAACTTGAAAAATATTTAGACACGGAGAAGTATGATGCAATTGTAATGTATGTTGACGCCGCAAAGTAAACAAATACGGCAAGTATTGGAATTATCCGTCCGTCGCTTCCGGAATCGTTATACAGAACAACGTAGAGGAATTTGAAAGGAGCTGATACTATGACAAAATACACTATCAATAGCTTAATCCAATTTAAGACCTTTTTAACTATGTAGAATCGCGATTCTTTTCCAATTTGAACACTATGTAAACCAGTCCATTTTGCTATCTGCTGTAAGGGTTGAAACAGGTGCTTGAAATCAGTATGGCTTTCTCGATTCAATTCTTTGACATACGTTGTAGAAGTCATGATTGCTCTGCAGTTATACGGAGTATATGAAAATCATGGTACCTCTAAACCACTGTTTCTGCTTCAAAGTGTTTTCCGAATGACAATGTAGCGGTGGTTAATTGTTGGTGATGCAGATCGATCAGTCATAAATTGTATGCTAAACTCGGAGGCAGAGTAAACATTTAACCAGTTCAATATCATTAACACAAAGATAAATTCTATGCTATGACGGCCTGTCGATAAACGGCCGATAAAAGGTACAATCAAATGATAGTTCTCAATTCTAACCATTACAATATTATCTGTAGCCTAATGTTTGAAGTGACAGAATCAATTTGTCGTCATTAATGAGTTTTTGGTCGCACTTCACCAATTGTTGAATATTGCAAATTAATGTAGATATCGGGGCGGGCGGAAGCAATTCTTGATTGGGGGGATTACCATGACTTTAGGCGACGGTCCGGGGGCCGCTTTCTGAGCGATTTCTGGCTTTGAAAATTACTCAGCAATGAAGTGAAAATTTATTTCTTTTCTAAATCCCTTTATACTATGCAAATATGCAAACACAGTTGATGGTGGTTTTCTGCGATGCTGAACTTGACAAATCTATGCATAATAATACCAAGGTTGCGGACGCTCTATAGGTCACTTTTTTTATCCGATTTTGATGAAACTGACAATGAATGTTTATAACCGAAAGATCGCGACATTTTTAGCTTGTTTACCCACTAGACCTCACAGTTTTTATTTGATTGTCAAAACCGTTCAAATATGTGCCCCGCCCCCATAGCATACTGAGTCGCAGTGAGGAAATTTTAAAAATTGAGTTATTGTTATTTTCACAATCTTCAACTCATTACCTTCAATTTGATGTATAGTTTGTTTGAAACGGGCAAAAATTGACTGGGCTCTGTCCAATCGAAGCTACCCAACTCACAAAAGTAAGTTTTGAGAAAAAGCAAGTCAAAGATTTGGTATGTTCCAAAACAAAATCCCATAGCAACCTGTTTTGTCGTGAATATATCTTTCCATGGGTTTTCAGGGGTGCTGAAGACGAAAATCGTAGTAAAAATTTGATCCGACGATTTCCGCCATTTATTTGCTATTTTGTCGTTTAATATTTTTTTTATTTAGGATTTCAAGGGTGCTGACGGCGAAAATCGTAGTAAATGCACTCCTTTCGTGACGAAACATCCATAACACATACGGCATATTCACATGATAGTGTTATACTGAAGAATAATCTATACGTTAGTAGTCTGTTTTGTATATTATAACTTTGGTGAGATTAACAGTTAATCTCATCAATTAATTAGCACCCTAGTGCCAACTTGTGGTCACGAGATTAAGATTATTAATTGGATAATCATCAAAGAAGCCGCCACAGCTGTAGGCCTACGCGTGTTCATTTAACACATGAATTAAAATAAGATTTTGCGTGTACGATAGGTCTATTAGTAGAGACTTTTGGCAAGCGTAAATTTCTGGTCCGTATCGCGTACCCGTATGGATTTCGCGTGTGACGTCATCAATGTGTGTGTATTTCCCATACGTGATACGGCAACGGATACGTCAGCACGTATCGAACAGCTTTCATACGGAAAAGGTCCGTATAACCTTGCCGTCTTTGTACCGTCTTTTTGCTACTTTTAGACGCTGAAATGTTGTGTCATAGCGTTTATATGAATCTATGCGTAGGCTATCCCAGAACACGAAGGTGTATATTTGATGTGATTTTAACCATGATAACGACTGGAATTTCATCATTATTTTTGATGGGTTTTTCTCGGAATTTTCATACTTTTCCTGTCTGCATGCTGGTTGAACTACGTGCTAAATTTAGGGAGGTGGGACCTTGCAAATCTGTAAATGATTTTGTTCTATGATAAAGAGGTAAAAACTTTCTGAAATGACACATTAGTGAAACCAGAAATTGCTGTCGAATGGAAGTCGAAGATTTTTAATAAAATTCGACATTACATTTTTTTTTAATAGCCCGGCGAATGACGAAGGACTTCACTCCATCCGGGTAATTGTATAGGCTAGGCACTTGACTAGTACTGGTGGTGATGCTGTAATAGAACTAACCTCAGCTCAGCAACGCATAAGTACGCGACGCGAAATTCTGCCAAAACTCGAAAACTACATTGACGCAACGTATCACGTATACGATACGGATACGTGATACGGATGGGAAAATTGCGCTTGCCAAAAGTCTCTATTATTTTCAGGTACCGTAACGGTATCAAAATACGAGTCCTTATAGAAATGTCAATTCATAGTCAAGAAATACTTACGTTCACTTTCATGCATTCTGGCTTTTATGTAATTAAACAATGGCAGACTCGAGAATCGTCGCAATTCGACTCGTTGGTCGTTCTCATTTTTTCGACCCATGGTGATAAGAGAATTTTAAACAATAATATCCAAAATGCATTCCTTACTTTGCATGCCGTATGTAGAAGCGACAGTAAAGGGAATTCATCTATCAATAAAGTTCTCTTCGAAAAGAAAATTATTGGCCATTAAATTATTTTTTTAAAGCTGATATGAGATATCCACCGGTGGAGATATCAGATAATCACCGCTTGGATTAATTATTCGGAGTAAATAATAAGGAGTTGTCGACGGTTTTATCATTGACCCGTGACAGTTGATTAGTATTACTCAATGACATCCACCCGCATGTCGATTAATTTACATAACCAGCCATGTGGCTTGGATTAACACTCAACGGCAATCTATATACGATCAGAATTATTTTTTTTCTGCCATTTATCAGAGTGAATCGCATGTACCTGTAGGTACCCAAATTTTTGTCTGCCATTTATCAGAGTGAATCGCATGTAGGTACCCAAAAACATTATCGCCAAAACCAAATATTTATCGCCCGCTCGAGTCAGCCACGTAACCATAATGCTTTTCACTCGGTATCTGGGCCAATCAGCAATCGAGTTGTGTAGACAGCATAGCAACAAGCGGAGGTGGTTTATATTTTTTAGGGGTTTTAAAACTCGATTGTATCCGTTCAAAATCAATTCATCGACATTAATTTGATCATATTTGTAAACTAGACATTCTCCGCTTTCAAACGATGGAAATTATTATGCAAGAGGAATGACCGATCGTCCCGCAGCGAGCGAAGAAAAATGACTAATTTCGCCGAGAACTTTAAGAAATAGGACAGATTTAAGAATACGGTACTCTTACAAAACGTTCAAATAAATGTGTTCTAAAATCTTTTATTGCTATTTTGATCTTTAGTGTCGATAGATATTATATTTATAGACTCATTTTTGTGAAAAACTCAATTTCGATCAAAATCAATATTTTCACTTATTTTGTCTCTAGTCACCTACGCGGTCACCTATCACTGTTACACCAAATTTCGTGAAAATCAGACCGAAACTGTCCGACAAATTAGCCGCTACCCTTAAAAGCATGTAATACCCAGGTTGTGGGCCATTTAGAGATTCGAATTTTCATCCAATTTTGATATAAAGATCTGGGTTCCTTTCGGTATTGGCGCATATTGGACCGCATCTTTCTGGATTATGGCCCCTGATGTGTGGACCCTCTAGAGGTCACCATTTTTATCTTATTTTCAAAACCGTTCAAATATATCATCGTTACATCATAATTATGGTTGAGTCTGAAATTCTAAAATCGGACCGAAACTTTCAGTCAAATGATGAGTTGGCCTTTTATACGCAAAATGTGAAATATGTATGAGGTTTATGGACCTTCCCGAGGCGACAATTTTTGTCCGATTCGTGAGAGGAAACTTAAACTATGTGTTAAGGATCAAAAGTTCTTGGATGAGTTCGACTTTGGTACGCATCAGACCTTACATTCTAGAGCTATAGGCCCTGTCTTTTACGCAAAATGTGAAATACATGTAAGTATGAATTTATAGGCCCTTCAGAGGGACTACAATAAATTGTCCCATTCTGATGGTCATAACTGATAGCAGTGAATTATTTGATGGATAGGAGACACAAAGAAAGAGTGTGAGAAAAACTCTATCCTAATCTGTCATAGATACAACCGAAGTGAGATGGGGTTGAAAAAAAGATCGACATTTCAGTTAACTAATCGTAACCCTCGCAACTGGGAGTCTTTTTACCCAGGGACCAGCCCAGAGAGCATAACAGGGTTTTCTTCTGAAAGTCTGTGTTCTAGAAGTTTCACTTCTATGTTAAAATCAGATCTCGTTTTATGTATATAGGCATATAATTACTTGCGTGTAAATACCTCGAGAAAGGAGTACTGCATGGCGACCAAACTTTTTTTCGGGGGGGGGGGAGGGGGGCTAACCCCCCACACCCCACTCCGCCTGGCCTGGATATTGAAACTGTTTTGGCTTCTATACATTCCATATCCCCAATTAAAATACAGATGTGACGCCATCAAGCGTACATTATTTATACAAGTTGAAATATTGGACCCTCGAGATGTATTTCATTGAAATGCACGTGCAGGATAGTGTCTGTATCTTAAGTGGACGGAGGGCCTGACAAGGACAGCTGTCTAGTCCTTCGGATGAGACGAAAAACCGAGGTCCCGAGTATACATTGGAATGCACGTAAAATTTCCCTTGGCAGTTGGAATTCGATATAAGAGTAGGCGATAGTGCCGCTGCCCGGGCAAAATTTCCCTCATAGCACACTGTATGGCGTATGCCCGTCTTCATTAGCCCAGCATAGCAGCAGAACAGTAGGACGTTAAACCCCATTTCATTTCATTTGTTTAATGGTCTCGTGCAAGACATTGCGTAATGCATAGAAATTTATATTTCTATGACGTAATGTATAGGCATAGCTCTCGTGCTAACGCACTCTGAGAATGCAGTACGTACTATACACTACTATACTCGGACAAACGCCTTTTTAAAAGTGACAACGCAATATATTTGAGAAAAAAAACCCCTTTCGGCGGCGGGAGTCAAGGAATAGTAAACGCGCCGCGTGCAGTTTATATCTTTAGTAGGCTTGTCATTGTGTCAAGAGGCGTGATTTCGATTCAAGGCGTGTACGTGACAAGCGTAGGCGTACGAGCCGGGGGGGGGGGGGGGGCATCCTAACATTCGGGCAATTTGACTTTACGGACAGACGGGTCAATTGAAAAAAAAATATATTATTTCATCTAGTTGGCAAAATAAAATGCTCCAAATCTATTAAAACACCAATTTTACATTTCGTTTAATTCAATATCACAAATTTGTACTGAATTGACTCTGGATTAAAACATTTTGTCTGGAGTCACTCTACTTTGGGCGATATTTTCGGGCATCGATTATTTGTGAATGCAGCTGCAACCGTCTGATTGGATGGTTGGAACTCAGGGCGGCATTGAGTCGAATTGTTTGACAAGGATAGCTGTCTAGTCGTTCGGATGGGACAAAAAACTGACTCCCGTCTACACATTGGCGTGCACGTAAGATCCCTTCAACCCTTGGCATAAGAGTAGCCTAGGCCGCAGCGCCGCTGTCCGGGCAAAATTCCACTCCTAGCAAGCTGTGTAGCGTATATGCGCTTCTTTAATAGCCCAATCGGAGCTGAACAGTAAGGCGTTAAACCCCATTTCATTTCATTTCCTATTTGAACGAATATCCTGATCAAAATCATACAAACTTGCTATTTTGAAACACCCCCTAATCCAATGCGTCGTCTGCATTTAAAACCGGAAGCGTGGCTGAACAACGTGTGTTTTATGGACATGGTTGGGTGGAAGTCACTTCTTTATTATGGCTAAAAAATTACCGCCACGAAGTGATTAAAACTCGATGTGTATAATTTACCTTTTTCATGTAATAAGTATAGGTAAGTCAATGTATACAAATAGGCCTACAACAAGTCTATCATTTCTTTATAGTTTAGTCAAAGAATTTAAGAACTAAGCAGGGCAGTCTTAATTTAACAAGGTGGCTCTTTGTTTAGTTTCTATATATATAATACAAATACCAACACAGCTGTCGACTCACTGTTTGTAATTCTGGCTTTGTCATTTCACTGGATGATAAAGCGATGGTACTGGTATGTATAGGCTACTGGTAGGCCTACTGTGAATTGTGAGATCTTGACATCGCGGTATGAGTGGATCTGGCCTGTAAAATTTAAGCACCCAACAGACTTTACATTGTAAGACAAGGAGAAAAACATCCAATATTTCATTAGAAGACAGTATAGGTCAGCTCCACGAAACTGTCCAAGGCGGGTGGGTGGGTGGTTGATGTCTTGGGAACAGGGGATCACTATGCTACGACCTAACCTCCTGTAGGCTAAATCAATCTATTTATATAACGGTAGGTATAAACAGTAAGGAAATGATGTAATGATACCACAGCTAGCCAAAATAAACTTATAACTTAATACAGATCTAGTTTTATAAAATTTTAGTTGCTCTAAAATTTGAGCATGTGGACTTAACCGAGGTACGTTAGGCCTATGGACCGGTACGGTAGTTTCTAGAGGTTTAGTCTTCTAGAGCTCTACTGTGTAATCTCCATATATTTGCATATATTTCAACGATCATTCGCGTATAAAAAAATAAATAAACTCAATTCTTAAGACAAAAATTCGTGTAGGCCTTCTACAATATGTATTGTACTGAATTAAAATCGATTTATTCTAGTGGAAAAGAATTGCTATAGGTTTCCCCAAATTATAGGATTCGATATTTCTAGTCATGGGGGACAAGCATAAGATGGCAAGTAAAAGTTATCAGTTAGTCCTAAGGTAAAGTATTAGTACTATTAGTAGGGCCTAACAAAGTATGTTGTCGTTCTCCTTATCCGTGGATTTATTCAAGGTAGCTAAAGGTTCTTACATAATATAAGCCGATACGGGGTAATTGTTGTGTGGTACAAATATCAGTTATGTCAAAGCATAGCCTATTATGCAGTTTTTTGTTGATACTAATGGTAATTAAATTGTTATGAGTTAGAAAGGTCGATTTTGTTTAAAACCGTATTGTTTAAAAGTGCAAGTATTGACCTATTGCTCCGTGAAATGAAAATAAAATAAACACTGGTTCTATTTTAGTTAGAAAATATGCTTAAATGGAGAACAAAATAGAAAAAAAAAGACTTATTTCTTCAAGAGTATACAGATATAAAGCGGTATTCCACAATATAACGAATCAATCTCTCTCTGGGTCACCGTTTATCAATTAAAAATTCAACATTTGCTACATTGCAAAGTGCAACGGATTTCTACTAAAGCCTATATCCCCAGGGCACGCATCTGTCGAAAGTTTAGTTTTGTGAAAAGGTTGACTTTTTACCACCTTTTCCTAACATCAGAATATAACTTTTGTACTTTCTTTTGATCGCTTGTTTATTTGTTGGGATTATATGTGATTCACGCCGATTTCTTTATATAAACTGAAAATATGGTTTTGAATCACACAATGGACAGTGTAGAATTCTCATTAGATTTAAGATTACTCACAAAATTGAAAACCATATTAATCTGTCCTTTATAAAGCCTTCACTATAGTATTCAAGATGGCGTTCATGACACCATTAGCACAACCAGAACTATAAATACATGTATAATCAATCGAAAACTAAGAGATTACAAATAACGACTGACTGTTAATACGATACACAAATTAATAAACAAATTTGACCGGTTTACCAAAACATTTTCCATCTTGGGAACGCCACATTAAAAGATATAATGTTGACGCCACTTTAACTCGTTCTTTATAATGTAGTCTAGCGCCTGATCGGATACATCTAGAACTTTTTCAAAAACACTATCCGAGTAGAAGTTGCCATTATCATCTGTCTATTGTTAGAATATAGAAACAGGCCGGTTAGTGGTAAATATATTAGGCTAGTTTTAAAGTGGACACCAAACCAAAACATTTCTTACATATTTTGATTTCTTCATTTGCTTGACAACGTTTAGAGGACCCTCAACGAAACATAACTTTAATGAAAATATTAAGTGTTTTCCATATTATGTTGTTATGTTAATTACGTACATCAATTGCTAAATGCCACCCAAAGAAGGGATGTTTTGCTATGATATGAAACATATGCCTATTTTGAAATTCTTTAAAATGAAATGGGGTTTAAGCGTCATACTGCCCTGCTCCAACTGGGCTATCGAGGATGGACATACGCCATACAGTGTGCTGTGTCTGTGAGGGGAATTCGGCTGGGACAGCAGCGCTATGACGTAGTCCAATTTCGAATTCCAACTACCAAGTGTTCTGTTACATCCACGCCAATGTTTACACCGGACCTCGGTTTTTGTCCCATCCGAACATCTATACCGTCATCCTTGCCAGCCCTAACACCCCTGCACCAATAACAAAACCGAGGAGAGGTGGGTCTTTTTTACCTTAATTTGTTGACCTTTACTTTAAATATGTCCGCAAAATGTATCTGAAATAGAGCATGTCTTTATAGTGTCATGTTGAACTGGCAATGATTTGTAAACATATGTGTTTTCTTTTTCAGTTCTAGTCTAATAGTTACATCAAATCTTAATGATAAGCAAGGTCGGAGGTGATATAATTTGTTTGGATGACTGAATACAGTGGGTTTAATCAGTTATTCATTACAGCTAGTTGCCTGTCAATCACGGTGGTTTATCAAGCTGGATGTCTAAGCCCGTGTTTCAGTTATGAAGGCAGTACGTGTAGATTTTATTGGTGATTATTCGCTTTTATAAGTATATTCCAAAGGATTAGCACAACAGATTTGCAACGAACTAATGTCCACCAAGATTTCACAATTATGGATATATCTTATTTTTATTGTGCTCTTCGTGATGTTGCCGATACATGTTATTTCTCTAAGACAACTGTTAGAGGACAACAATGGGATTTCAAAATCGCCTGATGCTTCAAAGTCACCTTCGCCATTGGTGTTACAAAAGATCCCGGGCGACATTACCCGTAACAATTCGGGTGTGAAAAGTTATCAAAACGTGTTTGTGCCGGCGAAACATATGAAAGGCCCCGACAATGACAGCCCAGTAAATTCAGACAGTAAAAATCACAAAACCAAAGCTCTAAATCTAACAATATTACCTATACTTGCCGTACTTGCATTTTTGACTTGTATTTGTTTAAAATGTTGTAAGTGGTTCAGGGATAGTGTGAAAAAACGTGAAGGTGATGACGATGATGAAACGGGTTTTGTTATTATAACGGAAGGTGATAACGAATACAATGACGTAGAGTTCCGATCGGACACAACATCGATGGGATACGATACAGTATCATCTTATACTTCATTCATCAGACGCAATAATCATTACGACACTGTTACATCAGTCCGATCTTTACAACTACCAAGGCACAGCGATACGCACAATTCATATCGTTCATTTCTTTTGCAACGTTTGGACGGATCCCGCCAAAATACTGTCAGTTCATATCGTTCATTTTTACAAAACGCCGCCGAGATGAAAGATGTAGAGGTTCAAGTAGAACTTGTCGATGAACCATATTATAAAGATAAGAAAAATCTCACCGTTGACATAGCACCTCGTACTTATTCAAAACCGAGACGCTACAGGCACAGTTCATGTGACTCAGTGATTCTTTCAGCACCTAGTAAACGCTCGAAATCCTCCGAAAGCAGCGAAAACAGCACCAGTCCCAACGAGAGTCCCAATAGACAATCGCGTTATATAAGACGATCGCAACGTCATAGGGTTTCCTTCCTTGATAGTTCCAGTGTGCCGAGAGTTAAGATTAGTAGATCTTTATCCTCGGCTTATAGTGATCATAATACCATAAGTATATTAAACGATCGGCGCAGACAAGCGGAAAGACAAGCCAGTGTATCCCCATCAAGCTCACCAAGACGTGCATGGGAATCTCGACTATCGTCAACGAATGAAACAAAGACAGGCAATTTAAAGGGTGGTTCTCCAAAACCAGTACATCGAAATGAAAATAGCACAGAGAACCAATCATACACTGAAACGACGCCGCAAACAGTTGGCGCACCGAAAAATCATCGATTTAAAGTTTGCAAAACAGAACTGGTCAGTGTTAGCCAACCCGGTAGCAGAAGTGAAGGAAGCCAAGATAAACCTCACGAATCAATATCACAGGTTACCCAAACCAGAATCGAAACAAATGACGGCAGTGATTGGGATACAGTATCGGGAAGTAGTAGACTATATACATCCAAACCAGCGGATATGTCTTTAGGAGTTTCGGGACTAGGTCATCTTTCTAGGGATTCTGATCAAGCTGTGACCCAAAGTTCATTGCAAGATGCAGTCACAGAGCATCAAAATAACGACACTGTGTTCAATTTAAATAGAATCAAAATAAGTAATCAGAACAACAAAATCTATGTGCAATCCGAGGAGAGTTCTGTTGATAGGACACAGTCACAAAATAACAATATTTCACAGATTCCAGAACAAAGCCAGGAATTAAAAATGGCGGATAATTCTAACACAAATCCAGAACAGAAACCATCACCCAATGCCCACAATGATCTTATAAATAACGGCGACGATCCTATAAGTGATGATGATGATAGCGGTGTCTGCAGCGAGTTTACATCCTTGGTTACCTCAAATAACACTGACAATATGGCGACAACGATTTCATCACAATAATTCACAGTGAACTAAGATTAAAATGGTCATTCTCTAAAAAATATAATTTAAATTGTGTGTTTTGTATTATTTTTTTTTATTCCACAATGTGTTGAATTTTGGCATATTTCGCTCGACTTCAAGGATCCGTCTCTGGTTAAAGTATCCATGGACACAACTATCTGACACCAATTCAGACTGTGGATATATGGCACTAACCGCTTTATTGAATTGTTTAAAGCTAGAAATGTTTTATCAACTTTGAAACTTATAGTAATTTAAAGTAATGATGCATCATTTGCATTCGCTAATATATAAACATTTTCACATCTTAATCCACGCCAATATTTACTCAGATTGATTATTTAACATTTGATTTAGAAAACAACATCAAAATACTAACTCTAGATAACCTCCGGCTTGGATTCAACCAGATTTAAACAGGCCTATCGATTCTGTTCGCCCACAACAAAATGGCCACAGTGCGTAACAAGCAGCACAGAGCGATTACATTTCAATTCAACATATCTTTGTAAATACTAAACAGAATTGAACCCTTTCGGACCGATATTAATCTTCCACAATATTGTAGTTTGTGAGGTTTAACGTCCTACTATTCTGTACCGACTGGGCTCATGATGACGGACCCTACATCGAATTCCAACTTTGAAGGGTCCTTTTATGTACACGCTAATGTGCACATATTTTTGACCTTGTTTTTTGTGTCATCCGAGTGACTAGACACTGTCCTTGACAGGCCCTCCGCCCCCACCACTCTAGTTTTTAATTTATCAACATTAAAACGCCACATGTATTGTTTTGGACATTTAGGCAAAAAAGTGTAATGCAAAAGTTTAAATTGTAACGTCGCATTAGCGTTGCGCATTTCTGTTTTGCCGGAGGGAATCACATTATCTCTATAATGGATTTCTGTAATTATTAAAGCAGTCAAGAAGAAAATTGAGCATCTCCAAAGTTAATAACAGGACTAGACGCATACGTTTATCCCGAGGTCATTCTCAATTGGCTTTTTTTTAAAGAAAGGGTTTACATAGTCAAAGCAGTTAATGGTATCGGATTGGAAATGAATATTGAGCACAAGTCGAATTGCGATTTGTAATCCATGTGGTGCGATTTGTAATCCATGTGGTATAGACAATAGTATACCGGTATAAACAATCGTTTCCATAGCAGCACAACATTTAGCCTTGTATGTGAGACACTGACTTTTCTTTGCATTTGATTTTTCGCATTTTATACGTCCTTATATGTTTATGTTTTATGTTGTCGCTCCTGTCCGGCACTCTAGAAGTCACAATTTTTTTTTATCCGATTTCGATATCTCCCCTTTATGCAAATAGTGATAGGCCACAATGTTGGTGCTAATCGGACCTTTTTATTACGCAAAATATGTACCAAGTTTGTGAACTCTCTTAGTGGAAACTTAACGTATGTAAGGAATGAAAGGATCTTGTCGGAGTTCGTTTCGATGTATCGGTGCTTCTGTTCTGGAGTTATGCCCCTTTTTCCGATGGCTGAATGGTTAGCACGTGCGCGCGCTGTATCAGAAGGCCTGCCATTGAGTCAACTGGCGTGGTTTCGAATCCCCGGTTGTACATGACTAGGAGTAGGGTTGCCTGTCCAACCTCGTGGGTTTTCTCCGGGTACTCCGGTTTCCTCCCACTGCCAAAGACCCCTACGCGCAAACGAATTATTGAAATAAAATTAAAAATCATATGTAAGTCCCGAAATGACCTAGTCTGTGTCGACTGGTCGTTAAACCCCATTTCTCTCTCTCTCTCTCTGATTGAGGTATGGAGGTTTAGCCGTTGATTCAGTTTGACCACCTCTTGAGCTATGGAAATGAAATGGGGTTTAACGTCCTACTGTTTTGCTCCGAACTGGGCTAATCAAGACGGGCATACGCTATGCAGTGTGCTATGAGGGAAATTTTGCCAGGACAGCAGCACTACGGCCTACTCTTATATCGAATTCCAACTGTCAAGGGATCTTTTACGTGCACGCCAATGTGTACACGGGACCTCGGTTTTTCGTCCCATCCGAATGACTAGACAGCTGTCCTTGTCAGGCCCTCCTGCATCACTGAAAAGGGGGAACCACGCTGGAAAATCTGGATGAACTTTCTCGGCCAATTGCAGGGATCGAACAACCGACCTTGCCCACTTTACCATCGTGACCCTCCGTTTGAGTTATGGAGGCTTATCTGTTGATTCAGTAAGGGTGGCACCCTTTTGAGGTCAAAACGGAGGCAATTCTTTGCGTGTTTGGACTCCGACGCACTTGAATTAAGATTCGTCAATTTTTAAAACGGAACACTTAAAACTAGTCCTTGGAAGGAAATTTTAGATTTTATTTTAATAAATCTTGGCTATGAGCAAAGTGTTGTCTTGGATCGCTTTCCATTGAATTTCTTCCTAAGAACTGGAGTTGCCCACCTTCATTTAACTGCAGATCGAGCGCCTTTGCTCCTTTAACTGATGTAGCTACAGTTTTACTGTTCCTGGAGCAGCTATTTGATGTAAAACACTATTTGATGTACTTTAATGCGAAGGGTGGGGCTCTTCCACCCAACTTCACGACAATATATTCTTTAAGTGGCATTTAGCGATCAGGGAACAAATTAACAGAACACAGTTTTTATGGGATACAATCACTAGTTTATTCTAAAAGCACGACGTTTCGACAAGTATCCTCTTATCGTTATCGAGCAGCGGGGGGTCCAAGATGAAGAAAACGTCAAGTTTGGCATGAGGTCTATAGGATTACCCGAGAATTTTATATAAGAGACCATGCAGTCCAGTTCAGACTATCCCTTAATTTCTTGTGGCTACTTTCTCATGAAGCCAAGACGGTTAGATACAAATTCCGAGTAAGAGTAGTCTGCAATAATTTATAGGCAACGACGTTTTTCTGCATTAACGCCCACAAATGTCACATCATTTAATAACGGATGCTGCACACTTTAAAATCCTTCTCAATTCACCCTATGAAACTTTTTGTCTGAAAGCATAACGATATCTGGGGATTAAATATTGGAAATATTTGCTAGAATAGAAAGTGGTTTTTATACTCTCACTTTATCACGTGGACGTACTATGTCGTTGTCCATGTCCGTCCGTTCGATCGGACGTCCCTTTTATCCGATTTTGATGAAACTTGAAATATATTTATATCCTAAAGATCTCGGATGTGTTTGATTTTGGCATACACTGGACGTAGCTTCGTGGATTATATGCATTATTAGTCCTGATTGTACGAAAATCGTGATTTTGAGCTGGTGGAACCTCTTGAGTTCACAATATTTATTAGATTTTAAATACCGTTCATTACACAACAATCACGGATGAGTTAAAATTCCGTGAATATCGGACATAAACTTGCCTTTAAAATTGTCCACGCCCTTAACGCATAGTGGGAATGCATGTAATACATAAACCTATGTGGGCCCGATTGATATGGAACTTAAACTATATGATGTCCATCGTACCTAGCACCACAACTTCTTGGATGGCAGCTGCCTTTTACACAAAATGTGAAATACGTATAAAGTTTGTGGACCTACGGTGGGCGACAATTTTTGTCCGATTCAGATGAAACGTAACATGTAGTTTATAACTTAAACTTGAGTTGAAACATTGTGGTCATGGTAGGACGAATCCTATCAAAAATCGGGTTTCGGCAACTTTTTGTTCCAGAATAATATACTCTCTTTAACCGAAAACTTTGAGTCTTAGCGTTTTTAACAGATCTTTTTTTAATTTGATGTGAAGCATTGAGTGCTGTTGTTATTTTTTTCAGCACCCTTTGACATCAAAATCAGCACAGACTAGTTTGCATGGGCATCACTTTTCCTCGCTGTGGATTGGTGAACAGTATATTATACACACGACCATTTCCTCCCATATCAGAACAATATACGTATTGTATCCATGTCACGTGTTCTAGTATTTAAACCTTAGTCTTTAAAAGTCAAAGATTATTTGCAATTTGTCATAATAAATGTAATGAATTAAAAGTTATTCTCGATAGGTCTGTAAATAGCTAACAAGATGTCTCGCCTCTGATTTATTGTCGTCAGCTGTATATGGACGTGCTGAGCTACTCCCTCGGGCAATATTTTTACACTTCAGGTTCCGATTTTTGACGTGTCAAATTGTTTTTGTTATGACTTTATCAACTGATCAGTGATATATCATAATATATGTAATATGTTAACGGTTATTATTACATAGCTATTCAATTAACCTGGTTATACAAAACAAATCAACCGCTAAGGTCGTTGGCATATTTTTAAACAATGACGTTTATACGTAATATACATAGGTTAAATCGGGTTAAATTTAAATCGAAATAAACTTGTTGTAACGAATAATGGAGTTGTTATTTCAAATGAACATATCACATCGGCCAGTGACGTGAACGGTGTTGGGGGCAAAAAAAAAAAAATGGTATCATAAAAAATGGGTTACCCCCATTATGAAGACGAAAGAGAATACAGTTTAAATCAAACTTTTTTTTTAAACTCAGAGTCGCCCCACTCCCCACACAGTTTCTAACAGATTTTTTCCTTTTACAAATTGGGTGTTAACCAGTGGGGCCATGGGTGTAGGAACCCTATCGATGTTCAGTTACTGCCCCACGGCCCGTTCCAGCTTTTCAAATTTGGTGTGAAGCGAAATAATTAATTCGTTTAAACGAAATACTATTTAGTATGAACAATAGAATATTTTCTTTTAAACGCATTAATTATTTCGTTTAACCGCATTATTTATTTCGTTAATACGAACTAAGTATTTGGTTAAATTAATATTTTGTTTTAATGAACTAATATTTCGTTTTAACGTATTAATAATTTGTTTTAACGGATTAATATTTCGTTCTAACGAATTAATATTTCGTTCTAACGAATTAATATTTCGTTCTAACGAATTAATAGTTAGTTTTAATGAATTAATAGTCCGTTTTAACGAATTAATATTTCGTTATAACGAATTAATTATATAAGTGTGGAATCGTGTATCTAAAGGGCCCCGTAGTGATACATTATTTCAGAAATGTACAATTTAATTTCAGAATTAAACTACCTGATAGGTTTTAATTCGCTTTATCCTCTTTATTTAAG